GGAGTATAATCTAGTAAATTCAACATATTGTGTTCTTCTGATCATATGATATGATATACTAGTATCAATCAACCAATCTCTCTCTGTCCTATTCCATCTCTGCCTACTCTTTTACCTCCTGCAGAAAGATTTCATCATTCAAACGCACATTGACCAAATAGAAGTATAGGTAAAAAGACACAAAGTACGTCGCTCAACCGACACTGCCTAACAATCTATCGGTTACGAAATTGCGGCATTTTCTGAATCAGTTATTACGCAGGAGAATCATGCAGAATCGATTGCATGCAACAGGCGTCGATGATGATTTGCAGGTCACTAGCCACCATGACACACCAAATTGCCTTTTCCAGACATACAGCCCTACTAAGTGGAGAGCTACGCACAAGGGGATAAATCCACAAGACCGGGGGCCAAGGCGTCTCTTGTCAGCTGACTAACAGGCCCCCTAACTACCTACGGAGTATATGTTTCTTATCACCAACTGAAAATTATCTAGTACTCGGTAAGTGTTACTGTAGATATTTTTATATATGAAATAGTTATCCTCAATATCTCGGGTTATTCTCTTCTTGTCAACCACTAATCTACTAGGTAGTAGCAGCACTACTTGTGCCTAAGGCAGGTGCTGGCCGAGCCACACTGAGACGTTGAGGCAATTTTTTTTCCAATTTTAGCTTTGGGTAGCCAATCACGTCTCTCCGATGCGGTATTTTTTCTTCTTGCCTCATTCGCGCTACAGCAGCACTATCCCTGAATTGGAATAAGAGCCCCTAAAACTTGGCAAAAACCTTGGTACTGTCAGTACCAGCAAAATTCAGAGATCAAAAAAAGAAAGAAGCGAAAAGAAAAGAAAAATCGAAAGGTCTAAGGAGAGAATGCTAGAAAAGTCAAAGACAATGAGATATATCAAGATACATAGAGATACGTATCTGGAAAGGGAGGGAAATCAGAAAGGTGTGTAAAACTGGGATTCATTTCACTGTCAGTTGGGGCAACGTGGCGGCTACATGCAGGACTCATGGCCACACCGCACTAAACCCATCAATCAACCCGATCCACATATAGGATCCACTTCATACAAGGATGGGCGTCAGATCAACAATTCGAGACTCTTATCCACTCTTTCCCAGACAGGACTGACTGCCCCGGACCGGTCCCCGTGCCTGGCCGATCGCATAGAGCCGGGTATGATCTCAGCAATCAATGTTTAGCTTATAAGCACTTGAAGCCCGCTGCCGTTCCTGTGAGTTTTCGATTATAGATAGGATCATATAAGAAATATTCCTCTCTCTTTACCCCATATTCATATCATCTTTGATATCTCCATACCCCAGTTGTTGACAGTCCCACCCCGGTGAGGTGTCGGTTGCATGGCTTGTACCAAGAAGTAAAGTGACTTCTCACTTCTCGTCTTTCTCGATAAGCTTCTATGCTGAAGGAGCTTTTCTTGCTTTTGTTTTTGGTCAATTAGATCCAAGGTAGTAGAGCAAAATCATAAAAAGAATCAAGCAAGGAGGACTTTTCTCTCGTCGTTTTAAGGTATGTACGTCCGTTTTGAGATCGGGCGCGGTCCACCCGATGTCTTTTCTATCGTTGCCAGTCCCTGCACCCTGCCCCAGCCGTTCTTATCTCTACCCAAACCCGCCCCTCCAATGAGCATTCTTTTTGAGATGGTGCGCCACAGCCCTTCTCCCACCCTATGACTAACTCCTCTTGACGTCTTCATCAGCGCGTCGTATCCCTTTCCCCTCTCAATTGAACATCGTCCGGAGCACTTTATTTAAACACCATGGTGTCTTCTACTGCTTCTTCATCCCCACAGCCGGATGGGTACCTCAATGGCGCCAACACTCTGCCCGTGCGCCCAGGCCCCAAGCTCTACGGCAGTAATGATGGCGCTCAATCTGGCGCTGGAACTCCCATTGGATTCCAGAGACATCCTCATAACAAGCTGCTTGAGAATGTAGCCGGATCAAATGTGCGCCAACCGTCACCTCAACCCACTCATCTGGGCTTCCCCGGCGGTGGCCTGCACCGAATCTTGTCAGAGGAGGATCCGGGCTATATTGCTGCCAAGTTCGAAGGGAAAGAGAAGCAAATGGAACAGGGTAAGTCTCGCTCGCTTTTCAACCCGCTATTTATGACACTGGAGGTTCTCTTCCTTCTGCTAACTGCATTTCTTAGTTATGGACCAGCTGGAAAGCAAAGGCTTTATTCCGACGGAATTTGTCGCTGGAGAAGCCGAATGGTTTTACAACCAGCTTGGGATTGATGATACATACTTCCAAACCGAGACCGTTGATGCTATCGTCACGCAGATCCTTTCTCTCTATGCTGCCAAGGTTGCAGCGTACGCTCGTGATGATAAGAAGCTCGAGATCCGTTTAGATAAGGAAGCTGAAGATCATGCGGTCTACATTGACACAAGCAAGCCCGGCATCACGTCGGTCGACGGCCCTCGATATGAGCAGAGAATTGAAAAGAAATATGTAAACGGCTCCACACCTGGTAACAGCTATCGGGTTGAGACCTTCCGTTCGCCAACGCCAATCCCTGGGGACGATGGCCAGCAACTCCGGTGCTACTTTGTTTACAAGTGCCAGTTCGTTAACCCTAACCCGGGTCCGAATGAAACGAACATTGATATTATCGGTGAAAAGAGATTCTTGCAAAAGGCAACGGAAAATACAAAGGCCATCTATCAAGAAATCATCACGAATGCCGTTAACCGATCTGGTCCTGTCATTGAGATGTTTGAGATCGAGAAAAGTCGCGAAAAAAGGCTGGTCATCGCTTATCGTCAGGGCTCTGCTATGGGTCTATTTAGTGCACTCTCTGATCTATACCACTACTACCGCCTGACAAGCTCTCGTAAATATTTGGAGAACTTTTCTAACGGCATCACGGTCATATCTCTCTATCTTCGCCCACTGAAAGATGCTGAAATCGCTGCTAAGTATCCTCCTATTGAGGCAGCTGTTCACCAGATTATCAAGGAGGTCTCTCTTCTCTACTGCATCCCCCAGAACAGATTCCAACATCATTTTGCAGTCGGTCGTCTTAGCTTGCAGGAGACCATCTATGCCCATTGTGCGTGGGTCTTTGTTCAACAGTTCCTTAATCGCTTGGGCTCTGAGTACACCTCTCTGACCGATGTTCTGGACTCCAATAACAGTGTCCACGCAGAACTGTTAGCCAAGATCAAGAAGAGGTTGCGTACCGAGACTTTCACATCCGACTATATCTCAGAGATCGTTAACAAGTACCCGGAACTCATCCACAAGCTCTACCTGGATTTTGCTAACACTCATTACGTTCAAACACGTGGTCCTGCCGAAGATGACTTTCTTCCCACCCTGAGCTATTTGCGCCTCCAGGTTGACGAAGTCCTCGATGGTGCGAAGCTGAAACAACTCATCTCAAGCACTGTGGCCAATGAACACGATGAGATGGTCATGAGCGCCTTTCGCGTGTTCAACGCCGCCATCCTCAAGACCAACTTCTTCACTCCCACTAAGGTGGCCCTTAGTTTCCGACTCAACCCAGATTTCCTGCCGGAGCACGAGTACCCTCAGCGTCTCTATGGCATGTTCCTAGTTATTAGCTCAGAGTTCCGAGGCTTCCATCTACGATTCCGGGATATCGCTCGTGGTGGCATTCGTATCGTCAAGAGCAGGAACAGAGAAGCCTACAGCATCAATGCTCGCTCACTGTTCGATGAAAATTACAATTTAGCCAACACCCAACAGCGCAAAAATAAAGACATCCCCGAAGGTGGTGCAAAGGGTGTGATACTCTTAGATGTAAACCATCAGGACAAAGCAGCTGTCGCTTTTGAGAAATACATTGACAGCATTCTTGATCTCCTCCTGCCTCCTGTCAGCCCAGGCATCAAAGACCCTATCGTTGACTTGCATGGAAAGGATGAGATTCTTTTCATGGGGCCCGACGAGAACACGGCCGAATTGGTCGACTGGGCTACAGAGCATGCAAGGAATCGTGGAGCTCCCTGGTGGAAGTCATTCTTTACCGGCAAGAGTCCCAAGCTGGGCGGTATCCCGCATGATACTTATGGCATGACGACCTTGTCTGTTCGTCAATATGTTCTTGGTATCTACCGGAAGTTGAAGATTGACCCCTCCACGGTTCGTAAGCTGCAAACCGGTGGCCCCGATGGTGACCTGGGATCAAACGAGATTCTTCTGGCCAACGAGAAATACACCGCTATCGTTGATGGTTCAGGTGTTATAGTTGATCCAAATGGTCTGGACCATGAGGAGCTGGTCCGACTTGCTAAGAAGCGCGTGACTATCTCCGAATTTGACTTGTCGAAACTCTCACCCCAGGGCTACCGCGTTCTGGTGGATGAGAGCAACGTAAAGTTGCCGAATGGCGAGTTCATCCACAATGGAATGATCTTCCGCAACACTTTCCATTTGCGCCGAGAACTTCCTTATGATGTTTTTGTCCCTTGTGGTGGACGACCCGAGTCCATTGATCTTTCTACTGTTGGAAAGCTTATTCATAACGGCAAATCCACCATCCCCTACATTGTCGAGGGTGCCAACTTGTTCATTACACAAGACAGTAAACTACGGCTCGAAAGGTCCGGCTGTATACTGTTTAAGGATGCATCAGCAAATAAGGGTGGTGTGACTTCGTCGTCATTAGAGGTCCTTGCGTCGTTGTCCTTCAATGACGAGGAGTTCGTCGAAAACATGTGTGTTCGTGAAGATGGCAGTGTTCCCACATTCTACCAGGATTATGTCAAGCAGGTTCAGGAAGTCATCAAGCAGAATGCCACCCTCGAGTTCGAGGCCATCTGGCGTGAACATGAGCAAACCGGCCTTCTCCGCAGCGTCCTCAGTGACCGTCTCAGTCTGGCTATTACCAAGCTTGATGAGGAATTACAGAAGACAGAGTTGTGGGACAATGTTGAACTTCGCCGCTCGGTTCTTGATGACGCTTTGCCTAAACTACTTTTGAACAAGATTGGTCTCGATACAATCTTGCAGCGGGTGAGTTTGAACTTTCACCGCCAGTATCAATTATAAAACTAACGAGACATGTAGGTTCCTGAGAACTACCTCCGGGCCATCTTTGGCAGCTACCTCGCAAGTCGGTTTGTATACGAGTATGGCAGCAACCCTAGCCAGTTCTCCTTCTTTGACTTGTATGTACATCGGTTTCACTAGCCCCAGTCACTGGTCCACTTTACTAATTATAACCATAGCATGACCAGGCGACTTTCCAAGGCCATGGCGTAACATGCTTTAGAAAGGCGGCGTGATGTTCCACGTTATGATATTGCATCTTCCGGGTTTATACATGACTGCACATAAGCAGTGCTACAAAAATTAATCATGGCAATCATGTCCATCGCATGTACGGGATACAAAAAAAAAAGAGTCACGAGTAATGAAGACTTAATACATCTCCATCCTGAGGGTTCGTTCTGCTTCAAACATAGATTTAAAGATCGTTTATATATTCATACACATACCATCAAGAGCGCGTTCAGGAGACCCCTTCCTCTCCCCTCTGTCTAATTGGTTTCTTTGCCAGAATGGCTTGGTTAAGGTGATCTGTTCCAGGGCCGTTATCTCTTAGGATTTGAGAAGCGTAAGGGTTGTGGCCCGATATAGTCATGATAATATACTAGTCTTAGTTTGGCTGCTGCGTCCTTTTTCCTGGTGTAACTGATAACCTCTAAAACCCCAGGGAGATACAAACTATGCTTAAAGCATAGGGAGAGTCTTCTAGCACCTTACAATAGGCAAAAGCATCAATTGAAACATAGGTATCGGAGCAGCCTACTGTAGTCCACAATACATGGTTTTCGTAGTGAGTGCGGCAAATTGATCTTGTGTTGGAAATATTCTATCACTGATATGAGACTGATAGTGAGCTCTGGCTACGCATGGAGGTGGCCAGAAGAGTTACAGATGCAGTCCTCTCCTCTTCCTGCTACATCACTCAACTTTTGCTCTTCATTCACTCTCCGTCCTAAGATCATGTTTCACACTCAAAGACAGACTCGACGGGTGATTGAAACAGTTCTTACTTCGCGGGTAGGAGGTTAGAAGTTTGCAGATTATGATATGTATAGATAGAACATCAGTAGAACGTGCTAGTGTAATATCTCTTAACGCCTCCATCCTGCTGCTATAGGAGATCAAATCCAACTGATCATAGTCCTACTAACGCATTACGTGACATACACGCCCCAAATTAGACGACGACTTCGTAGCCGGTGATATTAAACTTTGATCCTTCTTCTTCCTCTGTGCGCTCGATCTCACTGAGTTGCGCCCATAGTTCTGGGTATTTCTCCTTGGCCCATTTCTCCACCTCATCTCTCCAGTATTGATATGGAACTGCGTTATAGAGGAGGCCAATGCTAGAAATTACGTCAGCAGTGAAACCAACTACAAAGGAAGACATCAGGACTTACGAGTTATAATTCGGTAGGTACCCTGTTTCACTGTGCATCTTGTCTATAGCCTCTATAGCAAGGTCAAATTCACATTGCGCAGCGAGAGCTTCGACAAATGCCATGTACAGCCGCCGATCTACTTCAATTTCGAGAAGTTTGACCTTCTCCATCATCTTCATTGCCTCCTGTGTGCCATTGTGGTGCTTTCCGCATAATTTGAAGAAGATAGCGATTGTCTTATGCGTAGGACCCTCTTCCGACTGAAGGATTTGACGGAACACCTCCATACTTTTCTCGGGCATGTCACAGGCTGCGTAAGCAAGCATTAGCCCATTTAGCAACTTGGTGTTGAGGTCAACTTCAACGTCTAATTTGAGCATGTTGTGAACAAGCACCAGATGTTCTGCATCACGCGTTCGAGCTATCCACCGGAAGCATTTGGTATAGGTGTCTGGCTTTGGACGCCGAGCAAAGTCTTCCGCCTGCCGCATATGCCCGAACACTAGGTAGGCTAGGTCACTCCGGTCTCTTTTGTAGAATGCTGTCATGATGTCGGTTCGCGTGCTTACGCTTGCTTCGGGGAACGCCAGCTGCAATAACCCGTACACCTCCCATGCATCTGCGCCATCTTGGTTAAGGTCCAAGATATAGTCGGTGAGCGCTTTACGTATCTTCGATCTTCCCTCGTCATCATATAATGCCAGGCGCGGCCGAAGGAGTTCCGATGTCCCTTCCCAGTCACGACGGTAGAGCAACATATGCGTTAGTGCCGCGAGCGTCTCAGGCTCTAATCGAACATTATTCTCGAACAATGGGTCAAGAAAGGATGACACCTGATCGAATACGGCATCCCCCTGGCTTGACAAACAAAGCATTGTTATCAACTTATTCATCAGCGACATATTCTCAAGAGCCATTTCGTTGACGTCATGCAAGCCCTGAACATGGACTAGCGTTTTTTCCACGTCACCGGCTTGTATATAAGATTCGAGTTCCAATAAACGCGACTGGGAGTTGGGCTGCAGACCCCAACGCGGGATTAAAGCAGCATACTCAGCAGTCAATTGAGGTTTGTTGGTAAAATTGGCATACGCCATCAAGTTGTTCACACATTCAATTGTGAGCGATGCTTTGGCTTCTGGACTATTTTGAATTGAAATTCTAACCTTTTCCACGATTGCAGACGCGTCTTGTCCATGGGCTGCTTCCCAAAGCAATGTGATACTCATGGTCTCCGTAATTGGTCTTTGCGAAAGTGACTTGAAGATAGGCTCGGCCCATGCTGTTTCTGAACGCAGAATTGCATACTCGATAACGGCTTCTTTCGTAGCTAGGGTAGGCTCCCATCCATCAAACAAAGGGCACTCGTACATTATCTTCACTGCAGCAAGGAGATCTTGTCCAATGAGGACTTTGAGCAACTCTTCGTGGGAGGCAGGGTCAAATTTTATGCCAAAGTCGTGAAGGTCCTCGGTTGTCCGTCTGAGAAGACGTCTATCTTCATTTATGGCAAACCCCTTCATGACCGTAAGCCAAGGGGAGGGATTGGTCTTGGAAAGCCTATTCCAGAACTTCTCAACGACATGTCTTGCTCCTTCTGGATTGCCATTCAAAGCCTGAATATTTATATAGGCAACAAGCGCGGGTCGACCTATATGATTGGGACCAAACCCATGGTCCGCACAAAGTTCCAGAAATACGTAGCGAGCTAATCTTTGGATTACTTCGCGGCATTCTGGCAGGCATCTTGCTTGAGACAGAACGAATAGCACGTTCTCTAGGTTCTCAGTAGAGAAGATCAATTTCCAATTTTCGGGCTCCAGGTCACCTTCATTAGCTCGCAAGTGCTTCCAAGTCACGATGAGCAAACGGGCTTGAAAGCCCGTAATGACACCCGGTATGTCCGCTCGTGCAGCAAAGAAATCCTGAAAGGCCTTCGCAAGAACACTCACTGCAGGCCCCCTGCTTTTGTCACGTATTGCTCTCATCAGATCGCTCATTGGTTTTAGGCCAGCCTCCGATGGCAGAGTCGCAGGTTGGGGAGAGATAGAGGGTCCCATATTGAATGCGAAAAACCCACGTCGCTGGATGTGATACGTGCTGGTGACGACTGGCCCTCGGGATCGGTACGTTCGGAGATTATGTAGTAGCTGATGGCGGCATTGTGAGGAAGACAGCGGCTCGTTGTCCAGTATTGCTCGGAAAACCCTTCTACTGAGGTGAGATTGCATGTTTGTAGTATAGAATGAAGCTATGAAGAAAAAGTGTTAAAAATAAGCCTCTATTCCTCAAATAGGAACCCTATCGCTGGATGTTTTGAGAAATGAAATCAATTCAATTTGCAGCATGCTTCAAAAGTACCCAAGTATCGAAAACGAACATACTATGGGTAACAGGGAGAGCATTAGGAAGTATAGAAGAAGAATGTGAACTGGAGTTCTGGAGTTGCCGCGGAGGTGTCCCTGCGGCTCTTGGCGCGCTGAAAAGATATTAAATTCAATGCGCTCCACTCTGCGACTCCCCCAACCCAACCCATCCAGCATTGAATGCTTGCAAGCTGTTATTGACGCTCTTCAATTGCTTTGATAGAACTGAGGTCGTCACCCGGCTCTCAAATATGGCTGTTCGTCTCTTGTCTTGGTCTCCATTGCGCACCTTCGGGTCGACCATGAGCTCTATGGTTGCAGGTCGGTGGAATTCGACTCTCGCCACAGATGCCGCTGCTTATCAGCGTGCTGCCAGTGCTAATCAAAGTATGTGAATACCCAAACAATGCAGCCGCCCGTGTTTCCTGCAGAATCGAGTACTTCTCAAGACATTACTTCGACCGGCACTGACTGTCCCGAAAATAGGACCAAGAGTATTCAGCCGTCGTCGTGTACCAAACCGCCAAAAGTTCATCGAAGACCAGAAGACCCAAGGAGAGAGTCGAATCTTAGAGAAATACCAAACTCGTGATTGGCGAGCAGGCGATATTTACACACCTCATGATCTCAGTGCTGCCGAGATGAAGAAGTGGAGGAAGCGCTATAGCCCAGCCACAGATGCTTTTGATTCTTTGAACATGAACCCGCTAGACTTGTACAAGGTATGTGCGGTTATGAAATGAACGATTATTATTATTGTACTTTGTTTTTCGTTGGCTCGGGCATCCCAGTGATTTTAACTTCTTTTGTGTTAACGCAGAACTTCTCGATCATGTCCGAGTATATCACCCCGATGGGACGTATAAAGCATAGAAATACAACTGGTCTACGACCTGTCAACCAACGGAAAATTGCAAAGGCTATCCGAAGGGCTATTGGTCTTGGTCTGATGCCTAGTGTCCATAGACATCCAGAGATTCTGGCGGCGGAACTGAAGGCGAAAGTAGATGGAAGCAGCATATTCTGAAGCAATCGAGGCCATGTGAACAGGGAACTTGTATGCAGGATATATGGAGAACTGCTTATACCTTTCTTGAATTCCTGCTGCTTCATATCTCGAAGTCGGGCACCTTCGGAGCTAGACACTGTACTTCTATATTCAAACATAGTCATCACTGAGAATTGGGATTGCATATGTAATTTATCCACCAGAAATTTTATTGATTGAATATTTACTATCTCAGGAATATCTACTATTGCTGTACAAGGTTCTAATCATGAGGGTTGCCTGGACATAAGACAGGAACGAGTTGTCCCGTCCGTGGCTCACGTTCCCCACCGATAAATACGTCAACCGGAGGAAACATCTATGGCTGTCAACATCGCTCGCGCTCCCCTTTACCTTCTGCTAATTCCGGATTGCTCCCTTTCCTTTCACTGCTGATATTGTCTGTTGGTACAGCCATGTCAATTACGAACGGTCAAGACCTTACTTACCCTTTTTCATGCGATCCTGGATAACTAACACTTTTCAGATTTCATCTGGGCGGCCAGTCCTTCTACCACCAGGGGCCAACCCACCCACCTCTCGTCGGATGCCAAAGGCGAACGACTTGCTTATGCGGTAAATACAAGGCAACCTATCGTTCTTTTTAAGAGATATCGGAAGATCTTGACTAACGGGAAGTGAGGCTTAAGGCCAATAAATCCATATTCTTGCGTTCAATCGACAACCCCGCTATCGCGAGGCAGTACACCGAACATAAGGCCCAGACTACAGTCGCACGGTTTTCACCGTCTGGATTCTACGTCGCTAGCGGTGATGCAACTGGATTAGTTCGAGTCTGGGACTGCGTCGGCGAAGGGCATACGAAGGGTGAATACAGTATTGTCAATGGTAGGATCAATGATCTCGCATGGGATGGGGATTCTCAGCGTATAATCGCGGTTGGTGAGGGGAAACAACGATATGGCCACTGCATTACTTGGGATAGTGGAAATACCGTCGGGGAAATTTATGGCCACACCCAACAGATCAACTCCGTTTCGATCAGGCAACAACGACCTCTGCGAGCTGCTGCTGCTGGTGATGACAAGAATTTAGTCTTCTACCATGGAGCGCCTTTCAAGTTCAACACGGGTATCCGTGACAAACACACTAATTATATTTATGGCGTCGGCTTCAGTCCAGATGGCTCAGCGTTGGTTAGCGTTGGTGCTGACCGGAAGATCTGGCTTTATGATGGCAAGACGGGCGAGGCAAGGGGCCAGATTGGGGAAGGTGAGCATAAGGGTAGTATTTTCAGTGTTTCATGGTCCAAGGACTCTCGGAAGTTCGTAACTGCGAGTGCCGACAAGACCGTCAAGGTATGGGATGTGGAAGCCGGTAAAGTTTCACAAACATGGAACATTGGAGGGGAGGGAAGTACAGATATCAAAGACCAGCAGGTCGGCGTGGTTTGGCCCCCCGGCAGAAGTGACAATCTGCTTATCAGTTTGTCACTGGGTGGCAATCTGAATTATCTCGCTGAAGGTACTCCTGAGCCTAGACAAGTCATCCAAGGCCACCAGAAAAACATTACGTCCTTGACACAGTCCCACTCAAGTAGCGACAATGGCACACTGTGGACTGGCAGTTTTGACGGCAGAGTCTGCAGCTGGGACGTGCCCACTGGAACTGCGGAGGAGGTGGACGGCGAAAGTCACTCGACGTATATCGCAGGCCTTGCGCCGACAGAGGAAGGCAATGGTAGAATCTACAGCGTGGCCTGGGATGATACCATTAGATCTGTGGACGTTGGGGCTAAAACGTATAACGGAAGCTCTTCCAAGCTATCTGGACAGCCTAAGGGTATCGCTGCAGCTGTAGCGGTATTGGTAGGGACCTCGGAGAGTGTTGATATTTACAAAGACGGCCAGAAGATTGGCGACTTCAAGTCAAAGTTTACCATAACTACTGTGGCAGCACATGGAAGCACTGCAGCCATCGGCAGCGATGATTCAACTGTTCAAATTTGCGAAATCTCGGGCGCTACTTTGATTCCCAAGACGGATATTAAAGCTTCTCGGAATCCCGTGTCCGCATTGGCTTTCTCGCCGAACGGTTCCCTGCTGGCTGTTGGCGATTCGCGTGGTCGCGTTCTTGTTTACAACGTCGCCGATGCCAGTCTAGTCACAGACCGTTGGACGGCACATACTTCGCGGATCACTTCCATTGCATGGAACGAAGACGGTACTCACGTTGTGAGCGGAGCATTGGACACCAATATATTCGTGTGGAACCTGGCCAATCCTGGAGAGTGGCTTCAAGTTACTAATGCTCACAAAGAAGGTGTCAACGGTGTAGCCTGGGTGTCGGGGTCGAAGGTTGCATCGGCTGGTGCGGATGCAGCAGTCAAGTTGTGGAAAGTGGAAGGTTTGGAATAGAGTAAAGTGAAATGGACTTTGGGACATCAGCGATTATGATATACGTATGTGTGAGAGGAAAGTTATCTCTGTGCTGCCTCTTCCTATTTCACTATCTTTACCCTCGGATTTCGAAGTGTACATACATACAATGAAGTACTGTATTTACAGTTGTTAGGATATTGTAGCTGTTTTTAGCAGTAGTATCGCCTAAGGATGCGTGTTCCCAATTCACCTAGGCCGTGGTGATAAGATGGCGGGTGATCAACAGCGGATAGAACAAGCGACGATCGTCATATACAGCCACTGTGTACGTCAAGCGCCCGCAAGCTCCAGTTTGACAACACTTGCAGTCTTCTGCGCGCCTCCAGGAAGGCAAGAAAAGGAAAAATAAAATGAGATGATAAAATGTCTCTGTCTGGGGACGCGTCGAGTAGTTCCCGTCGCTTCTTGCGACCGAAGAAGGTACCATGGCAAGATTTTCTCTGGTTGAAGGTGTTCAAGAAACAGAGAAAGAGGACGAGCCACCGTTGCTAACCACAAGTTTGATACGAAGCTGCGGCAGGCGACGTTTGTCCTACCTAAAACCGGTCAACGCTTGAGAGGTCTGGTTACTCTACGAAACCCTCATCCCGAATTGAATGGCGACGATGACGAAGAACGCCGCGGGCTACTCTCCGGACAATATTCCGTGGGCCGGGAAGGGATACCTTTACGCTTATGGAGAAAGGTGCGAAAAACAGAACTTTGGATACATCGAATTATTTCTACTGAGCTAGGAATCGGTGTCCTGAAATGCAGCCTAGCCTACTTATTGGGATCGCTTGCAACTTTCGTGCCAGCGATCGCTTCGTGGCTAGGCCATCAAGATGGCAAGCATGTTGTGGCCACCGTTACAGTCTACTTCCACCCAGCAAGGTCTCAAGGGAGCATGTACAAGGCATCAATTTGTGCCTTTCTAGCGTTTCTCTACGCTGCTTTCATCTCTTTGACAAGCATGTGTGTCTCTAGGTTCTTTCAGGACACCCTTGACTTACTCCCACTGGGCCATGCTGTAGTCCTCATAGTCTTCTGTGGAGGTGGTTTAGGATTTATTGGATGGACAAAACAAAGACTGGGCGACCCCCTTGTGAACGTCGCCTGTTCCCTTGCTTCGCTGTCGTCCATTACCGTCTTGACAAAAGAAGGCTCAGTACAGAATGGGAATTTGTCGTTCGCTAAAATTTTTCAGGTTTTGAAAATGGTCGTGATGGGTGTAGCTGCGGCCATGGCTGTGTCATTTATGATATTTCCAATATCTGCACGGAAAAAGCTACGGTCAAACCTCACCACTGTCACCGAGACGCTAGCAACGATGCTAGCCTTGATTACCGAGAGCTTCCTCACTGGATCTGAAGAGGAGCTTCAGACTGAAGAGTACCTGAGTGCAGCTGCGCGCCATAAGCAAGCATACAGTCAGCTTGACAGACTAGTAAGAGAAGCGAAATTGGAGCATTTCGTTGCAGGTACAGAGAGACAGTACAGGCTGGAGAAAAAACTTGTACGCTGGGTACAAGATATCACTCATAACATGGGCGGCTTGCGCAGTGCGGCTCTCCTGCAGTTTCAGCTGCTAAAGCAAACCAAACTTGCCATGCCAATGCAGTACAATAGCGAAGCAGAAATTATAAATGGGGTTCATCGAGAATCTTTACCTAGTCCATGGTCAGTACATGAGGAGCGACCAATTTTGGAGCCGATCAATGAGAGGCCGGAAGAAGAGGTCTCGGATTCAGGAAGAGACAGGCTGAATTCAAGTCCGGAAAGAGAGATTTCTGATTCAGAAACTGATCACGTTCTTCTTCCCGCGGATATCTTCGCACTATTTATCGGCCATTTAGGGCCTTCGATGGTAACGAGGCACCCAATAACCACTACATGTTGGTAGATACTAATCATTAATAGCGATCGCTTGCATTCACTTTAAAAGAAATCTTCAAGGAGATTCCTTTCAAACCTGCACCGGATTACAGAGTCGCAATCAATAGTAGGTTCCGCACCAGTCTTGACCGGGCACTTGATCTCTATCGAGGATCCCGAGAAGAGGCGTTGAAGACTATATATCGACAGAAGGATGTCTTAAACATCCAGACCTTGGAAGTTGAAGCGGATCTTGAGGAAGTTGCTGCCAGCTGCGGTCATTTTAGTTTTTCGCTTCTGGAATTCGGTGAACAGCTAAAGGAGCTGCTAGCAATCCTTGATGAGTTGCAACTTGAAGCTGAGGAGAGGCCCAGTGGTAGATCCTGGAACTGGCTGAAGTTTTGGTGTCGACGAAATGCTTGGGTAAGAGCAAAGGATACCGGTATGTTGTCTCGGCTGACATAGCCTAAACGGTTAAAATTATGCTGACTGGCCTTCAGAGCGGTCATTGGTTGAAGCAGGTTTCGTACAAGGTGGTGTTGAGCCTCACTTGGTGGTCGACAACGCTGAGCCACACAGTAAAACATCGTTATCATCCCTCCTTCCGGGAAACGTGTCGGGGAAAAAAAGCTTCGGTTATCGTATCTGGAAGTCACTCAAGATCTTTCGACGGGATGATACCAAGTTTGCTATCAAAGTAGGTACAGGTGCAGCACTCTATGCTTTGCCATCATTTCTCCCGTCCACAAGACCGTTTTACTCTCATTGGAGAGGCGAGTGGGGTCTTTTGTCGTACATGCTAGTTTGTTCGATGACCATCGGTGCTTCAAACACCACTGGCTATGCCCGGTTTTTGGGTACCTGCTTAGGGGCACTCTGCGCCGTCATTTCGTGGTTCGTGACTGGAGGGAACGTTTTTGGCCTCGCATCTCTGGGGCTATTTATGGCTACGTGGACGTCATATCTCATAATAGTCAAAGGGCAAGGTCCGATGGGCCGCTTCATCATGCTTACATACAACCTCTCGGTTTTGTACGCGTACTCCCTCAGCCAGAAGGAAGGTAACGATGACCAGGACGAAGGGGGCGAAAGTCCGATTATAACTGAGATTGCTCTTCATCGTGTTGCAGCTGTTCTGTCTGGCTGCATCTGGGGTATTATCATCACACGAGTGATTTGGCCTATCAGCGCGAGGAAGAGATTGAAAGATGGTCTAAGCCTCTTATGGCTTCGAATGAGTCTACTCTGGAAACGCGGCCCGCTGTCTACCATGACTAGCAACACAGATAACTCGGTTTTCATGAGCCCAAGAGAGAAATTGGAGATTGAACGATTCCTTTCGCGCTTGGAATCTCTTCAGGCGTCCGCCCGCTCCGAGTTTGAGCTGAAAAGCCCATTCCCTGATTTGGCATACAGTAACATTCTCCGCCGCACAAGGAGTATGGTAGACGCTTTTCTTGCGATCAATATTGAGCTTGATAAAAATATGACAGCATCTGAAGGCGAGCTTAGTATTCTCCAATATACTGACAAGGAAAGGCAGCAATTGTCGTCGCGCATCAGCCATCTATTGTCAGGTGAGTGTTGGGAATTAACTAGAAAGGGCAATTCTAACCGCAAGTATAGTAATGGCCTCGTCTATGAAACTCGAGTACCCGCTGAGCGACGTCCTTCCTAGCATTGAGCATGCCCGAGACCGGCTTCTTGCCCGCCTTTTCCGCTATCGCAAGGATCATGAAGCATCACGCTTGTCTACGGATGAGGACTATGCCTTATTGTATGCTTACAGTAAGTCGAGGCTATACCGCGATTCGTGTTTTAAATCCCATATGGTCTGCACGGTATGGCGTGAACTGATCATACAATATTGACTAATTCATCTTTAGTTTTAGTCACTGGTCAATTGTCGACAGAGATCGAGGGAATCATGGCGGAAATCAGCTGCTTGTTTGGAGTACTCGACGAAGACATTGTGAAGCTATATGATTAGGCTCTTTCCCCCCCTCTAAACCGACTGCGTTCCTTTAGATAACGAAGCGCATGTAAACATATGTAATAATCTATAAATATACAGGATCGATAAACATTGAGAAACAAAGTAGCCCTTTCTTATAGTCTTTGTATTGCTTCATTCATTGGGAGAATCCAGTGACTTTTGTAACTCTTTTTTTCGGCGGGGAAAAAGAAATCCAACCCCAGCATTTTATCAACTTCAACCTCCTTCCATCACTTCGCTCATCGACCCACTGCCCTTCCAATCGCGATCCCCTCGTTCCTCGCATGTTTTCGTCTTCTACTAATATCAAACTGTCTTTCGGGTTTGTCTGGATGTATTCTGCTTCATGAAGGCCTAGTTCTCCCCGCCATCCCGGCTTCGCGCAGCCCGTCGCGCTTCTGCGAGCCTCACAACCATGCAGATCGATCCGGCCGCTCTGAGTCGGACTGAGTCTACATCGACCGCAATAACCCCCTCAAAAAATGCGACCCCTAGCACCTCGACGACTTCGAAGTCTACTAAAGCCCTGATATCTGTCCCGCGACTGGATCTTGAACCTATCTATACAGAACTGAAAGCCGCTATCGGCGACAGCTGGCCCGAGTACAAGGAGACCACTACTCTCTTCCTTCTAGGTACGAATGCATAGCAGAAATTGGCCCAGCCCTTCTTCTTCTGCTTCTTCTTCTTCTTCTTCTTCTTCTTTTTTAAAAAAAAAAAAATTTCCTTATCTATTTCCTTTTTGCTCTTCTTCGACATATGTTTACTTTCTGAAGGATGAACTAACGTCGCTCTTCTCTATCATAGGACAATTAAACCAGAATGAACTCTCGTCTCGCGTTGATCATATAATTTGCGCCGATCAGAAAACTGAACACCTCCATAATAACTTCATATGCGCAATTATTGGGAACCTCACAAGGGACCTTCCTGATCATGGAGTTGCAAGTTGGGTGTCGGCGAACGACAAACCGTCGGTGGTCTCGAAGCCGACATCAGGGGATGCAGCGGAGCAGAGGCTAAAGACAGAGGTCATGCAGCTTCCTCCTAGAGATCGTCGGCGAATAAAAGCAATTCCTGAGGTACGATTACAACGTTATAGAGGACCATTAGAGAGCGCAATCCATTCTAACAATGGTCTCGATCAGCATGACCGCGTTGAAACTACACCGAACGAGTTAGAGGAATATCATCTGGCGAAACAAATAAAGCTGCCCAGCCAAGTACCGGCAAGTGCAGGCGGCCTGAATAAAACAAGTAGGTGTAATAAATTCAATGTCTCACTTATGGGTCTAGGGATGCTTACCACACTGCTTGACGGTAGATTGGGAGTTGGAGATTCGAAAACGCTATGCACAACCTCTGGCATCAGAGACTGGTGAATTCCCAGATGCGGAATCCATTCATGCTCGCATGATCCCTATATGCTACGAAGAGTCAATTGTTAGTGGCGCAGGGCTACCCTGCGCTGAGTTTATGGCCATTGCAACAGAAACTTTTGTGAAGGAAGTTTTATCTGTCGTATTCTCACGGACGAGGTCTAACGGACCATCTGGCACCATCAATGGTATGATGATGCGCAAGTATCGCCAGCAGCTCGAACGGGAAGAATTAGCTTTTACACGCGGGGAGATTGTGAAAGATGGTGCGACAGGCTTGCTACCGGTCGAAGCTAAAGAAGCAAGCGTTAGAAAGCCCCTCGGAGTCAGAGACCTCCGTTTGGCTCTAGAGCTTGGTGGGGGAGTTCTCAGTCATATGCCACTCATTGTGGATCAAATAATGGGCGGCTACCTTGAGGATGAGCTTGAAACAGACAAGCAAGATCGAGCTGACGATGTGGCGGAGATTCCCAAGGATAGTATGAAGTTGAATCATTCGACGGAGACAATGGAGGTTGATGATGATGGGGATATTGTGTGGGAAGGTGCCACGATGGCAGACCGAGAACAGCTGGGGTCTTTATTGGACGAGTGCTTGTCCATGGCCTCTTGATCCTTCCCCTCCCTCTTTTTCCCTTGCTTTCTTTCCATCATGATTTTCATTATAATTTCGAACCTCCTCTTCCTCTTTGATTTCCCCTTCCTTTTGGTGTTCTCTTTGACTTATTGTAAGTATACGGTCCTATACGACCAAAGCAGTGGCATTTCGACCAAAGCCTAAAGGCGTACTTGGAGTGTGAAGGGAACTTGTTTTTGGTGTGACATTATCTACTTTGATTTGGCATGGAGTTCAAGCGTTCGATTCGTCTTCTATCTTTCTTCGGTCTCGTTGAGCTTCTTTCCCTTTACAGCTTGGCGCGCTTGAGGATTTGGGTTCCCATGAGTCTTCCTTGAGAACTCGAACATGGTAGTTCTCGAGTGCGACGCGCATGGTATGTGCTTCAAAGAGTCGCCACAGGGTCCAGTTTATGGATAGATATCTCGTCTACGATGGTTCATAACAGAACCACAGAAACGAAAAGAAAAGAACGAAGGTTTCTGAATGTGCGGCAAAACTCGTTCGATACCCACTACTCGGTTTTACTATTTCTTTTCCTTTCTTTGCCGTATATCTGAACGGCGGCTGAGACCTATATATACTTTGAGAGCCATGAAGGCAATTGGCATACCACGCATACACTGTTCCTAGCTTGCTTTTGTTTACTCTATATACTATTCCCCCTTTGTTCCATCTAACCGCTATATTTGTTGTCACGATGAATTATGGGGTACCAGAGACGTGTTAACGTTGATCTTACCAGGTCTATCTTTTGTTTTCTCGTATCAGAATCCATTTACTCATTCTTAATCCTAAGGCTCACTGGTACAATCTCTCAATTTACCTCTCCAACCCCAAAACTTTACAACCTTCAAGTATATAGATTATAAGCCAATTTTGGATAAAACTATGCGGTGTTGATTACTTACACAAGTCGCTCGGCAACCATCTTCAAAATCTCTTCGGTCGACTTGTGCGCGTTAGCAGGATCTTTAGCCACCGATTGCCAAACTTCGCCATGTTTGGGCTCTGTAGAGATGCACTTCGATACCACATCTGCCCGTTTCTCCTCTGTTCCGTGCTGCAATAGGAACTTGTAATACCAAGCCCAGCCGTCCCCTAGGTCGCTGTCGGACACAATGGCCTTTTCAAACCATGTCATTGCTTTCTCCAGCCGACGCTCCCCCCAGAAAATCCGCGCCACTGTAATGAATAATATTGGGTCATTATCGACCTTCTTGATAGCCTCCAAACTGCGAGCCTTCCGTTGTGCCCGCGGTTCGAGATGCCAGATACTCTCACTCCATAACAATCCAGATGTTGGCACTTCCTGCAATGCCTTTGCCATCAAGACCTTGGCTTGGGCGATATTGTTTGCACGCCGTTCAACTCGAACGCTTTCTGTCCACAATTCAGCATTCTTGGGAACAGCAAGCCGAGCTCTGTCAAGAACAGAGCGGGCCTTGACGACAGCACCAGCCTTTTCTTCCAGTCTTGAAGCCAACAACCACAATGGAACGGATCTGGAACACGCACGAGTACCTGTTCCATATGCCTCCCGGGCTTGCGGGTACTTGTTCTGGGATTCATAGATTTGACCCTTCATCATCCAAAGCTTGTCCGCCTTCGGGTATAGTTGGAGGCCCTGATTTACTAAATCTAGCGCCTCATCTGCATTACCCAACTGTCGCTCGAAGGCGACACTTTTCACCCAAACACGATCTGTTCCGGCTTCCCGACGAGCAGTCGCAAGGAGCTCTCTAGCCTGCTCTGTTTGCCGGGCGTCGGCCTCGAGCTTAACAGCAGCAAGCCAAATATCCTCATTATTGGGATTCTGGTTAAAGGCGCGACCCAGCACTCGTCTCGCCTCATCGATTTCTCCAGTTTGCCATTTCTCTTTCGCAAGGAGCAACCATAGCTCTTCACTCTGTGGGCAAGCTTCCACAGCCTTCTCGAGGACCTGCCATAACGCTTCTTTCGTACCATGGTTACGTTCCAGGTCTGCGGCTGCAAGCCAAATAGATCTGCGGTTGACAAACACGCGCAACGCATAGGCATAAATGGCTCTCGCAGTCTCGTACCTGCCCCTGGCAATACTGGATTTTGCATCATCCATCCAGATGTCTTTCCTATCATCGTCTTCATCCAGACCCCATCCTAAAGTCTCGCGGATAATCGCCCCGCAAGTAAGAATAGCTCCCTCCTCTTCGCAATTCTCAGCTTCTGCTATCCACTCCTCCCTCTTAAGCATAGCATTCTCTCTAGCGAGGGACTGTACAGCTCTCTTCATCACATTCACCTTATTAAAAGTCCCCATTTGCTCCTGCAGTCGTGAAGCAGCAATCCATATCTCGTAGCTCGTAGGGACAGCTTTTCTAGCAGCGTTCAAGACCTTTTGGGCGTTCTCAGGTGTCTCGAGGCGGGCAAGGGCAAGCCATAGCTCCACCGACAATGGTATCATTTCAACTGCCTTTGCGAGAAGGAGACGGGCATCTACAGGGTCTTCTTCCAAGTTGACAGCTTCTTTCCAAATGACAACAGATTGAGGAATGTGGAGGATGGCCTGTCTCAGAACGTTTTTCTTTGCACGAGGCTCAGATTCCAACCTCATAGCTTCAATCCAGAGTCTTGTGGAGCGATCATTATTCTTAATAGCATTTGCAGCGATTACCTTCGCATTATGACCTTCATTGAGCCGAATATTCTCAAGCCACGCATCTTCACTTTTCGGGCACAGCTCACATCCCTTGGCGATGCAGTTTCTAGCAGCCACAATTCTACCAGCAAGTTCCTCCAGACGGGCAAGTGCAATCCACCCAGGTGCGTGCTTTGGATTAGTCCTCGTCACAGATTCTAGCAAAACGCGAACTCTTTTGATATCGCCTATCTCCACTTCACCAGCTTTTAGCTCGGACTGAGTGAGACTCGTGAGATAACCCTTTGGATCAATGCTAGTGGCACTTCCAGATGCCGAATCCCCAGATGAACTTATAGCTGCTTGATCAAGCTTGACTTTAAGGGCCTTGTCACGAGCAGCACTGATATCCGCAAAATTTGTTATTGTCCCGTCCACTCCTTCCCCCTGAATGTCGGTATGAGCGCCGTCATCCGTAATGGTGGTCTCGAATTGGGTGGAGTCTCTTGCACTGGCGAGGACACTATCCGGCACTGCGTAAAAGCGTTGCCGGAGATTCTGTTTAGCTCGTCTATTCTTGCCTGTAAGATCTCCAACTTCGGGGAGGTTGGCCCAGTCGTCTTCGGAGACGGAGGCTAATGAGCGCTTTAAATCGGCGAACTGCTGTTGAATTTTCGGGTTTTTCCGTTCGTAGTCTTCTCGTTCTTGACGTTCCCGGATTTCCCTATAGTTGGCGAAGGAATCAAGTCGGTCTTCTATCCAGACAACCGGGGATGAACCCGATGAACAAATTGCACCATCAAAGAGGTGAACGGGGGGTGAGAGGAAGGGAGAGTACCAACCTTCTTGCTTTTCGGCGCTTGTCCATCCTCTCATCTACTTCTCTGTATATCCGGTCTGCTTCGTCATCTTCTTGATCGAACTGTCCGTATGCGAAAAGGCCAACTTCATTGTCTGGATCCTGAAAACGTTCATCGTCCTCCTCTTCCTCGGCCTTATCTTCTTTGCCACCTTTCTCACGTCCTGCGCCATACGCTGTTGGAGGGGCTGCACCAAGCAGTTGTGCCCTCTTTTCGAGCGCTGCTTGAATCTGCTCTGGCGTGGGACCTTCACGCGCAGGCCCTAGGTCCGAACGAGTGGTGAAGCCAGTTGCACCTCTACCTAGACCTGCGACATAGTTTTCGGGGGCCGGCTGGCTCAAAAAGTCCTTCCTCCCGGAGGCCATCTTGACCAGAGATACGGAGCAAGACTGGGCAACTTTAAGCTTAAGTGTACCAAGATTCCGAGGTAGCAGGAAGTTGTTTCATGCTTCAAAGAGGCAATGAACGCAAGAACATTATCCCGCTCCCGTATCTATCTTATCGTAGTATCCTAACCAAACGTAGTTAGATCCTTGCCCTACATTATCCAGCGCTACTAGAATGAATGACCTACCACTACGTACTACTCTATGGCTCCTCGAACACCAGTGGAATTCACAGGACGTACCTAGGACCAGGGCTATGCTCTTGCAATATTCCAAGTTCAATTCTTTTGATAGGTCGGCATTATATTATCCATGTTGCGTACCCCTAGAACGTCGTATGTCTAAACAGTGCTTCCTTTGCGCGCCTAGTTGCTTAGCTGCACTGACAGGATCACATACGCCAACGTCTCGCCAACTGAATAACCCTACAGACTAATCATCGTATTTTTAATTCTGGTTTGCACCTTGGCTTTTGCCCAACACAAAGCCTGTCGTTAAGCTATGGAGTAGACGCCTTCAATGGGCAAGTATGAGCTAGGGTAGATCACCTGCTGACGGCGCGCATGAATCCTCAAGCGGCCTCCCTCTCCCAGTCAACCCGAATGTTATTCCATCTTGTTCCCAAAACTCCATTATTGCCAACTGACTATGACCCAGAGTTGGCCTATTGAAAAATTTGGTTTGCAAGAGAAAAGCGAAACAAACAACCCCCAAACTCCTCCTCCCAGTATAGCCTTTCTGGAAATCCCAAGTGGCAGATCTAGCAGAGACTAATGACGGGGCATGATATGAAGCATGAGAGCAATACCCCGCTGTAGGCTGGGCCCTCTGCAGATCATGAGGTAGACACACAATGAATGTACGCAACACTGGGATGGTGAGAAAGCGGAGCCGACAGGACCACCGGGCTTGGTGAAAGCGGAAATGCACTTTCTTTCCTCCCCTTTTCCTTTTTTCCTTCTCCCACACACCAACCCCCTCTTTACCACGCGCGCATACAGACGATAGAAATGCGTGAGGAAGCCGCAAGCAGCAGATGTCGACAGACTTTTACGGGCTTCGCAGAGGAATGTACAAGCATATGCGACGGGTACCGCTTTTGGAAGGTGTTGTGGGTTTTCCTCTACAAGGGCCTCCTGTTCAGTTTGCATTTATGCCCAAGGGGAAAGAACCTGGACTGGCTTTCTTTGTCACAAGCTAGGGGGTGTATGCCTATTACAGCTCGATTTCTTCACTGCAACCCATTATCGGGGGAGGGGTCACCAGTGGAACGAAGATGAGCCCGAGAGTCTTGAAACAGGCTTTGCCAAATGAATGCTTCACTCAACAGGAGTTCAATATCTTGCTCCGTCCAGTCTTTGGTTGGGAGGGCTTGCAAAAACATCATGACTTCCTATTCTCATTCAGCACTGGCCTCCATATCATTGGTTGATACACTTACCTGAAAATCCATCTTCACCAACTGGTCCGACCATTTGACTAGAAAGGCTGCACACACATAGAGGTGAAATCGTGAAAAGCCCTGCTCCTCGGCCTTGAATGCAAAGTTAGCACATTTCACCTATATGCAAAATTAGGGTAGCGAACCATGTATGTATCCCACATGCGTATGGTGTTCTGGACGCTCATTTCACGCATGAGCAAGCAGTTCATCCATCGGAAACTAAATTGCATAAATTCGACACCTTCATTCTCCAAATGTTTCGCGAGGGTAGCATCAATGCGCATAGTTAAGTCGCGCAATGCTTTAACTTGCCGGTGTATGCCGGGCTGAGCATATATATAATTGTCTTGAATGCCGTCAAGGAGCTTCGTAAGACACCAGAATGTATCCGCTTCGACAGCATCCAGCACGCTCCGGGGCAATTGACCCGGATCCATCCCTTCTTCTACATTAAGGTCCGTAACATAGACACCTAGGAAAACTTGCCAAAATGGCGTGGCGAGGTCATTGATCCCTTGCACATAGCCGCTGGCTGGGTGTCGAATGGCCCAAACATAGAGAATCCTTTCTAGCGAGCGTTGAGTAGCCTCATAGCTGTAGAGCTGGATATGTGGACAAGTACGAGGGACATCTATACTGATTTGATGCCATATTGCCTCGTCCAGCCCTCTGCCGCGCCCTGTTGCCGAAACAGGAGGGTTCCCAGCACCTGTGGTACTGCCGCGCTCAAAAGCCTGGCGAACGCCATCTAAATACTCCTTACGCTTCCTTTCGAGGGTCGAAATACGTCGTTCGCAATTCGTAGGAAGATAGCCCAGGAGAAGTTGCCAGGTCATCGCCCGTACCTCATCGGGGATCCCTGACCATGCCAAGTTTCTTAATTCTGCTAAAGGAACCGTACTTGTCTGCAAAAGGCGTTTGAACTTGTTGATTCTCGAAATGCGACTCGAGTATTGGTCCATTTCTTTCGGAGTTGCACTCTTGGGTGGTGGAGCATGGTTGATAAGATTCAAAGCGTTTGCAGGATCTAGTGAGGATTAGCCATCTGCAAGCTTCGGCAGCTTAAATCGCATCCGTTACCTCTTAAAATATCTTTATACTGAGGCCGAAGTATTTTCCCTTCCCCCTTTCTAGCTGTTGGGTACATAGGAACACCCCGTTCCTCTGCAATATCCGAGCTGTTGGCACGCTGTCTGCTGTTCCCTAAACCAACACTAAGGGCCGAGGCACTGCCTCCAATTCGACCGCCTGGGTCAACACTCCTGGATGAAAGAAGGTCGACATTCTGCTTCTGCTTCTTCCGCATGCTAGTAATGCTGGGAAGCCCAAACTCATCCTCATCATCATCATAGACAATATCTTCATCTTCCTCGTCATCTTCTTCGTCTTCCATTTGACCGCGACCCCATGAATCGACCCCTTGGTTCATAATACCGGTGTACGATCTACGAGAAGAGGCAGACCATGATGCAGGCTGATGGGAGGATGGCGAGAAGTTTTGAATATTGGTAGAGGATGGTCGGGGCGGTGTCCGCGGGCGCGCATGCTGTTGCGATATACCTCTGCCAAACGTACTAAGTTAGTCCAATGTATTTTGAGGAGCTTCTAAGAATTATGACATATGGGCGAACGAAAGCTCACTTCAAGATGTTTGCGTGGGAATATGAAGAGCCAACAACAGTACTTTGATCATTGGGTTTGGGGGGCCCGTGATTCTGGGAAACTGATCTTCCCTTCCAGAAGGGCGAACCCGTTCTCCTTCGAAGAGGGATTAGCAAGAAATGGGGAGCAGAAGAGAGAGAGAGTGAGAGAAGTGCGTAACTAATTGAACAGAGATATCTCGCACTAGCAGGGCTGCACATACCCAGAACGGTCTAATGAGTTGAAAGCGGGGAGCTATATCAGCAGCTAGAACGAGGTGAAACATGGGGCTATGAGGTACGAACCAACCTGGACCATCTCCTATACCAGTGAGACAAGTAGTTTGGGTTAGCTCTGTGTCGCATTGGTTTGAGTGGTATTTCTGGACACACTTACCTGCGGCTGTGACTTTCTAGTAGCCATTGCGTGACGCCACTGGTGTGCGGAGGGTCATTCAGAATGGGGGGAAAGTAGGAAAAGAAGGGGGGGGAGGAAATAAAGACAGAGGTTAGTTGCGGGGTGCTTTGCGGCACCATGATGCTGTTTTAAGCCTTAGTAGTGTAAGTAGTAGACTAGCCAAGCCAAGACGAATTAACAAATTGTGATGGTACAGAGTAGCTAGATATTGACTCATTCCTTGTATCGATCCGTAAGGTAATTCATATTATGTACAATAGCTAGCTTTCTTCTTTTCTTTCTTTCTTGGTAAAACGAACCCTTAGAAAAAAAGAAAAAGAAAAAAGCAGAAGAAAAATATTGTTGGTGAAGAAGCAATCAAAAACTGATTTAAGTGTTGAGATACTATGTTAAGTTGCCCAGGAACCTTTTACCACGTTGGAGGCAAGCTAGTACCTCGTAGTACTAGCCTGTACTCCGTACTTAACCTATGTATGCGTATGTATGGGGAAGAAATTAATACCTAAATAGGTGAAATGGAATGAAATTTATTACGGATCTCAGGTTCGCGCGGTCAGCGGCTAACTTAAACTGACTAACTCCTCTCTGAGACTCTTTCTCTCTCCTCATGCTAACCTCCGACGTAAACCACACACACCTCTTCCTTCCTTCCTTCTGCTCTACTGCCGTTCCTCTCTCACCCTTCTTCTGCCAAACTTCCCAATTCACCTTATAAGAATTCCTTTCCTCACTTCTGTTAGCTAGTTAGTAGTGAGAAGGAATCTCACTTCATCCCCACCAAGCTAAAGTCACAGGATTCTGTTCCATCCCTAATCGAACTGTTTCAATCGACTTCATTCTAGTGCAGCCATTCGGCCCTTCGCTCACGTTGCTTTTTAGTACTAACTCACCATGACCGAACCAGAGGATGTTGAAGAAGACCTGTTTGCAGATCTGTATGGCGCTTCAGTTTGCCGGAATTCATATTACAAGACCTTGTCTAATGTCTTGATAGGTACGATGCGGATGATGCCGCGAACCAACCAATTTCAACCGTTGAAGCTCCGATTACCTCGGAGCCTACAGCTTCGGTCCTCCCGACTCAGTCGGCTGGCCTTCCTACAACACATGTCTCCGAAGCCTCTCATATCGAAACGGAAGACATCCGCGGTGTACACCAACAATTTCTACAGGATGGAGCTCACCAACATGGCACAGGCAATTTAGATTCTGGATTCGCCAGTACTACCACTCCTATGTCGGGGGAAACAGAGCATCACGGAACCGGGATTAAAGAAGATGGGTAAGTAATAGCTTCTTTTGCTAGGGATGTTTTGAAGTTTTTATATGCTTGTTGGGGATTGGAACGCCCGCTCGAATTGGCTTGGCCATCCTACTAGTGTCACACCATTTCCCTTTGTTAATATCTGGCCATTTGGGAGCGATGGCATATTGGAGGGCCCACAATGCCCTTTTCTTCTTATTTTTATCACTTTACCGCTCTGTATAAGGATGAGCTCGAGTGAGCTGGTTAAGGCGATGGTGGCTATGCTGATATCTGGGTGGGCTTCTACACATGTGACTGCTTGGTACAGTGGAGAAAGTGATGAAATTCTTCGGCCTGCATCCAGGTCTTTCTCCAATGGAAAACCAAACATACTTGCTAGAGAAAACAAGGTTATGGCCAATCTTCGATGGAGAGTCTTTAGACTCTCGTCAGGCTTAGCTATGGAGAGCAATTTGGTGGGGACAAATTCTATCTCTGGCATCTTGAGGGACAAAGTGGGAATACATGTCAACGGCACAACGTCGATGTGACAATTGCGGAAAGACAAATTTCGAACCCCTGTCTCTACGAGCCATTGTCGCGAGCGACTATAGTACAGCCGATGCTATATAGCTTCATGTCGAGATATCTTGATAGTGCAGAGAGGAGAACAGAACAAGAGTAGGTGCCGGGGCTTTGTGGTTGCGAACAGTTTACCTAGCTTCGGACTATTAGACAGGCAGAGTTCCTTGGTCAGAGAAGAGAAAGAGAGAAAGAGAAACAATTGACTTATTCCGCCTGAGATGCTTCAGCTTGTGGTCTTTGTTTTCACCACCGCATACCTCCCGGACCCGAGGAATTGTCTTCCATTTGACCTTCAGTCCACTGGATCGTTTAGTAAACCAGTGGATTATTGACTAGAGGTTGATTGTCACCATGAGCCTTCCAGCCAGTCGCAGCCCCCGTCGGTGTATGTGCATACGTCACAGACTGACGAACCATCCTGAAGCGACCATGAAAAAAGAAGCAAGAAGGAAAAAGAGAGAGAGAAAGAGACAAAACAAAAAGAAATACTCCCCTACGCATTGCTTGCAGTGGTTTCTTCCGTTTCTCAAGTCAAATTAGTGCCTGTCAATATGGTATCGATTTTCAGTTCATAAGCTCTTACATCGCAATAACTGTCTATCAACAATGCTGTCCTTGTTCTCAGGGGGCACAGAGCGCCAGCCTGCCACCAGCCAAGATTGAAGCCTTGCTTGCTTTCTTCTTCTTGTTTATTCATTTTGTTCTTCTCTCATCTCCTATGGCTTTTCTATTCATCTATCTCTTTTACTGTTAGTAACTGAGACCGAGACACTCGTACTAATACTGTCTGCGTTAAATAGGAAGATGTTTATTGGCGGTCTCAACTGGGAAACAACTGACCGTATGTACCTCCAAGATCCGTTGGTAACCATCCGGCACAGCTGTCAGCAATCTAACTTGGCAATTAGAATCCCTAAAGGACTACTTTTCTCAGTTCGGAGAGGTACAGGAATGCACTGTGATGCGAGACAGCGCTACAGGTCGCTCTAGGGGGTTTGGTTTCTTAACTTTTAGAGACCCTAAGACCGTCAATACTGTCATGGTCAAGGAGCATTACTTGGATGGGAAAATCGTGAGTCATGCATCTCATATCCTTAAATTTTTGAAGCAAAACATAAGCTTATTTGGTTTCAAGATCGATCCGAAGCGTGCAATCCCTCGTGACGAACAAGAAAAGACAAGCAAAATCTTCGTTGGTGGCGTCAGCCAAGAAGCTAACGAGCAAGACTTCAAACAATTTTTCATGCAATTCGGTCGTGTGGTCGATGCTACTTTGATGATCGATAAGGACACTGGTCGGCCTCGCGGCTTTGGCTTTGTGACGTTTGACAGCGAGGCTGCTGTTGAAGCAGCACTCTCACGTCCTTTAGAGATACTCGGTAAACCTATTGAGGTCAAGAAGGCCCAACCACGCGGTAATTTGCGGGACGAAGAGGATCGCAGGAACCGCCGTGGTAGAGACGGTTTCCGTGAGGGAGCTCAGATTGGTGGCGATGGTTCTCAACAACAAGGCTCTCAAGGGCCGGCCGGCATGCCCGGTGGCTTGACTCCACAGATGATGGCGCAGTATTGGCAACGGATGCAGCAATATTTTGCTTTAATGCAGCAGCAGATGGCTGTTGCCGCTCAGGGTCAAGGCATGGGCGCAATGGGAATGGGTGGAATGAACCCAGCTATGATGCAACAGATGCAGATGAAGCAGATGCAACAGATGCAAATGGGCAGTAATCAACAACAGGGAAGCATGAGTCCTCCATCACAGAGTCAGACACCTCAAATGCAGAATATGATGAATCCCACCATTATGCAGCAGATGCAGCAGATGCAAAATCAAGGTCAAGGAGGACAGATGGGGAATGCTATGAACATGGGGAGCACTAGTCCTGGAAACGTGAACATGAGTGGAAATTATTCAGGACCTCGGGGAGGCCCAGGCTATAACGCCCATGAGCAGATTGCCTTTGAACAACAGAAGTATGAACAGCAGCAGGCTCGTCGGGCCATGGAAAACCGGGCGTTCTCTCCCTATCAACAGGGCGGTCCAACTTCCTGGGAAGGTATGTACGATGAAGTGCCCCAGCCCAACATCCCCACGGGACCGCAAGCCATGAATCGAGCTGGCAGTATGGGACGTGGTATGTATTTGGTAGAATTCGAATCGTCTGCTTGTTAAATACCCCTGTGTCATCTGACTGCTAACTCTGTTTCAGGACCGACGCCGCAGCCTCAGAGTGCCGCACCAGCCAACGCTCCAACTGGGCCCAAAAATGCTGGAAAACCTGGAGCCAATTACCGAGGTGGGGGTCGTGGAGGTCATCGTGGCTTTCATCCCTATGCTCGTGGCTAAACTGATGCGCTTCTTCTACTCGGATGTTGTCATTCTGGCCTTCTTTGTATGGAGCTGAATCCATTCGGCAGCAACTTCTCAGTTACCTAATCTTCTTTTCAAATTTTTGCTTTTGTAAGTTGCGGCAGACCATGATGCCGTTTGTTGAGCTAAGGGTCTCATGAAATTGGTGATGTGTTCAATGTACTTATTCAACGATGCTGCTCTTGTCTCCTTCATCAAAATGCTGCCGACTACATGTTTAATCCTTCCCCAAGAAAAGAAAAGAAGAGGGAGGGAGGGAGCGAAAGAATGGAACAGAAGACAAGTAAAGAGACATAACAAGCGTAAGGTGGTCGCTGTCATCGAGATATGGAGGACATTGGTATCATGATGTATTGCCTATCCCATTCGTGGTGCTTTGTGGACAGCCAATATGCACTTGGGATTAGAGACAAATGAAAAGAATAGCATAGAAGGGAGGCTATAGTTTAGCAACCCGTGAAACTATAGGACTCACTTGTTACTAAAACTACCATGAAGTTCACCTCACTACAATGCACCATTGGTATGTTAACGGCACAGTTGGATGGGGTGCCAGCTACAGGATCTCTGTTGAGGTTCACATTAAATCCTTCGTCCGTGTCCGAATATAAGGAGGCCCAGCTATTTTATCCTCTAGAAGATCACCAGAGATATATATCATGTCTAATGCAATGTTATTGTCTTAGGCGCGGGAGGCTGTCTTATAAGGGAGAGTAAAGTGCAAATATTGGTTGGTTATGACTGAATGTGAGGCTGATATCGACACGTATTCAAGCGTATATATGCGAAAATTGGGTTGGGGGTGCAAACATGGTACATACAGTGGAGACAGGAGTAACATCAAATCCGCTAAATTCAGTTGTCTGGCAAGAATAGTTTTCTATGGACACAGGGAAATGGAGGGTAGGGAGTAAAAGAAAATGGGTAAGAGTAGAATAAGAAATGTTGCAGAAGGCAGTGTACCATGAATTGCTTCCATGATCTAATGGCTCAATAGGCGAAGCCATAACCAGGAGCGGTAGGTTTACGACCATCCGGGGAACCACGACTATCACGGGTATGCCGGCTTTCTCGACTAAGACTTCGACCATGTTGACTTTCATGATAGCCAGGAGGATCCACCAAACGGTCTGTGCTTCCTGTAGGGCTTGATCGTGACTTTGGATCGTAGTGGTCCCGATAGGGTTCGTAGGGGCCAGTGAAGTTAAACTTGCTCATCTCTGTGTACTCTTTGCGGGGCGGATTCTCCATAAGGAGCGACTCCCGCGCATCCAAAGGAGTCAAATCGTCGATATCACGGTTCATTTTTTCTGAGTAGAACGCCGGTTGTTAGCATACCGAATAGACCAAAAGGCTCTTTCAACTTACTGGCTTCTCTTCTCCGTTTCGCATGGGGGTTTTCTCGGACACAAAGAATGATGGCGTTAGCGGCAATGAGGATGGCCAAAATGCCTGTGAGGGCGGATTGCACAACGATAAGGACAATACCCGTCACAGTCTTAGTAGTCTGCGAAAGACCAAGTTCCTCAACAAAGATCAACACGCAAGCAACGGATAATACACGGACCACCTGAATGCTGATATTAATCCACTGGCTCGACTTTGCAACATATGGCCGGTACCATAGCAAAAGTGCTAGCATGAGAGCTTCAACAATGAGTTGACCCGCGGACTGAATGAGGCCATGACCATTGCCCGCAGCGATGATTACACCCTTAACAAACATGTACACGATCGCAGGGACAAAAAGCCACCAGTAATCCTTCTTGTAGTTGTCGTAAAAAAGGCTGTACTTCCGCCAGGTCTCTTTATCCTCGTACAAGCCAGAGGCGTCGCCTTGAGATGCCTTATATTTACGAGCCACATACCAGATTCGGAGACCAAAAAAGATCAGGATACCGGTAAATATGACAAGCGTGACAACAGCCAATACTTTCGCGGCCCACGAATCACCACCAGTGAGCTGGTAGACGCAATATAAGACCCAAATCCCATAGAGAAGAAGAATCAGGTTGGTAATAGTCCTGGCCAACAAGCCCCAGTAATCCTTGCGAAAATTCGTGAGCTTTGCAGGGAATGATCCATACAAAGCCCATAACTCAAGGATAACTTTAAGCAGTAGAATGCCCACCGTAATAGCAGCTATAACAATAGCAAATATCAGCAGGCATGTCATGAATATGTTCGCTTGAGGGATGGTAAGCTGCTCCGCCCAAGCCTCTATACCAGAGACAACCTTTTTGACTGTATCATCACTAGCCTCTTCGCCAGATGTCGAATTCGCACTATAAGAAGTTGAAACATCACGTATACTCAAGTCGGCAGCGCCTACAATCAAATTGAACCCTCGCTTGACTTTAGAACTTGTGTCCGTCGATGATCCATTTGAAAACTCGAGTGTAGCATTGCGAAGGAAGTCGTAGCTGTTTTCCGTGAGGTTTCCGCCGGTTGACTTTCGGAAGTTATCGATAGACTGCTGCATTTGACCCCATGGGATTAAACCGGTGCTAAAGGCAAAATTTTTCGTGAAGCTGCGATACACTGCTGGGTAGTTGACGCTGAGCATGCCGTTTGTAGCCATGCTATGGAACCATCCCATGACATCACCAAACCCCGGACTAGAAGAGGCTGCCCCGGGATGACCGGCGGCGCCTATGACAGACAGACCGCTCATTGCCAGAGCGGCACCTGCTACACCGGCGGCTGCGTAAGTGACGCTTGGCATTTGTGCAGACTTTCCGTTCGACAACTGTGTTTCAATGCAAGCAATATCGTGGACATCATCCTTGGACTTCAGCTCCAGTTTCACTTGCCCATCCAAGTCGGGTATAGCAAAGGCAATCGCGGGGATCTGGCTAGCAAACGACTCTGGAATTTGTTGCGAACCAGTCGCTTGAAAGGCGCCGGAGGGGACTTTATCGAGAAGAAACAAGTCAGTTTATAGGCAGGAAGGTTTCCGTTCTAACAAAACTTACCAGGACAAAGTTCCTCGACATGATTCTCCGAGCCACAAGGGTCGAATGACTTGCTATATATTTCGTTTCCGTATGCATAAACCGACAGAGATGCGGTAACGTTCTGCTGTTTTTCATTTGTTCCGGCCACATCGAAGACTACCACTCTCGTGGAACGTGTATAAGTGACGTCCAACTTTTTAACCTGTATTTCTGCGTCTGTCAGACAGGTTGAAATGCCATTTGTGCTAAGCGTGTCCGCTGCGAGGACATGCACGGGGGACAGCCCCAAGGCAATTAAGGTAAAATGTGATATAGGAACCCGCATTTCGGCAAGAACAATCGTTCTAAGATTCAAATTCAAAGTGCCAACATCAAACGTGTTGTTCGGGTGTTGTTTCTCACAAGCACAGGATTTCAATTCGAAAGATAGGCGATCAAGACGAATTTTTGAAGGCGATTAAAATGATTAAAGATGGCGCAAGCTCCAAGTGATCGAGCTGATAGCAACCGGACCGGCCGAGAATCAGAAACGTCACAGGGTCAACCCGTGGAGAATAGAAATAATCGTATATAAAAAATATTTCGAAGAAAGCAATCACAACGTGAGAATAAAGAGCATCAAAAGATGGGGAGAGGGATTGGAGAAGGAGGGAAAGGTCGAGCAAAGAAAAGTTGAGAGGATTTCAAAAGAGAGGCATACACAAGGAAAGCGTTAGGACCACTCAGTCCTCTCGCCCACTCCGTCTCTTGTAGCTCACCTTTCCTCGGCCTCAAGAGACACGGCAGGGGAAGGGAAGAGCTGTATAGACTATGAGGAGAAAGAGTAAAAGAAAATTGGTTGAAAGAAACAATAGCAGCTCGCGGATGGATCCGGAAAAAAGGAGTCGTAAGGGAGCGTGTGAAGTGAATGAGAGGCGAAAGAGGCAAAAAGCAGCGCAAAATCAGCAGCACGATTTGTATGCCAAACGAGTGATGATGGAGAAGAAGAGTAGAAGGAGGGGAGGATATGCAAATCAATCAGTCGATCAGTGATAGAAGAGAAGCCATCTTCTTCAGGGTGTCTGGCTGATCGGTACAGTACAGGTATACGCACAGTGCGGGCCAATCTTCCTCCCGAATAGCTGGTACCAGAACTCACTAGTAAGAAGTGGTACCCGTTACCTTACCGAAAATGCCTAATAATAATTAAAAGGACAGTATCAAGTGGTTAGTTCTTCGCCGTAGGGTTCGAGACTCCGACACCTTGCCCCTGAATTGTCTCAAGATCTGTCCCACCACGACCATTGATTGGCCCAGTGCCCGGCTCAGGAACGGCCCAAGAATGGCGCCGTCTGGAGCCGTCTAGACTCTAGACCTCTTTATGGGGCCACTGATATTCTGGCATCACAGTACTTCTTCCCAAGGTAAATAAAGGTAATTTTACGTAGTACTGCTTCTGTATGTCAAATAGATTCCAACATTTCCAGCGTGCGCGTGTAGACTTTTCCTTTTTTTTACTTTTTGTAACTGTATGATCCATTTATAGCTATTTCCCAAATAACCTAGAACTTCACCCTCTACCATAATTCATGATACACTAGTACTCCGTACTATGGGCGGATTTGCTGCACATCATTTAATTTCTCATTCAAAAATATTAAAACAGAAATGAGAGAGAAAAGTAAAGAGATTAGATCTTAAGATGATCTATACATTATAACCATACCACTAGCAAATTATTAAACAGGAGTCCTTGCAAACATTGAAAGAAAAAGCAGAAACGAAAAAAAAAAATTACATGAACCACACACATGGCAAACACCGTGCTGACTTGACCACCCGCACAGGAGACCGGCTACGCCACAGTTAAAGTTACTGATCTCAATTATACCCGTATATCCTCTGTATTCTATACAGAACACTAAGAGCTTCTTTTTCTTTGTCCTTTCTCTCTGGCGTAAAGGGGGTACAACTTTAGCGCAAGAGTTTGAAATGCCGTTGTTTCTCTTAACCCACAAGACTCGGCTAGATGGACATGATCTTTTTCAAAAAGGTAATTCCCATATGCAATTCTTCATCATTACCATTCCTCTCTCCTTCAGGAATGAAGGGGATGCCGAACGGATTGAGTGGGGGTAAAGGCCTGGAGCCTGGAGCACCAAGCAATCAATCTACGTCGGTGGGCTAGCATGTGTCAGATTAGCTTCTGAAGTCTGCGTGTTACTACTCACTACTCCGTACTGGGTTGTACTCAACCCCCACCCGCTTACCGAACGGTATCTCTTTGGGTGCTGTAAACACCTCGTGGCCCGTACTGTAATGTATACCACATACCACAGAGCCCGAAGCTTGCTTATCTAACTAAACGAGTCTCTTCCCTGCCATTAGAGAACGTCAGAGGATAACTTCCAGGTACTCTCACGCACAACCAATATACTGGACACTGTTGTTCACTAAGTTTATTATCTGTCATCTCCAACCGGATCCTGCTCTTAGACAGTTCCGTCACCTGCACCTTCCGGCACCCTGAATCTCACACAACATAAAAACACCATGTAGTTAGTGCCAAATCTTGGTATGAGTGTTTGATGTATTGTCGACCAGATTCACTATTAGCACTAGAGAACTATTGATGAGGATGGTAGTACCCGCAATCTATCATTGAATATAGCGGTGATAGAAAGTCCCACAAGAACAGATTTCCTAGGTACTACCTGTCACTTGCTCATTAAATAAGCGTCGGCTTCCAGGGTTCAACCCCGCCTCTAAAGAAACTGGTAGAGCCGGTTCTCAGCATTAGAGCTATGTCGCAATGTATATATTGCGGATATATATAGGTGTATCATACTCTCATCTACAGGCAGGAGACTAATGAACTGGTGCCTCTATTAGGTCCAAGCAGTACTTGATAGGCAGTCATCACAGGTAAGTTAGTATGTCTACATATAAATATGATAGTATGCGGCTATTTCGTCCTCCCGGATGGTATACGTCGAAAGGGAGCACCTATGTATGTATATTGAGCTCACTTCACAGTCAACTCAAAGTTCTGGCAGAACGCCAACTCGTATTGTCCTACCATTGTAACAACGCTAGAAAGTGAGATACACTGTGTGGGAAAGTATTATAGCGTATACAGTTCACTCACGCAAGCAAGACCAACAATACTATTGCACACGCTAGGTTTTCGATTCAAAGATAAAAGAGACAGTCGACACCCGCTCCGGCGACCTCAACAAGCTCCCTCCATGAGCATAACTGAACGGAAGGTGGTACCAACTTCCAAAGGGACTAAGGTGTCCACATCATTCAACCTGGAATATGGCACATTATGGTCGATAGGTAACCGAAGGGCTTCCGTACCTGCGGTGGCTATCATGGCAAAAGAGCATGAGATGGAGAGCAACGGCGGTAATTAAACAATCCTATAAGCCTGTTTGTCTCCATGGAATAGGAAAATGCGCCAAACAGAGATAAGGACGGTGATGTCTCTGCTCGAGTGGGACGCAGGGAAGTCCACCAATTAGATTTCGCTCAGGAATATATTACACTGAAGTTTATCCAGAATGTAAGCGGGCGCTACAGGCGACAAGTATGCCACAGTAAGGATGAGATTATCCAAGGTTCCAGATGAGTGGGGCGGGTAGGTTGTAATGCACATTCATTTTCGCCCTTGCTTCTCTTGCATTTCCCGCATCGCAGCTCTAGCACTCCGGCTGCCTCCCAGCTTAGGACCCCGCGATGCCTCGGTTTTCGCGGTCTTGGGGTTTTTCACTCGCGTTACCCGACGACGTGACTGAATGGCATCAAGGAAGTCTCTTCGGAACTGTTCGGCGACTCTGTCATCAGCAGCTTGGTCGTCTCCCGCTGCCGCTGTTTCATATTCCGGTTCCTCATATACGTCCACTACGAGAAATGTTATTTTCTTTGTTAGAGTCGGATCACGTCTGAAGGCATTACAGAAAGGGTTGGAGTGCTTACGTTTGCTTTCGCGTAGAACTTCTTCTACGAGTCGGTCTCTTTCCACATCCTCACTGGTTCGTCGTTTTTGACGACGCCATAGTCTCTCATCCTTTCCCATAGGAGCTGCTGTGAAGAGAGGGCCGTCATGCTTGAGATGCTCATATTCATCGTCTCTTGCTAACTTTCTTGTCGCTGCCTCCGTCCGTGCGATATTCTGTAGCTTGGTCTCCTGGCCGAGATCAATCTCGTGGAGTTTACCTAAAGACGCCGGTTCACGTTGAGGATGGTCGGTTGGGGACGGCGCAGCACCAGATTCGCCCACCAAAGGACCATCTGAATCATCTGTCGGGACAGTGTGCTGGTGTCGCTTAGCCATTTCGGTCTCTATATAAGCCATCCTTATCTTGTTAGTTTCTATTACAGACAATACAAGCGACAGAAGAGGATATGATGCTAGATCGTACATATGTTTGTCAACATCCACCGTCTGCCCAGTATGTGCTGTAAATCGGTCACACATAGCGTGGATCCTCTGCGCCTCGAGATCCTCCGCTGATCCCGTAGATACGATGGCTTGCTTATCGTTGTTTGCCGACTGTCGAGAGGTAGTAGAAAATCCAATGCCACCCTTGCGAAAGCGATGAAGACGTCGTAGACGAACAAGATCAGTAGGGTGCACGGGATCATTGTCTGCTTGGGATTGAGAGGGGGTGGTAGGATCTGAGCCACGGTCATCCCTTCGATTTTCATTGCGGAAATCTTCTAGTGTGTCCTCAGGGCGACGTCGCAAGAACTTTCTTCTCTTTACCGGTCGGAAGAGAGTCTCCGGGTTCGAGGTAGTATTATTGTCCATCGTTGTGACTCCAAGGGAGATATGGTGTATAATATCTACCTAGGGAGAGAACAGACGAGCAGTCAAGTGGATAGAAGGGAGGATTTAAGTAAAATATGAGTCATGCACTATGGAAAGGTACGTACATGAGAGGGAAACCCGTAGCTTATTCGTAGCAATGGAGATAGGACCTAGTAATGGCAGTAGCAGGACAGAGTAGTGGAGGTGATGAAACACGCCCGCCCAAGCCTTTTTAAGTTTGGTTCCCGCACACCCTCTATAAACCACCTCCATCACCACCCACGCTTTTAGCCTTGCTGATCATAGAGTTGCCTCGCTGGTCTTACCCAGAACTATTTTCCCTCTCTAGTTGTCGCCTACGAACCGCAGGGCAATTTTCACTACTACTCGAATTGCGGTGCTTCTCCTTTTATTCCGCCATGAACCCATCCATTCCACCTTCGACTGCTGAATACGGTGGAGGTATGTCATCTCTTGAAAATGCATCACGCAGTGAAGAGCTTTCCTATATGCATACTACCACATAGATTACATCTTTTTCAGAGCAGAACAGAAACTAACGGCTCGCTACGTGCAGATGAGGTTTCAGCTATAGTACTTGATCCTGGGTTTTCAACAACGCGCGCCGGCTTTGCAGGCGAAGACACGCCAAAGTCCCTGATCCCAACATATTATGGGAAATACACCTCCGAGGGACAGGAAAGGTTGATTTTCAGTGATGACGTCTTTGTTACCCCGCGCCCTGGCTTGTCCGTCCATAACCCAATGGGTCGAGATGGAATTGTGGAGAATTGGGACATGGCAGAGAAAGTGTGGGAGTATTCTTTTACGTCGCGACTCACGGGCCCTAGACCGGGAAATCCATTCCAAAATGGTTTGAACGATATTGCTGATGGAGAGCTTCCCACAGAAATGGAGGGGGTGGAAACTGAGGAGAAGCCTCTCGCGGACAGTCCGCTCTTGATGTCTGAGTGTGGCTGGAACCCTGCAAAAGCTCGTGAAAAGACCATGGAGATCGCTATGGAAAAATGGGGAACACCGGCTTTCTATTTGGCAAGGAACGGTGTTCTGGCAGCGTATGTACCCACCCTTCAATTTAAGCCGTCTGGCATACTCTGCTGCTGACACTTTAGTCCTCCTTCAGCTTCGCATCCGGGAAAGCTTCTGCCCTTGTTGTTGATGTCGGTGCTTCCAATATCTCCGTAACCCCGGTGCACGATGGAATGATTTTAAAACGTGGAGTTCAGCATTCCCCTCTAGGCGGCGACTACATCTCATCACAAATCCGCGCTCTTCTTAAGACAAACACACCACAACCTATTACTATCACCCCTCATTACCTCATTTCCTCGAAAACTGCTGTCGACGCAGGTCAACCTTCGCAGGCAAAGTACAAGACTTTCCCACCTGAGAAGGCACCGGACGCTTCGTACCGTACCCTGCTCGAGGAGCGAACCCTTTCCGAGTTTAAAGAGTGCGTGGTCCAGGTGTGGCCTGGGCCCAATAAGCTCTCCGCAACGGGCCCAAACGGAATCTCGAACGAGGAAGTGGCTAAAAGCAATCCTGGACGGCCATTTGAGTTTCCAGATGGTTACAACCAAGTATTCGGCCTTGATCGCTATAGAGTGGTGGAGTCCTTGTTCGATGCAAAAGCTGCGATCCCAGACCCAGAGTCGCCATTCCCCTCTCCAACACAAGCTCAGACTGTGCCCGAGTTGATCAAGAACGCACTCAACGGGGTTGATGTTGACATCCGCCCGCATTTGTTAGCCAATGTTGTCGTAACGGGTGCATCCAGCTTACTCCATGGCTTCACCGACCGCCTCAACCAAGAACTTATGCAGACTTACCCGGGACCGCGGGTTAGGATCTCTGCTCCAGGCAACACGGCCGAGCGCAAATTCGGGTCTTGGATTGGCGGAAGCATCCTTGCTAGCTTGGGAACCTTCCATCAAATGTGGATTTCGAAGAAGGAATACGAAGAACATGGCCCGACTATCGTCGAGAAGCGCTGCAAGTAGCCTTCAGCCTGTCCTGCTTTACCCATGTTATCCTGCTATGCCCGCACGAGATGTGGTTCGCTAGCTTGGTTTTTGTAGTTTTGCAATTTGATTTCTTCTCTTCTCTGTTCTGATCTTGATTTAGTTTTTCTAGGCGTTCTTGTACTACTTTGATGGTTTGAGAAAAGAACTTTTCCCATAAGACTAGGACCGAAAAGCAGCAGGGCTTATCTCTTTTTATATTACATGGTTGTAGAAATAATGCCAAATAACTCAGTGTACGGAGTGCGTCATTCTATGCTCTAAAAAAAAAATATTGGCCCTTTCAGAAAAAAAGGCATATCATAGGTTGCCTTGACAGTGCAACGTTTTTAGTCGTGCTCAAATCGGCTAAGAGTGTAGGGCTCCCACTCATAAGTCTCCAAGTAGCATCCCCTAGCATCCGGTGGTTGACATGGGAGGCCAGCTGCTACAATAACAGTGATTCATACTCATGCAGCCTAATTATGGAGGTGGTACAGATGGTAGAGCTGTTACGGTCGACTGCGTGTCTGTCTTTGCTATATCGTTATCGTGGTTATTGTTGACGTAACATCCTTCGTCTCCCCCCAATGTCATATGGACCGAAACAACGTGGATCCTAGGTGCAACATCACGTCTTGGTTTTAGCGAATATGTATTCTGTGATGGATGTTCCTGTAACCAGGACATTGATCTCTCAAGGTCGCTTCTGAAAGGCTCCGTTTGAAGTTCTGCGGACGTCTCAAGCGTTGTTGATGTTGCACGAAATCTGCTGCAAGGCTCATCCTTCCTTCTCTGCGGAGGACGACGGACGGCGCTCTCTTTCTGAATTGTGCCCTCCCAAGCATCAATCACCCTATCTGACTTGAAATGATGCAAGAACTGGTTTAACATAGTTTCACGTTTCACTGATGCTTGGGCAGTGTAGGTCCGAGTCCGCGGCGGCATAGGTGGTGGCCCTACTATATCTTGCTGCTCGTACTGCTCATCTTTCTTCAATGTCCAGAAGCCCTTCAACTGTTCCAAAGAAATGCTTCGGGACCTCAACCTCCTACAAGGGGCTGTAGCGGGTGGAGATCCTTTTAATCCAGCATCTTCGCCTTCAACTTTCTTATTAGTAGGTATAGCCCTTGAGAATCTCCTACTCAGGTTCCTTTGAATTCTCGGCACAAGCGTGGTTGGACTAGAGCCATCTGCGACAACCTTCACGCATTCCGCTCCATCTGAAATAGCGGTATTCCCGTCGTAGCTCTGAGGGCCATGCAATGCTCGAAGATTTGGGGCACTTTTTCGCGTGATCCTGAGGCGTTCAACCTGCTTATATATAGGTGCCTCAGGCCGTGCGTCTTTTATATTTGTAACGAACGGGTCACTGGGCAGTGGCTTTTCTGAGCTGGAGAGGCCTGGGAACATAGCGGATGCCCGCCTCTCGAATAGTCGTTCTCTGGTTGACCTGTCTCGGGGCGGCGCCATCGCAATCCGTGTCAAGGACACCTGCTCTTCGTCAGACATCTAAACAGCTGTGAGAAGGAAAAGTGGGGAAATGGTCAATCTTGTACTTACCGCCTCTTTTCTGCTCGCTACGCCTACACGCCTGTGCAATTCGGTGATCGCCAGACAGAGCTGAGACAATGCGGATTGAAGCGCCACCCCTCGACGGCGGAGTTTCGAAAAGGCTACATTCCAACCCTCTATATTTGCTAGCATGGCTTTGTAGATGGCTAACAAGTTATTCGGCAGTGGTCCATGTTCTTCTGCAGACTGTCTCAGATATCGCCACAAAACCCCAATCGCCTCCTTTCCCTTTTGCATATCTTTCAGTGCGTCTTCAATGGCGGTAGTGAATCGTTCGATAGCATGTTCGATTTTTTGATTATAGTCAATCATGGTTAGGCGGAAGTTGCGGTTTTGCAGCATTCCATCAAAGACCACTAAATTCTGGAGGGGAAGATTAAGGTATTGAATTCGTGTGCGCACATCAACCTGAATTAAAAGGAAGTCCTCTGTAGACCTTCCAAGAAAGCCATCTAACTCATCCACATGACTTTGAAGGATTTTCAAAACTTCAAAGTCGGACTTAGCGAGCCTCTTAACTAGAAGATGGATACCGAAGGATATTTGAGCGATGAGCTTCCAAAACGGATGATACCTGATACCGGTCAGTTTGCACGTTGACCAGAAAATAGGGGGTTGTGATTTATGAGGGCGTGTTAACTGCTTGCCTTTCTCCGGGCCTTTGGCGCCATTTTCGTCCGCACAATCGTTCATATTCGATGCTCTCTAGCAGATCTCTACGCCGGGATTGTGCATCAAGCCAAACGAACCGTTCGCTTTCAGTGCTTTCGGTAGCTTCAACAATTGATTCTTCGAAAGGTCCTTGTAGTTGAGGAATTGGATGGACCGGTACTCGACTGATGTCTTTGCTATATTCTGACTTATGTTTTGCCCTTATTTCTGCGTCGGTGGCGGGGGTCCGTTGCTGTTGAGATTTGGAAATGATAGCCATGAATGCTAGGTTAGGGTCCAGCAGAGACTCCGTGAGCACGATTATCTGCCAAGCTCTTTAACCTTTCCAATCGTATTTGGCGCGGGTGGGCTCCAGGAAAATGTGTGTATTTCTATCTGCACATGATACCACAAGCCGCACACTGGGCCACTTCTCTATTGAGTAATAAGCTGTATTCCATACGTCAGACTCACACGTTCAAGCTCCAGAGCGCCCACGAAAGTGCTTTCATAACCAGGAATAATGGCAAGAGCGGGAAGAATGGAAGAGAGAGCAGAGTCCAGAGATTGTATGAGAACAACTCGGGTCACTGTGTGTGGGCCAAAGAAGCTGATCTATATATATAAGCCCTGGTACTACACCTCGCCGGTTAAAAGCTAGGTGCAAATCAACTTTCTCTGCGAATTTCTCAGGCGTATGCAATGCGAGGTGTAACGAACACAGTAAGTTGGATATTGAACTAATGCAAACTGAGAACATATACTCCGTACTTCACTCGCGTAATGGAGTGGAAGGTAACAAATCAAACGGCATGGGACAAGGTAATAACTGTACCTTGAAATATTTGGAAATCAAAGAATGAAGGGGCACAAGGGAAAAATTAGATTAATCACAATGAATAGGTGGGGTTTAGTTAATGAAGAGAGGGTAGTAATGTGCTGCCAGCCTGCCAGAGCTCTTCCCACAGGGGGACGAGGGGACGAGATCCCGTCCATTTCAGGGGAAGGACCCAATCATATGCCTTTGCACAATGGCAATAATCCTTGGTGGGTCACGGGTATCTACTAGTACTACCTTTTATAGACTGCTATATATTTGATTTTATAATGCCAGACTGGGAGACCCATGTAATGAACATGTACTCTTGGTAATAAGGATCAGCCGTAAAATGGGGTGAGAACTTTTCTCTCCCTTTCTATCCTTGCTTTGCCTTATGTTCATTTACCAATGCGAAAGAGAAACCCGTACTATTATTAAACACTTATTATTACCTTTGTTAATCCCCATCATATCACCATCATCATCAGTCTAGGAATCTCGCATCCGTTATGTAGGTTCCACTGGTTAGAAGAGAGGTGGTACGTATAAGACTTCGAGACATCGAGAGAGGAAGAGAAGAACGAACAATATCGGGTATGTAGCGGTGATGAGAAGCATAAATGCATACCTATAGTAATACTGGCAAATTCTGTTTAACTATTATATTACTTTACCATGTATATAGGAACTTCGGTGATTAAAGTGGAATTGAAAGAAATATATATATACATATATATAAATATGAAAAAGACAATTATGATCACATCATCGCTGTTTATGAATATTCAAAAATCCATGATAGTCCCTATACGTAGAATATCCCCCATTCAAGCTCAAGATTGTCTCTCTAGGAATCATGAAGCATAATATCCTGTGGAAGTAGGAATTGTCGGGACTCAGAGATAGTCAAGTAGCCCTCTTTCTATCTCCGCCCCTGGGTTCCCGACTCCCTATCCTCATGAAGTGTTGGTCAATTGCCGTTGACCCGCACCATAATTCGTATTTAAACTGGGTGAATTGCTGACCGGAATCAACAATAATGAACGCCCGGGAACTCCATTAGAATTAATCTACCAGCAAGGGGCTTGATGGCCTCTTCGAAATATCTTTTAAGGCAGCATATGGCAAGTGAAGTTCGTATCGGGATAGGCAGCCACCTATCGCTGGGAAACACTGAAACAGCAAGGGAAGCCTCAGACCCAGGCGCTAATGATGATCGACATTGCCTCTGGTCCGAAAGTCTTTCCTGCGAATGAGAAATCGTAAAATCGTCCATCCAGAAAAACTTCCTAAGAGTAACACTTTCGGTGAAGCCCTTTCCACATGCTTTCTCTACACAGTAACATCATGTTCTTGTATGCTGCTGGTCAGGGTAAGAAAACCGGGTCCCAGAAGTTTGTAGGTAGCGACAAATCTAAGAAGTCACCGAAGAGCACGTCGATATCGGCGAAACCATCAGTCTCATAAACTTGCATGTTATTTTCTGGAGGGTCCAATGACCCGTGAGTTGAGGAAACTTGCTTAGTAGCAGACACGTCACTAAATAGATGGCCATCGCTCTGATAAGATGAGAGCGGTAAGACTGGCGCAGCACTTTGTGCGTTTGTGGGGTTAATGAGCGTGTTGCTGGGCGTTGGCGACTGCCTGGGAGCCTGTCCGGGTTTGTGAGTACCAAGATTCAACCCATCAATCTGGTGTAGGGCTTTTCGCCCTAGCCGTGCCATTGCTTCTGCAGAACACCAGGAAATCCCTAAGGCTTCCAGAAGCGTACAACAAGCTTCCAAACTAGCTTTGGCCCGATCGAAATGGGTGATAAGCTTGCTCGAGCGGAACTGCTGATATGACACACCCATAGATAGTGTGAGCGCATATGGAACAATGGGAATTGGAGGGAGATTCTGGGAGCATTCAGTGGATACGATGGAGTGTATTCGAATAGCAGAAAGACCCTGCCGTATATACGAAGGTTTGGAGCCATCAGGGCGACCGGTTAATTTGCATCTACATGAAAGGATGGCAACGGCATGGTAAAAAAGCTCGAGGAAGCCTAATGTCTCATAACTTCGTGAGCAAGAAAAGAAATAGTAAAGGGCTGACCGAGAGGGCTAGGTTTGACGAAAAATAATACCCACCAAGAGTAGCAAAGTCCAAATCCTCGCGAACATCATCGCCCATAATTTCTTCGAAGGTTGGAAACCCGGCCTCCCACCCAACCGTATGATCCGAAGTTGGCCTATAGAATGAAATCACATGGGCCAGTAAATCGGAAATTGCAAACCAAGCATCAAATGCAGTCCTCGCATGGGAGGGGTTTAACCTGGGTTTCTCAATACCAATGTCACGGTCTGCGAGAAGAACAGGGCGACCGCCTATGCAAGCATGCATCTTGTCTAATGTCCACAAGCACCAAAAAAGGCCTGTTAATGAGTCCCCTGGTACTTGGCCAGGACGGTCAAGATGCAGGCCGACCGTCTGAGCCTGGTGAATCGCCTGACAAAGGTGCATGGAGGCGGCTTCTGCACCTTCATAGCCCTCACAATGCAAGGACATCAGCGCTAAGGTGCGGATACGAGTAACTCGATCAGTTTCAAGCCCTTCATTGAGAGCGACTACAAGGCCCCTGTACAATTCAGAGCAGAACTGGCGTGGCGTCATGACAGGCCCACTTGTGGCCAACCGAAGCCAAGGATAGGCCGTTCGGTCTTTCGCAGCAACGAGGCATATAGCCCTCTCCAGAAACGCTGATGTCCTTCCCCCAGAGTAGGCAAGAAGGAATGAACCCTTATCGACAAGTGGTAAAATATGATTGACCCTGGAGAAATAAATGGGAACCAAGTGATCTCGCGTCGAAAGAGGGAGACGTTCACAAGTTTTCATGGCAGCTGCATACCGCTGGTGTAATAATTTTGCAACAGATTGTGGCCCGAGAGGTTCAGATGGATCTCCTGGGGCAGCATTATCTGCATCAGCGACTGTTCCTCCGCCTTCTGCATTGCTGTATGTAGCCGGTGAGCTGATCCAGAGTCCGATCCGGTCCCGAAGCTGACTTTCACATGAGACGTCCAGTCTTTCCCGAATCACGGCTTCCGGATTAAGATCTCCCACAAAACGCTCTGTCCGGGGGAAGTCTGGAGAAATAGGGTAACAGTTCCTTAGATCGACCTGTATTCCAGTTGTCGTTGAATTGATTGATGAGTGTTTTGTGACATCGAGCTCATTTTGTTCGATCAGACAGGTAGGTTGATGTTGGTCTTGAGGTTGGGTATTGCAAGTACCTAAATGACGACAGCGTTTCTTTTTACACATTTAGTTGAGCCCAGTTTCATACTATAATTGGCTTGCCTCAAATGCCACGAAACCCATGCACACACAGACGCACCTTTCTTCTTTGGCAATGGGCACACGCCCTCAAGGCTCTGGTGCGACGCCGCGATTGAGGTGTGTCAGCGAGCCACGTCAGTTCCATTTCATAAGGTTAGTAGTGATGTGAACCAAGAATTTAAAATATATAGGTACAATGATTCCATAAAGTGGCATGTGGTGCGTCACCCGTGGACGTAGAGCGATGATAATACTAATGCGGTAGTAGCTATTGCGCTTTCTCCATTCCGATGATTGGTTCGAACTGATTTTAGGTCAAAGTCTAGCCACTCACTAGTAGTACTGAGTCGTGTCGAGTCTTGTAGACCAAGTTTTCAAAAGAGGTTAGTCACCATATTTGGGTCTGGGACACAGAATACGTACCAACTATGGGACCGAATACTCAATCCAGGTGTACATACTACTCCAGACTTTATAAGTACGTACTGCTAATGATAAATCTACCGTAGATCTCGTATCATGTGATCAACTCCGACTGAGTACCAGATTAGGTAACTAGCTAGTAGGTTTTCCGACTCAGTCTGGTAATATATTTACTCTAAGGATCTATTCACTCCGTACTCCGTATCGCGGCGAAAATACTCTGTGCTGTGAACTAATTCCGCACTCGAGCAGACTAGTTGGCTTTTTTACCACATTGAGAATAGATCATAACCACGCGTCAGTCTACGCGATTCTTGACGCGTTGCGTCCAGATTGTTGGTTAAACCACCGGTAATCCAGCATACTTCAGTTCTGTGTCCTGCGCGCATGCAACGGTGTCTCATATATTATGTGAGTCTCATATCCGACTGCATCGCGCTCTCCCAATCTTATCGTACGACTCCCTAGCCACAATTGGCCTCGGTTTTTCTACGTCCCACGGACAAGTCGATTCCCTTTCCGACCCAAACAAAACAACATGTCCAGCCCAGCAGGCCAGAAGCGCAGTGCTAATCATTTAACGACCTCACCCGTCGATGCGAAGAAGCCCAAGAATGGTAGTATCATGTCCTTCTTCGGTCCTCCCAAGGCTAAGACTGTTGGACCTAAGTCAACGTCATCTTGCTCATCCAGCTTCAACAAGCAAGGATGGGTAGCGTCGTTGACCCCGGAACAGAGGAAGCTCCTGCAGCTTGAGATCGACACGTTAGATGAAAGTTGGCTAGCTCAGCTGAAAGAGGAATTAGTGACACCCGAGTTTCTAGCATTGAAACGTTTCCTCGAAAAGGAAAAGCAAGCGGGAGTCAAAATATTCCCCCCGGAGAACGAAATATATTCTTGGTACAGTGCCGGGATGGTCTTTTCAGATTGTACAAGTACACTTACGCTGCTCTAGGTCTCGACATACGCCCCTTCACCAGGTGAAGGTAGTGATTGTCGGACAAGATCCCTATCACAATCATAACCAGGCTCATGGCTTAGCATTCTCAGTCCGACCTCCGACTCCAGCCCCTCCCTCCCTAGTCAATATCTACACAGGTATCAAAAACGACTACCCGTCCTTTCAACGACCACCTAACAAAGGAGGGCTTCTGACACCATGGGCTGAGCGTGGAGTTTTGCTTCTTAACACCTGTCTAACAGTCCGTGCACACCAAGCTGCTAGTCACTCAAACAAAGGATGGGAACGTTTTACACAGAAAGCAATTGACATTGTAGCTAGAGTGCGATCTCACGGAGTTGTCTTTCTTGCATGGGGTACGCCCGCCGGGAAGCGTGTGGCAGGTATTAACCGACAGAAGCATTCCGTACTTCAATCAGTTCATCCTAGCCCACTCAGTGCATCCAGGGGCTTTGTGAGTATAAACTCCTCGCATCTTCTATGTGGCATTAGCTCCACGCTTCTCTTTGAGTACAACTGACGGAGATTTGTAATTAGTTCACCAATGGACATTTTAAAAAATGCAACGAGTGGCTGGCTGAACGTTACGGTCCAGACGAAGTTATTGACTGGAGCCTGACTTCGAGAACAAAAACTACCGGCCCTCTCGCCACTATTCAGAGTCCTTCCGCCTCCGTTGACAAACTAGCAGACTCTGCTACAAAGAAATCTGAATCTCAAGCCCTAGAGTCGGCTGAAATGGTCACACAGCCCTTGGAGCTCCAAAATACAGATGAGTTTGATGATGATGCCGATGCCCTCGAAGCTCTAGCAGCTGCAGAGACAGCGAGCTAAATGTGTCATACTAGCTTTGGTGTTTTTGTTCTGCCTATTGAGAGCAAATACAAATCAAGTGAGGTCATAATCAACGCTCTTCGGCGTCGCTTGGAGCTCTTGTGAATGTATGTTGAGTTTCTACATATGCTGGAACTGTAATCTACACCTTCAGAGCTCTTAACATCCATCCCTCCCTCTCTTTGGCATGCTATATAGCTCCCGTAGGCCTTGTACACTTCAATCGTGAGGCAATCCTACCACCCACCCAAATATTTCTGACCGTCGTTCTCTGAGGTAATATCCCGGATCTGAAGAGATTACACAGGAATTTCTTGACGCTAGTAACTAATATGCGTAGAAGCTAGGGACAGTAGAACACAACTCAGCGGTGCCAGAATATTAGTGGACGGCGATTTACAGTCTCTTAAAGGTAACTTTAAGGTTATGCGTTAGCGATACAAAACTGATGGATTAGTTCCCCAGCTTTGCTAAAGTGTAGATAGAGGGGTCTAAAATCCTAACCAAAAATTGTGAAGACGAAGAATATTTAGCACGGCTGAGTTGCGAGCCCGGAAGAAGCTTGCGCATAGGATAGAACAACTAAGTTACCTAAGCCGAAAGTAGCTGCGATTGCTCAAACTGCTGGTAAAATACAAAAATTCATATAAATATGAATAACTATCAAGTCTGATGAAATTTACAATTCATCATGCTCAGGCTTCTCATCGCTAGTAGCAGGAGTTTCAGTCTCGTCAGAGGTGACCCGAGTCTCGGTGACATCGCCACTCTCCTGTTCTTTCTTCGGGTCAACTTCAAGAGCATCGATCTTGTGCTTGCCATTCTCTTTGACAAACTTCGCGAGATCCTCCACTGTGCGAGAGCCTTCATATTCAACTGGGGAGTCCTTAGCGCCGGCAGGGAAGAGCTTAATGGTGGGGAAGCCAGTAATAGAATCGGGGACATCGTTGGCCGTTGCATCGATTTTGGCGATGGTAACTTCAGGAATATCCTTGTAAAGGCTTGCAAGTTCCTCATATTTCGGGGCAAGTCTATTCAAGATTTAATTAAGTATTCACAAGCGAGGGTAGCCATAATTCGTAGAATAAGAGAAGGGGGGAGGTGGGAACTTACGCCTTGCAGTGTCCGCACCATGGTGCATAAAATTCGAGAAGGACGTCCTTCTCGTTGTCAAGGACGAGATCCTTATAGGAATGCGCCACAACAACAGTGACAGGGCCTTCCTGAGTTTCAGGAATAGCCTCAGACTTGATGCTTGGCTCTACTTTATCATCAAGAACGTCTTGGATGAATTTACCGATATCCTTGGCCTTGACTTCCTTCGACTGGTCGTAAGGATACTTGGCGTTCTTTTCAGGGTCTTGAATAGCGAATGCAGGGAAGTTGGAGGGGTCAAGGTTGAGATTGCCTGCGTGAGCGCCGTACAACTTGGCATCAATGGTGACAATATTAATGGAGCCCTTGTGTTTCTCGGCGATGGACTTGAACTCCTCGGTGAACTTCTCGCGCTCTTCTTTGGTTTCGGCGAAAATGTACGCCAGTGGAATACCAGCCTTAACCAAACTCATGTCAGAAACTCATGAATATTTACTACATTTTGTGAAGAGAGATTGAAGTTGTGCCTTTTGACATACCGTTATATATCCAGAGTAAGTCTCTGGGCCCAGCTCGCCCACCAAGGGGGTACTGGCAGTCTTAACCCAACTGAGGAGGGCATCCTGCTCAATCTCTCCATCAAAAGTAGCTTTCTTCTCATCGAAGTCTTTGTAGAGAACAATTGAAGGTTGCTTGACACCTTCTGCCTTAGCGATGGATGCATCACCTGTAGCTGCGAAGAGATAGTTGTCTCTCTGAGACTCGGCAAAGGTGGTGAATATATCATTGGCAGCCTGGTCGTCAGACGCGATATAACCAATAACGACAATCTTGTCCATAGTCTTGATCTCTTCAAGGTTTTCTGGGGTAACAGGGGACACGGCAGGGAGTGACTGCTTAACCATATATGAAACAATCCTATGAACCTAGCATCAATATTATTCGAGCAACGCTATCAAGCAGGTGACACTTACGCCTCAGTCTGACGAGCTCCCTGATAAGGCTTAACAGCGTCAAGGCCACGGAAAATCTTAAGCGTGGGGTAACCTTCAACACCTTGATCCCTACAAAGAGCCTCTTCCTCGGTGCAGTCAACCTTGACCAGCGGAATGTTCTTTTCCTTCAACTCAGTGGCGGCCTGCTCGTACTTCGGAGCGAGAGCCTTGCAATGGCCACACCAGGGAGCGAAAAACTCGGCCAAAACTAGGTCATGCTCCTTGACGAAAGTTTCGAATGTATCCCCGGTGAGCGAGACCACATCGGAGGGAGCTTCGGCTGTCGCATCGGTAGCAGAAGCTACAGCAGAGGCCCCTAGGAGGCTCAGGATCCAAGGTGCGAACGTCCGCATGGTGTCGCGAAGTTGTCAAGTGTGGTAATCTCTAAAAGGTGGCGTGCTGTGCAGGGTATGAAGAATACTAGTATTACACTTTGAAAGAAGGCAGCAAGTGACGTCTGCACTTCCCAGTCTTCCTCGGTCAGAAGACAACGAACAGAGGGGTTATGTTTGATTAATCAAGAAGCGGCGAGGGTTAAAATGAAAAAGATGGGAATGAATGGGACGTGAATAGGTAAAGCCGAGTTAAGTAGTGAGCTTGGTATGGGGAGGAGTTAAGGACAGTTTGTTCTTTCTGCAGTCAGCTGGTGCCTGGGCAACCTGACTGGTCTGTTGGGGCCCGCCTCGTATGGACACATACAGCAAGGGACTACCTGTAAGTACAATTCAGGCACACCCTAACTACTAGCTTCGGGAAGCGCCCCATAGTGCGGCGGCACCTCAATAGTGGCCGCTGGGCGATACTGAGGACGCCACTTCTTGAGTATTTACCTGGCCTCTAGGGTCTCACCCATAGATTCGGTAAATTTTAATTGGGCTTTTCTTTATTGTTATTATACATAGAAGATTTCAGGATATATTGGTTTGTTGCTGGCCTACAGAGTAAAATATTAGTGAATTGAGGCGAAAACTAGAGTTGTTGCTTTCTAGCTCTCTGTGTCTAGAGTCCTAAGAGAAGGGAGGAAACTCACTACCATTCTTCAGCTGCTGATGTAACGGGTGGAATGCTTGGAAGTGGGGATATGCTTTAGCTCCAAGATCATTGCATCGATGCGCTCATATTACTCCGTAGAATTCATACATATATGCACTGTGCACATCTACCAGAATACATACATCTCCAAGACTAAGTAATTCCAACGTTACCTTCTGTGCCAAGCCAAAATGTTAACTTACATTTACAATTATGATTATCTAAGAAATACCAATACTCGTATTTTTTCAATATCATAAACACGTTGCATTTGAGCTGGGCAATAAGCCACCATGAGTTTATAGGCACTGTACAGAGTAGTAGTAAGTAATGGTTAGAGATGTAACATGCACTCGGAGACAGATATTTTTACCCTGTGAATGTATCATGTTAATCAACTATCGAAGAGAAATTCATCCTCTCCTCTTCTGCCTTTACTGCGGATCACTGTATCTCCTAAGTTGTTCCCTTTCCACTTATCCCAGTGTTCTATACCTATGTAATACCCGTTCAATATCTCCCACCACTTGCTTAAAATTTACTTTGAGGAATAGTGTCTATATGTTCCATGTAGGTATCTTATAGCAATACTATTGAGCTGTGATTTATGTTGAGCCATGGCCGACCAGCCACCAGGTCGAAGGTGAATTGGATAAGTACTAGTAGTGGCACTACCTATTAGGTAGTAGAAGTACTAGGTTAGCTCCATTCTTTGCCTACTATTACCTAGCGGACTCCGTAGCTTCTGACTTCTACAAACCATATAAAGCATATCCCATTCATTATGAGTATACTCCAGAGTAAACACAATATGCACCTATTCTGCATTAAACACTACACACAAAAGCAACGTTTTGTGTTGATTCAGTAACGAGTATTTATAACACTGCCACCCCCTGCCCTAATAGTACTGATATGATAAAGAAAAGTTACTCATCCATCCCCCTACAGCATACTACGCTGTGAGACAGCCCATCAACGTACTGCTGTGCTATAGTCGGCAGTCTGAGATGGAAAAGGGATAAGTAACAAACGGAACCAAATGCACAGACCACTTGTCTATTTGACTCATATCACCCTGATCGCATTCAGGTACATGTTGGTGTAGCATCTTGTAGGAAGGACTGATGGTTTTAATCATCACTCATTCCGCACTACACCATTTTCATTATCGTGTCGACCACAAGGCACCGCTCCATAGATAGGCGTATTGGGTTCTTGACTACCTTCCAATTCTGCTGACAATGAAAGCGCATCCCTTTTTCCGCGGTCAACATCCACAAGGAGCATGAGCGGCAGTGGGAGCAGTATCAGAATAGCAAGAAAGACGAATGCGGGCCTAATCTCTCCATAGCGGTCTGTGACTATGCCAACGACGGCTGGGCCGAATATGCTCGAGCCCTTATCGGTGATAGCATACAGGGCGTAAAAGGCTGCTTCGTAGCCAGGAGGTATCAGCTCCCCAAAAAAGCTTCGGCAATATGAAGATAGCCCGCCCATAACCAGACCGTACACAATGCTCAGAGGGAACATTTCCCATGGCTGCTGGAGGCCAAGATATCCCAAATCTTTAATTGCTGGGATGAACCCAAGAAGGCCATAGAGTGGTACAAGCTCGAACAAGATGATGCATGCGATGATCGTCTGTGATGCGCGAAGATTAAGCAACCGTGATATGTAACTCCAGCAAAATGCACCAAAGACCCCAGCAAGCATTGCAACAACGTTGATCATACCCAATGCGGCAGGTTGCATGTCCAGCTGAGTTTTGGCAAAAAGAACGGCTGTACCACTGACAGTGGCAATTCCATCACTTAAAAGAAACCACGACGCAAGGAATAACAGGATATCTTTCAGGCGTCGTGTCCGAATCACTGTACGGCCTAGTGACTTCCAAGCATGAATGATGTAACCAGGCCATGAGTGTTGTTTTCCGTCTTGAGAACACGATAGCGGTGGGCCGGGACGAGGCCGTAGCCAAAGTGCTGCTGGTATTGTAAAAATAATCCACCACAGTCCAATCACAAAGAGAACAAGTCGCAAAGAAAACGTTGTTTGATGAGTGCTGATGACAAGCAGAATGCAAACTATTTGTAATAATACCGCACCGATATAACCGATTCCAATTCCATATGAAGATATTCTCGTGGAGAGTTCCAATTCTCGCGATGTACCTGCGAGAGAGACACGGGTTGCATTCTCTGTAATTGTTTCATTATGAAGCAATGGCGTCGTGACGTCATTCATATTGGGGGAGGTGTTACCCCAGACATCGTCCCCCACTGCGCCCTGACGGGATATTTCATCGCTGCCCCTGATTAAAGATGGATGGTAGCGAACTAAAAGCGGTAAAAACGAGTTCAAGAGTACAAAGGACGCTCCAAAACAGGTATTTGCTATAATTGCAAAAAGAGCCCCAAGGAGGTAGAGCTTCGGTACAACTGAAAGAAATAACATGGTAGAAATGGAGCCAACGAGGGCGAACGTCAACAAGAAGACTTTTCGATAAGTCCCGTGGTCTGCAGCACCTGACATTGATATTATCAAAACAGCTTGAACTAAGACACTCACTGAGAATGTATACATGGCGAAGCTAGCAGTATTAACCTCTACGCCAAAAATGTAAACAACACACTGGCTTGCACCCGGTACATCTCGGTCATGGTGCAATGTATTGGCAAGGGTTTGGCTTAATGTCTCATGTGGCGGTAACTGCTGCGGAGCTTTCCAAGTTGCCCGACATGGAGTTACTTTATCTGAAAGAAGGACGCCGCGATCTCGGGCCATTTGCTCTAGCGTAATAGGGAGGAAAGAGCCTAGGTCATAGACAAAAATTAGACGAGCCACGGAGAAAGCTGACAGAGGTAAATCCTGTCGGATACGTTGCTCGGCATCGTACATACCCATAGCACATACTGTAAAAACTTCGGCTGCCCAGCTATAGCTATACCACCCAGCAAGCTCCTTCCTACTTGTCGGGCGCGTATCATCGCCTGGGTACTGCGGAAGTGACATCCCTTCATCCCGCATGCTGTTTCTGGAATAAGTCATTGAAATTCATATCCTAAGGACCGAAAAGTGTAATGGTATTCGGAGATGGCTTCCGATTAATCACTCTTCTGCGCCTTTCTAATCACCGAAGAATCGACATAGTACAGTAAGTAGAAGGCAGACTAAAATGGTGAGAAAAAGCCATGGACGAAGAAGCAAGCCTTGATAGGACTTACCTTAAGGAGTTTCGCTTTAGGTGGAAGGTCAGGTGACGGCTGGAAAGGGAGTATAATACTTTTGAACAGGAAGATACGCATATAATATTTATATATCCCGTGGCTGCTTGGTGTGGGAGTAGAAGCGTTCTAAAGGTGACCCTGGTGCGTGTAAAAGGAATTAACAAGGGAGGCCGAAGATTCGATATACGTATACAATTGCCCGCTTTGCAGTTAGCAGACGGGTATGTAAATGCATAAAATCCTGTCGAAAACGGCTTAAGATTAATAGATTGTTTGTATAAAAAGCTGTTGCGTATATATCCAGAGATGGCCAAAAAAGAAAAAGGCCAAGTCCAGCAGCAGTGATAAGTATGAAGTTGGGGCGTTGATAGCTGCTGACTTTTGAAGGGGCGAGCTATCCGCATGTGTAAATATTACAATACCTTACCCATAATCTTCACGAAAATACGGAATATTACAGTTGGCTCATAGCTTATTACAGTACTCCGTACTACGGTGTACTACTACTAGTAGTATGTACTAAGGAGCATAATACAATACACTGCAGTACATTCTGTACAATAGCTCTACGCAGGAGTACTCATGGACTGTTCTATGGAATAGATATATGAATAGATATATAGATATTTATATATAGCTATACCACTAATTTTTTAATAATTTTTAGGAGCACAATGTGTGCCATCATTAGATTACTTTTCTGTCAACCCAAGATAAAGATATATACATAGACTTCAATACAATCATAAGACTTAATAAAGACATTCGCTATAAAATATTATAGCGTTGAATAGTAGCCATTTGGCCAGTACTTCTATGTTCCATAAGGCACAAAGGCACCAACTAATCAGCCACCCATCGTTCGCATTGCATCGCGCCGGCTTCCATCTTCAAACAATTCACATACCCACAATCTCACTTTTTGTTTACATTGATATGATCAGTTTCACCCTTAGAACCTTCCATCAATAGCACCTGTTGGATATTCGCACGTCACTCAGCTTCTGATTGTATTGTACAATTTTGTTCTGGTTTCACTCCAGCTCCCCGCTTTTGTGCTTTCCAACTCTACTATCTTCCAAACGGCCTTGGCCCAGTAATACCTTTTATCTTAACTGTTACCAGTAAGACAAAGAGTCACGATTTCTTAATTGTCACAAACCCACTATCGACTGGCCTATTTGCAAGCGTCATTGCCTCAGCTGGAAACAAGTTGATTTCCGGAGAAGGCCCTTTGCTTTCTCTCTCTCCCTCTCTCTCCCGTTCTTTTTCTTTTCTTTTTCTTTCCTTTCTTTCCTTTCTTTCCTTCTCTTTTTCGGCCCTGCGACTTACTTTGTCGCTCAATTGAATATACACGTGCGACGACGCTGACCTAGGGCAATCATCGCAAACACCTTCGATACCTCTACGACCGCCAAGTTGAGATATTCCTCACTTTGAATGGGCATACATGGCATTGCGCTGAACCCCAGATTCAGACGTAGAGCGCATCATCTGCTTCCCTTCCTGCCCCACTCGCTATTTCGAACCCGAACGAGCACCGCCATCAGGCCGTCGCCTTTACTGCGTAGAGGGTGAAGGAGGGGAGGGCTTCAAAGGACAAAGTCACCACTGCGCGTCTAGACATGCCGGGGGTTGTCATGGACAATACAAATATTGGTGGAGCCGGACAAGGGTCAGCTATTCATGATTCAAGAAACGGTATGCCGTCTTTAACACCAAATACCAATCGAACTTCCGCCCTGGGCGACTCACATGCGGGACGAGTTCATATCAATGGTATGGCGAAAAATGCGGTTGATCCCAGTCAAGCTGAAGGCGCTTCTACGGTCAAGATTATATCGACTAAATCCACGGAGTTACCGGGGTTGCCACACATAACGCAAGGCTTTTTCCCATTCTCGAAATTGATCAGTAGATCTGTGCAACAATCCTGGAATGATCTTTCCGACTTGATCACGGAGATGGCAGACATCCAGGTCTCACCTCAAGATCCAAATTCTTTGCAATTGCCCGCCAGTGGCAAGTCTGGGAATCAGAGCCCAGAAAATCTACAGAAGAAGGCACGGATCCTTGACTTTGCACACGCCAAGCGCGCAGAGTTCATCAAACTCCTTGTCTTATCTCAATGGAGCCGACAAGCAGCTGATGTTAGCAAGCTAATTGACCTTCAAAACTTTATCCGTACTCGTCACCAGGCTTACATGGGTGCTCTGCAATGGATTGGTGATATGAAGCGAGATCTGGTACAAGCCCAAGTAGCTAATCCGGATTTAACAACGGCTCTCGAAGTCTTGTCCAAGGGTAAAGTATCTTCTATGTCAGATGTGCGCTTCATCCTTCTTATATATATATATATATATATATTTTTTGATGTTGATGTTAACTTGATTATATTTAGCTTGGGTATAAACCGCCTAGATCCTTGACTGGCAAAGACACGCTCAAGAGATTGCAGAAAATCAATAAGATCATAAGTGTGAGATTAGCGTTGTACGATTCAGTCCCTCGCGCCTTTCAAACGTATAGCATCCATGATGGCCGTGTTACATTTGCTGTGCCAAACGAATTTGAATTGGATCTTTCAATCGGGCAAGAAGACAAATCTTCTCAGTTATACTTCGTCGACATACGGTTTCTCTTCAATCCATCCTCACCGATTCCTAAGGGTCGAATACTCAACGAATTTGATGTCAAGATAAACGATGCACTTCGAAACGACGGCCTTGCTGGATGCTTCGATTTATTACATAGTCTCGTTCTCACTAACAAGATCAACATACTCTTTAAGCAGGCCATGGAGCTGGCACGAGGCCTCTGGTACGATGTCTTGCGTGTTGAGCTTTTGCACCGAACTCTTGTTGTACATTATTGGACGCAAAAAGCTGGAGCTAAAAGTTGGCTAGAGATTGGGATCAAGAGCGGTAGAATATACGGTGAGAATGATAGCTCCAGGTATCCTTACTTGGATTTGCGCTGGATAAGAGACGGTCAAGAAGTCGACAGCAAAGAGATTGAGTTCAACACAGAAAGCCTCTCTATAGAGTGTATTCTGCGAAGTGTCATTGCGCTGCATATCTCTCATATACTCTCATCTGCATACTGCATAATAAGCGAAAGTCTACTTTACTCTGCTGGCAGATTATCCTTGCAGGCTCAATTGACTAGGACCGAGCCTGGAGACTGTGGATTGACTATCCAACTTACGGAGTCCAGGTATCTTACTGTTTCTATTGAGCCGATGACGGGAGCGAGCATTATAGCGGCCACCCCCAGCGCTCAGGAGCGACTTGAAAATGATCGCAGCTTTGACAAATCTTCCGCCGAGGATATAGTGACCCGTGTTGCACGACTTCGTTGCATGGCTGCGATAGATGAAATTGAATCGAACGTCAGGATGTTGGGCTTCGAAACAGTGAATCCCAGAAGTTTAAAGATCGATTTTCGAAGAATGTTCCCGAACAATGTTTTGCGGTTTTCCTTTTTCTGCCACCATCTCTGGGAACGTAACTGGATTGTAGCAGCAACAAGCAGCATGGACAGTGACAACTGGTGGGTGGTGCAACTTCAAAACACAGCGACAGCAGAAAACCCTTCAGATTTTGATGCAAACATACATATCTCGTCTACTCTTCGTTCAGTCCAGGTCATAAGCGGTTCATTCTTCCCCGTGAGCCAGAATATCAGCTACCCCTTGTTTGCAAACTTGGGGCATTATCTTTCCGGGATATTAGCAGTTCATACCAATGCGCGCTATTTAGCGGACCTACAATCCGTTGACTTCTACCCCCCTCTACAACGACTGGTGATTGAACCAGACCTTTACGTCCCCGAGATCTTCATGCGTTACGAAGTGGCTAATATTCCCGAAGCATTCCGGATAGCCTTACCTAGTGGGCTGAAAAGCAGGGTTCGTACCAAAGGCACGATCCGTCTCGCGTTTCATGGAATAGATCCTTGCAAAAAGGTTGCCACTATAGTCGCATATGGGAATTTATTGATACCAATCAAAACTTTCAGTGCTTTGAATTCAACATGGGACCATTCGCTGGTTTTCCAAAAGAGAGGCACTGGCTTCGCTATCCGCCTGCTAGCCCCGCCTGGCCGTCCTGTCATTCCCAAACTCATGGAAAATTTGCAAAGACTTGATTGTGTCTTGTCAATTTTCGAGAGCCTTCAGCGAAAGAAAATGGAGCCCCGATCACTGTCGCTGTCACATGTCACCTTTGCCTATGGCCCCGAGAAAGACCTCCTCGCCACCCTGAATATCGAAACATCCATGCCGACGAGTTCTATGGAGCTTGATCCTATTTTTATTGCGTCTCGAACCAAATCATTGTTTCACTTGCGCTTAGGCCTATCCTTTGAATTTCCAAACCCACATCGTCGCATCCAGAAGTCTATTGAATCCACATTGAATCACAGCATCACCGACACGGGTCTAGACACTGTTGCTGAAATTCTCCTGCTTACACTTCCATTAATGCGAGCCCTAGACCAGATCTTAATAAATCCGTCTAACAAGCAGCCACTAAGGGTGCAAGTGATTGTCCGTAACGCGAAGACATTTCAGATTCACTATCCTGCCCAAAGCTTCCGCTTCCAATTAATTGCCACTCATCACCTCAGTCACATGGTCTGGATCCTGAAAGAGCTAAGCAGCCCTAAGGAAGGATCAAGCCAAGATCAGCTTAAGTTGAAGCTTCGAGAAAGGTTATATAACTCTAAGGGCGATGGCTGGAGAGGCCTGGGTAATGGGGTTGTCGCTGAAACTGACAAAGTTGGGAATCTTCTGACTGAGCTCGACAAATGTTTCGAGGTTAGTAGCACTTTAGGGTTGGCAGTTTCGACTACTGAAGCGAAAGCCAACGGCTCGAAGAGTTTTGATCAACAGTCGACGGCAGAAAATGGAACCCTTGAAAGCATGCCCAATGAATCAGCAACATTGATCCCAGCGCCAAATGTTACAGATACTCGGCACAAAACTGGTGACACAACGCAAAATACGGATATTATTATGATTGATTAGAGTCGCAAAGATTCCTCAACCTCTTGACATATTTGGTTGCCTCGTCACGAGCCACTGTATTTTTGGATTATCGCCTCCCAACGGTTTTCTGTCTCTTCCTGGATATAGGATGTGTCACGACCGTCGCGATTGTAGTTATGTGTACAATGATTTGATTTACATGGTTTCCCTTCTTATCCAGCGACTCTTCTCTTTGGGATCCTGCTTGTTATAGGAGTGATTCTCGCTGGCTCCATACCGTGAAAGGAGATTCTCCCTCACGAGCTCGATCAACGAAATTAATACATTATGTTTGTTTCCTACGGCAAAGTTTCTCGGAATCAAGGCGTTAGTTACGGGGAGTTGTGCTTTCTTCGCTACTTTCAGTTTCACCATCAGTCATTCTTCACATCGGACATTGGCTGTCAGTCTTTCTGTATTATTATCCATTCTTTGCCGTTTTAAGAGCAATCTGCTGCCAATGACAATTTCTTATCAAATTATCGCATTTATTGAATACAACGATTTCAAGATTTCCGACATACGGCACCGTCTTGTCTCCGACCCTAGAAAACATAAAACTTGTCAACTAATGTTATAGCCTGAAAAGCCCTGCAAGGGATGTATCCAGCCGCAGCGTTGGATCAAATTGAATTGTTACATGGTTCCAATTATCATGAATTACATAGTCTCGGTCTTGCTCTGTCATGAGTTAAGTAAAAACCATGGCGTGTAGACGTGGATGTGGTTATTATCCTATCCTTATGAATGATTAATATCGCAACTCTTTCACCTTTCCTCGGTTCTTGGAAGCATCATATTCAATCCATCTCACGGAAGACAGGTCACCTTCTGGAATAAGCTTCCCGGGATTCATTACATGGCAACCTTCATAAGTCATACAAAACGGCGCCGCTTCAGGATCAGCTAGAATGAAGCTTGAGGGTAATGGGTACAGTTGCAAGGAGGACGCATAGTCCCATAAGACGGGTCGCAACGAAAGTGGGAAAGGGGACATGGTGCCCTGATCCAAAATAGTCTTGACAAGCTTTCGCGACATATTGACTGCAGAAGGAACTGGATAGGATTCAGTTCCTATTCGTGGCATCTGGGTCTCAATGGAGCTTTCAGGTGATACGGAACTCTTTTGATTATCCGTCCCTTCATCCATTACTGTAGACCTCTCAGCCTCCTGTCCAATGCTCACTGCGCTGCGTCTCAGCCGCCCTGAAATGTCATCGCGGACTATAGCGATGTCATGGACCGGTCCAAATAGAGTGATGCGCGAGGGATTCGTTGTCCAAATAGCTTCACCAATAGGCTCGGATGACTGAGATCGGTCCGACTCAGCATTCGCCGTAGCAAATACACGTTTCACCCTTGAAGTGAACTGGTCCGGAACAGCTTGACGTGGGATAGCAGAAGCAGCACCAGCTGAAAAAGCAGATGGCCAGGGGTCATTGTCGCCTGGCACAAAAATAAACGTAGAGTGCTGTAGCAGAGAAGGGAATTCAGATAGCCCCATAGCGAGCGAGTCAAAATATTCCTTGTACTCAATACCACCTGCCTGGCCGCCACCATTGATCATAGTCTTCTGAACAAAATTCCCGATTAGAACGAAAACAATTGGACGTTCTCTCGGCGGTAGGTCACTGTAGAAGCCGAAGAGCCTCTTCAGTGCGTCCACCGTCTTCACATGATCAAGGTTAACCTCGCTCATGATTGCTATTTTGGTGCAACGGGAATCATCTGCACCCCCGTGCAGGTCCTGTAGGCATCTCGCCTGGATATGTCTCATACGAGACCCGCGTGCACGTTCGCTTCCCACTCCCAGAAAGTCTACCCAGCCAAACCCCCCGCTAGAGCTCACTTCCCCCGTGTTCCGTCGATCTTTGGTTCCAAGTGACATTTCCCGTCTTTCGCAGGGAGGTCCACAAATAGAAACCCCTACGAAGATACCCCCAATAGCACCTCCAACCCCAGTATTCCCACCCAAGGTCGACCCCTTCAAATTCTCTTCTTCTTCGTAGATCCCATCGACAAGCACAATCATACCAGGCGCGAACCAAGCGCCATTCTCGGGTATCATCCGTGTATGACTCAGTTCTAAAGCGATACTCCCTGTCAAGTCGGTAAGGGACAAATCACCCGTTGGGGAAACAGAAAGCATGCCGAGTAATAAATGGGATGTGCCACTCCTGCCCAGCAGGTTTGCAACTGGAGTAAGCTTGTAGCATGTATTAGGGGCAAAGGACGATGAAGATCGTGATAATGAAGGTACGCCAGAAGAGCCTAGTGACAGTTGGAATGATTCATTTCGTAGTAAGCGTTGGTGAATCACATTATAACGATCCCGGAACAGGGCAGTCTTATGAGAGGGCTGCGGAAATAGAGAGGCTTTCGACTTTGCAACCTCGAAATATTTTTTGTCGGCGTTGTATGTTAGACGTGGAATATCAAACGCATCAACTACCTTGATCCAACTTCTCGGGTGAAAAGAAAGGTCCGAGTCCCCGTGTTCTCCATCTCCTAGTGTAGGCACTACAGAGGGAGACAAATGTAGACTGGGATGCATACTCTCCCTATTCTGAGACGTACTTAAGGACACGCCATCTGTTGTAGGGGTCTTGCCAGCAACAACCCTACCCCCACTCATATTTCCTTCAATGGTTTGCAAAATCGTTTTTAGCGAGGCACCTTTGCCTTCTTCGACAATAACACCTCCTCCAGCCTTTTTCCAGCTTTTAGCCACTTCGTCCAACACTCGCTCTGCAAGGCCTTCTTCGCGCCATCCCGACCCGCAATTTTTGCCCACGAAGGTAGCTAGAGTCTGTAGTGCAGATGATGAAATCGTCAAGTTATGTTTCCGGGTGAATGTACGGAAAGCGACGGGTCGAAGGGTGGAGGGAGGAAGTAAAATGGGCAGTATAGACGTTCTCGTAAGAAGATGATTGGTTTTGTTTTTTCGCAAAGGGTGCGCGGGTGTCGCAAATGCAGGAGATGATGAAGGGACGGGGTCCGAATCCATCATTATATACGCATTCACATGTATCTTGATAGTTTGTTTTTTATGTCGTGGGCATCCTTTTGATCAATTTTTGGCTAGGTAATCGACCCTATAAGGATTAACTCGGCTTGCGTTATCTGCTGATCTCGCCGTGATCTCAGTATGAGTTGCAGTAATACTAAGCAAAACCCAGAAGTGACGGCAATCTCGACTGCTTGGGCGACGCGTGATAAATTAAATAGAGTGGCGCGAGCACTGACGCGACCCGCGCCAGTCTGGAAATAAGTTCCATCATTGAATGCCAAGAGATAGAACAATTATTTCCTTCTTTTCGCGCTTGCGTCACCCCTGACCGTTGTTCTTTTCTCCAGTGAATCTTAATTTTTGTTTCTCAGGAAACTACTTCGTTCGATCCTCTTACTATCTTTAGCGCCCGTAGCTACATTACCTCGTCATTTTTGGAACGATTTGGGAACGAAATACTTGAGGCAACAGACCGCGGCAATGGCAGAGCATGACCATGCGAAAATAAGCGGTGCACCGCTTCAAAGTAATAACGAAAGTTTGAGGGCGTACTTAGCAGACCTGACTGAGCGAGCTGCCGCCAAGGATGCTGTCAAAGATTTCAACGCTGCTGCTGAGCTTTATTCTGAGGCTACAGAGCTCCAGGCTAAGTTGAATGGGGAGTTGTCGCTTGACAATGCCGACCTACTATATTCCTATGGTAAATCTCTCTACAATGTTGCTGTGAGCAAGAGTGATGTCCTTGGTTCCAAAGTGGCCGGAGAGAGTCAAACGCAGGTACATGATCCGTTGACTGTGAATACTTCCTCGTCTGGGACAACACCTGGGGGTGATAGCCTTGTTCAGGATGCAATTTCGAGTGGCCTAGCGCGGAAGGAGGCGCTTGCTGGAAAGGCGCAGTCCCGGAAGGTCGAGAACAAGACATATTTTCAGTTCACAGGAGATGAGAACTTTGACGCCTCTGATTCCGACGAAGAAGACAATAGCGATGGTGACGGTGCCGAAGAAGATGAAGATGACTTCGCCAATGCTTTCGAAGTCCTTGACCTCGCGCGTATACTCTACCTCAAGAAACTAAACGCAACAGAAGAAGAATATGGAAAAGGCAAAACCACAGATCTGCGTCCTCATACCAAACAGATCAAGGAGCGCCTCGCAGACACGTACGATCTCCAGGCTGAGATTTCGCTAGAAGCTGAACGTTTTACGGACGCAGTGACCGATCTCAGAACGGCACTCGACTTGAGACAATCTTTGTTTCCAATGGAGGATCCATCGATCGCGGAATGTCACTATAAGCTTTCGCTTGCCCTGGAATTCGCGTCTGTTAACAAGGCAGACGACGATTCTGCTAGTGGCAAGAGCGATAGGACGACCGACGAGGAAATGAGAAAGGAAGCAGCGAGACAAATGGAAAAAGCGATTGAAAGCTGCCAAGTGAGAATGGCTCAGGAACAGAAGATACTAGATAATAATAGTACTATGGAGGAAGACAAAGCAACCGCTATGAAGAGAAAAATAGCCAATGTGAAGGATATCATAGCAGACATGGAGCAAAGGGTAAGTTTCTCTCAACCATCCGAACCCCGAATTCTCATTCTTAAAACACGGACATCTCACTGGCCTACAGCTTGTTGATCTGAAGTGCCCCCCGGTATCACTCGAAGACAACGAGCAGAAAAATGATATGTTGAAAGGTATCCTGGGTCAGATAATGGGGCAATCTCCTTCGGAGCAGATGGTACAGTTGGACAAAGTCTCGAAGGGGGCTAATGATCTCTCTGCGTTTGTCAAACGGAGATCAGGTAGTAACCAACAACTGGTATCTACACAGAAGCGCTCAGCTCAGGAAAGTGACCAGGAAGGAGATGTGAAAAGAACACGAGTCGACAACACAAATGGTTCCCCTACCTAAGCATTCAAATATTAATTACTGCTTTACTAACCATCTTTCTCATTCGCTTCTGTCGGCGTTGACACATAACGAATTGGCTCTATACCACAAAAATTTGCAAGGACTAATTACTTGGGGCAAAAAAGCAGATACCCAGTCCAGCAGATTTTCAAACTTATGGGAACCATGGGAATGCACTTGGAATCGTTGTAGCTTGAACATTAGGATTAAGAAACCCTTTGCAGGGTCACCTGCGCAGATATCGGTCATAAAAGGTAACATGAGTAGCAGGGTATCAAGATGCCGCGATTGCTGGGAAAGAGGGGAGGGGGGGGAGAGAGAGAGGGGTGTGTGCGTAACAGTGCTTCAGGGCGTAAGGCCAAAAATCGAGGTATGACGATCCAATTTGCGGTTTCGTCGCCGTACAGCCAGTCCAGGGCTCCAAACACCAGCAAACAGGTCTTCGCATTCATCTTCGTCCTGACTATCGAACTCCACTCGATCGCCGGTTGTATCAACATCCATTTTTGCAGAAGTCATTGGCCCACACAACGCAAAAGACTCGGCATATGAAGCCGACTCCCATGAGGAGGACGTCATAGTCCGCTTGGTTTCTAAAATGAATTTGCCAACCTTGTAACGTTGCGCCTCTTCTTCAGCGGCAACATATTTCCATCCAAGAATATTCCCACAGAAAGCACAACTGATATCACTGACTGTATGGGCACCTGTGACCAGCTGACGCGACACGGGTTTCTGCATTATGGTGTTTGGAAGTGATTCTGTGGGTGAGGAAGTTGCACTGATGGAAACCGCACAGGCGATAGGTTCTGCTGACACAAGATACGCGCGACCATGGCGACCAGTGAACCCTTTGCTGATGATTTGGGACGTCAAACATAAATCCGTTGCGCAACGAGAACACTGAATATATGACACCTGGCCGCACAGGTATTTCTGGCAGCTCCCATCCATGGGCGAGGTTCTGGTAGAGGGTCCGGCAGAGCACCCCACATTGCGTTGTCGCGAACGGAACACGTTTGGTGGGAGAAGGAATTTGGGAAACATAAAGAGTACTCTAATGCTGGTATTCAATATTATAGCTACTTTACAGAATAGGAGGGTGTAGCTGAGATCTGCAGAATCATATAATCGACACGCTGCGCTTCGAGCAAGAAGTCAGTGTTGGTAGTAGTGTCATGCTGAGGTCATACCATACCGCCCTTGAAGGGAGTACCTTCCGCTCTGGGGTACGGAGTTTACTCTCATAGAGATCACCAATAACGTTTGAATCCATTATATTGTGCCCCACTGCAAGTAGTAAGTAGCCAGCCCGGGTACATTAGTGTTAAATCCACTATGAGCGCAGAAGGCAAGCCTTCCACCATTACCACTCATCTGACGACATACAATGTACTGTTTCAACTTGGTATAAAGTGACCGCCGCACTGCTATACTTCAGCACCCAAAAAAAGCCATCTAGCACTAAGCGACATTTCGGTACAATCTCCAGTGCTCCACGGTTGCAGTGTTGTCAAGTTAAATCCACACCATCCCAAATTCCTCACAACTTCAAGCTCTGCTGCACCTTGCGAACGCGGAATGCATGCAACAATCTGAGAGCACCCAAAAAAAGGGAGACTTGCTAGCTCAAAAAGGGCAATTAATCTGTCAAACGAGCCGTGAGTCTCCGTTGTATTTCATTATGTTCTACCCGTAAGTCCGAAATTTGAACTTACCCGGTCTTAAGGCCTTGGCCCAGAGCACATTCACTGAAGAATATGAATAGGGCACGCTCGTCATTTGAACTGGTCACGAATCCTCGGTATATACAATCACTTGTATAGTCCAGCACCTCAACCCACTCGTGAATTCGGCTATGCTCGTAACATGAATTATTCGGTTGAACTTGATACGCACCTGCCCCAAGCGACTCTTGTCCAGAGAGAATCCCCTCACCAAGGAAAATCACAGACAATGTGTCGCAGAAGAGCCTCTCACACTCTTCCGGGATAGTATGCGCTGCCTCCCCTTTGTTTTCGGGTATAATATTACCCGAATAACTGTTCTCCATTCCCGAATGGGTCGAGAGATCAGGGGGGGGACTTGGAGACAAGGTTTTCGACCCTGAGGGGACCTCAGGGATACCACTGGGCTCCTGTGGAAGGTAGCACTATGGCATCAGTACGAGTTAATACAACCCAAGTTATGTATGCTTACCGGCCCCGGTCGTAGTGTAGTAATGGAAACCATTAACTCTCGATGCTGACGTGTTGACGCTGTAGCAGCTTGCAAGCGCAGAAGTCTGGAGAGCTTTGTTGGGAAATCGCTGTAACTGATTGTAGCTATTACTGTTGCTATTCGAAAACTTGGCCATGATTGTGGTAGTCGCCCTAGAGAAAGGGTTATTATATATATAACGTCGTATAAAGTGGCTAGAATGTCTGCTTGGGTCAGACATTGGCAGCCAGATTTGACGGAGACCAACTAGAAAGGGGCCGATTGGCACGTAAAGCAGTTATGGTCCAGGTATAGCTAAGATGCAGTAGTAAAGGATTAGGTTACTGGTGGATAGATTATCTGTAGTCTGTTGACCGATGCCGAAGGCAATGGAAGGGGTTCTTTGGTCCGTACCGATTAGTGGTTCATTATATTTGTTACATGGGGTCAGTCATCTGACTTGATTGTCCGTTTGGTCACGTGCTAATGACTACTGAGGAAGAAAGTATTTCAGCGTTACATATCAAGTCTAGAATCAATCTAGAGTGACCTCCCAACCAGTACGACCTTGACAAGACGCTACTCCAATCCACCCTATTTCAAGTAATACATGACCTAGGCAAAGCCTATGGTAAGTGTATACATCACATGTGTAGTATATACAAGAAAGAAAGATACACCATGTGAAAAGCGAAGAGTAACTCTTATGCACAATAAAAGGTGTCCCGTAGCTCCCAAGCTGACATGGACCCAAAGTAAAAGACATGAAACAGAGTGCGGATCACCGTAGAGCGTTTAAAGCTCTCGATAGTCGCTCGGACGTATCCTCCTATATCTTGCTTGATGTCGCTGTGGATTAACAGGCTGGCGGAAGTACGCCGTATCTTCTTCGCGGGCATACGGAGTGCTAAATGTAGTCCGCTGTTGGTTTGAGAAATGGCCCAAATTTGGTCCCTGTGGAAAACCTAAGCTCTGTTGCATATTTCCGGCCATATGAGATATGGGAAACATATTCACTGGAGAGTCACCCATCCCATTGAACATATTCGTAGCTCCGTACCCAGAATTGACTGCACCGTTCGTCCCGTCACCATATAAACCATTTGGCAGCGGATTGAAATTCATACCGCCCATAGGATTCCAAGCTTGGTTAATATTGTTAGTGAAAGCATTGGACGAAGCTAAGGCAGCCGAGTTCATGAATCCCGTCCCTTCTCCAGCGAATCCAGCATCAGGGAAAGTCATTGAAGGAATGCCCTGGGCCTGCATGAAATTGAATCCACCAAAAGGCATTTGCTGGCCGAAAGGGAGAGACTGAAATCCAGTAGAAGGCTCATTGACTTGTGAAGACGAAGTCTCGGTAGACTTAGGATTATCTTCGACTTTCTGCTTCTTCTGTGTGGAATCTGAAGTTGCCTCCTCGGTAGCTTCGCCAAGAGATCCATCCTCCGCAGGCCTTTTCCTGGAATGATTAGACAATCCTTCCCCGGTTGAGGCCGGTGACGACAACTCCACTTTTGAATCGTCGGTAAAAGTATATGGTTTGTTGTTAGATTGATTCTCTTGAGCTGCCGATTGTTTCTCTTTCTCTTTTTTCGAATCCACCTTCTCAGCCTCGTAAGCCTTGATCTTCATGACAGCGTCATCGTCTGCAGACAGATTATCCAGTAAGACACCTTCTGTACCACATCCAGGGCAGACGAAATCACTCTCAATCAATGCATTTGTAATACAGTCATTGCAGTAAGTTCTTTGGCAGCACGGCGTTTTTGTGGGTTCTAAAAACATCCGTTTGTCAATTGGGCACTCTAGCCCGCGTGCTTGCAACTCCTTGCTATATTCTGCAGCTGCCGCTTCGGCGGCGGCGGCGGCCGAAGCCTTAGCTTTTTCCTGGTATAATTCCCAAGCCGCCTTGTCTGGTTTAGCAATGACAAAATCACCATCAGCATTAACCATGACGCCTGTGTTTTTCAAATCTTCATTGGTGCCATCTATCGTGAGCGATTCTGGCTTTTCAACTTTGGTTTGCAGAGAACGAGGTATACCAGTTGAACGTTTCACTCGGTACTTGCCATCGAACTTGGGATCATTGTTGGTTGGGCATGCTTGGATCCAATGACCTAATCATGAGCTTTAGCCAAACTGCAACCACCAACTTCGACATCAATCAGGAAGTGCGTGCCAAAACAAACCTTTTTCACGGCAACGATAGCAAAGATATCCGGGAGGCGGAGGGTGGTCGGGGACATTTGTTGGCTTTCCTCTCCCGCGACCAAACGGAACAGGTGTAGCACTATGAACATTTATCAGCATAAGGAATCATGTGTTTGACCGAAGTATGCTCACTTAGCCATCTCTTGCTGTTGTTCTTTCCATTGATTGGCCTGCAAGTTGAAAAGCGCATTTATCTTCTCCTCTTCGGTCTGAGCATTGTTAAGTTCTAGGACACCGTTGCTAACTGTATTGGTAGAGTTGGACACTGTTCGGCTCGACGAAACCTGGTCATTACGAGGAGCGTTGCGCGCATTTATAGGCATTTTTCCAGATACGTAACGAGTAGCGCCGCCTTTGCCAGGTCGCGATGCAGGTAGCCTCCGAGCTATAACAGATGTCGAACGAGGTATGATTGTGGTATCGTCATCGTACTCTATGTCACGAATATCTGTTAGCTGCTCATCCTCCTACTCCATTTTTCCCTCTTGCTTTGCGCTTCTATTGTTCGAACTCCTCCCCCTCCCGCTCCTTCGTCATCTCCTTTCCCCTCTCCCCATTTCTTATTCCTAGCATTTATCCTTTTTCTAATTGCAAAGAGAGGTGTAATGAATTCAAGAATAATCGGTTCGTTCAACTTACCTTCTCCAGTGTCTTCATTGTAGATGGACAGCTCGAAATCAGTTCCGTCACCCAGCCTACTCTGATTGATAATTTCGCGTTTCAATTCAAAGACAGAGATACCGGTGCCATCAAAAGTCACCCTTGAGGGTTCTTTTTGAGATTTGAACTTGAAGTGAACAGAGGATGACATTGTATTCAATTGCACGTCCAACAAGAGTGTTTGCGAATGTAATTAAATCAAGATTAAAGGGGTATCGCTTTTGCGAGAAAGGATACAACAGGAAAGAAAATAATGTAAAAGGAACAACACTTGGGAACGTGTGGCAAACAGCCAACGACAGATTTTGATTCGTGAATCCTCTTTGTTATAAGACCCTGGAGATCGGAAGCCAAATATCTATTGACGATATTGCTCGAACTCATGAACTTAAAATGACTTTTGCTGAATGCTGGATGGTAAGTATTCAAACTGCATACAAACAAGACCAAGTCTGAAAGAATACAAAGCGAAACAGTTTGCAGTACTGTGGTAAACAAAGGCGAGCCACAAGAATGTTTCTTTTGTCCTAGATATTTATTTTTTTTTCTTCTTTTTTCATGGAAGATTCGCCGTTCAATAGGTGAATTAGAGCTTCTTAGTCTCCTCTAGCCTATACTTTGCGGCCTGGAGTTGCAGCACAGAACAGGTGCTTGGGTGTCTTATCGGAAGGCAAAATCCATGCACAAGAAAGGTGAGCAGTTGATATTTAAACAATACCGGAAGTAGACGAAGCTTGGGCGGGTTGAGCGGCGAAAGACTTTGGGCAACAGGTACCATCAGTGTCGCGCGACACGATACCTGACTTATTCAGAGATTACGACTCAGTACAGTATCGAGCGTATAAAGATATGGTCGTATATTTGAAGGCTGAGTTGGGAATAGTATGAAGAAGAAAGAGAACCCCCAGAACTAACAGGAGGTAACTGCGTTGTTCAAAGAAGGCGTAAGAGTAACGAAAGACGTGCTAGGTATGAGTTTGATGGGTGGGATCAGAGCGCACTTGGGAGTGGTGGCAACCAAAGCATCATTAAATCACGTGGTGTAGAGGCCAACTAGCCTGACCGCCTTATACTTCCTTACCTCAGCTAATACAACTGGTACTAGGCCTTAAATTGAGCGAGGACCCGTCTTGTGCGATTCTAAGTAGCTAATGTACAGCCTTTTGACTGAAATGTCTCTAGTATTTATATAAAACCAAAAGGGTTACATGTCAGTTTCAGGTTTGCGAACCAGGAACCCTTGGCCACCTAAGTAGTCTTTGACCTCGCTAACAGTATATTCACCGCGGTGGAACTGTTGACTTCGTTAGCTGCTGCGAAAGACTCAGGAAATACATAAAAGTAACATACCATGCCAGCGCCCAGTGCCGCATCTGTAGTAGTACGCTCGAAAACTTCCGCAAAATGCCCAGGATTTCCGGCCCCACTGGAGGCAATTACTGGTATTTTGATGGCCTTTTTGACGTCGTTAATTAATTCTAGATCGAACCCACTATTGCTTCCATCTTTGTCGATGCAATTCAAAAGTAGTTCCCCAGCACCCATGGCCTCAACAGCTTTTGCTAACTGCCGAACATCCAAGTCCCGGGCCTCTCTGCCACCGTTGATGGTGCATTGGTACCAACAAAAGCTTTGCCCTGAGGTATTCGGATACTGTGTTCTGATGGTATGATGTTTAGTGTCTTCAGGGCCGTTGACATATACGCGTTTGGGATCGACGCTCACAACCACAGCTTGGTTTCCATATGCACGTGATATTGTCTCTATGGCGGTTTTCCCAGACAGTTTTTCGCCGGCTTCGTAATATTGCTCAGCCGCAATAACAGCATCCGAGCCAATGCTGACTTTATCCGCCCCAGATTTGAAATACATGGTGGCGACTTCAAGGGCCGAGATGCAGGTGCCATCTGGATCAATGGTATCCTTGATTCCACCCCCAATCGTGAGAGGAACGAACACAGTTTCGGATGTTCTTCTCAATATTTCCAGCATAGGTGTGTCTGCCACTGGGCAATTTCTGAATGATGTTATGTTCAGGAATGTCACTTCGTCTGCCCCTTGCTCGTAATATTTTTTAGCCATGTCGACTGGCTTCCCCAAATTCCTTACCTTGCCTCCAGAATTAACGCCATCCTTCTCGCGTACATCATATTGATCGCCTTTTGTGACAACGAGGTCACCGGAATCGTTCGTACGGACATCGAGACAAGCAATAACTCTGCGAGTCAAACCATACTTCTTCCCACGCGAGACCGAGGTGTCTAGCGGAGGTGACTGCATCTGGTCACCATCCAAAAAAGCACGGATAGTCCGCAAGCCAGCCTGTCCACTCTTCTCTGGATGGAACTGCGTGGCGAAGATATTTCCCTTTGCTATCGCACCTATGAATTCCTCTTCGCCATATGTGGCTGTAGCAACCGACCAACCATCTTTCTCCAGCACACCAGGTGTGTAAAATGCTGCGTAGGAGTGAACATAGTAATATTTGCTGTCTGGGTTCAATCCACAGAAACTTTGGGCTCCTAAAGGACCAACACTGGTGTTCATAGCAGAATTCCAACCTATGTGAGGTACACTCTTCACACTGTCATCGAACTTTCGCATTCGCTTTTGTATCAGCCCCAACCCGGGGACGTCAGGATCCTCCTCGGATCCTTCAAACAGTGCCTGTAGGCCGACACAGATCCCCATGAATGGTTTCCCGGAATCTATGTGCTTCTTTATCGGATCTAAATACCCGCCATCTGAAAGCTGAGAGAGACAATGGCCAAAATGGCCAACTCCGGGCAGTATAAGTTTCTGCGATATGATTAACGCACTGCAGGTATAAACAAGCAATATTTATCTTGACTGACGAAGGAGATATACTCACATCCGCATTCTTTAGATCTTCAGGATTTCTAACCCATTCAACATCATACCCAACTTTGTTAATTGCATTCACCAACGAACGGACATTCCCGGCAACATAGTCGAGCAGGTGGACGGTGGGCATGGCGGCGGGGTCGAGTCAGTTCCACTATTCAAGGGACTCGCTATGTCAAGGATGAAGACCCAATTACGAGACACAATAGAAAACCCACACTCTCTGATAGATTCTATCGTCTTTCCAGTGTCTTTAAGGCAGAGAAGATCTCATTGGGGGGAAGGGTGAATCGGAGCTTCGAAAGAATGGGATCCTGTCTTCAATACCCCACCAAGAGGTAGCTGACTCATAGTCTACTATAGCTTTTTTTTTTCTTTTTTTTTTTTAACTATTCTCCCGGTAGTTGGGGCGCCGGCGGGGAAACTCCATCGGGTATACTTACCTTCCTTTACTCCAAAGATTCACCGCCTTTACACGGTAGGAAGGTATCTTCTCTAGGGTGTAATGGACTGTGTAAATATTGTACGTGGTGTGCACTACAATGCTGTATACCCATCGTCCTGTGTATACATAATTAGATGCCCATAGAAGTTAAACCCTTGACTTTTCTAATGATTTTCAAGGCTGTGATTTACGCTTACCCCCTTAACACCTGAGTACATACAGAGTAGATGTGTGATCATTTCCAAGTCATCGGACGCTAGGTAGTTGGCATCTGCCTCGGCTACGAATCTCATGTCAAGTAGATTTTTAGTCGACCATTACAGTCATGGGAAATTTGTGATAAAATCATCACAGCAATATCACCTTCTCTGTGTCACTATATCTTGCCACAGAAATGATACAAGCCAAGATCATACTGAAAGGTACAATTTTCTATCGGACTCTGGAATAGAGTGCTGTATCTGGTGGATTAACAATCAAATATTAGAAGACTATGCCATGCAGCCTATGATAGGCTTTTGTAAACCATGCTGAGGTATACACAAGCTCAAATTTAGTTGATGGCCGCTCAAGTACGCAGCAACCCACTATGATAGCCGGCGGTACCATGAGCTAAACTATCTGAACATGCATTGTATGACTGAATGATATATTTCCCAATGAGAATTCAATTGTACCTAGAATTGGTGAGGCTAGATGGTTCTAGCCGTTTTTGATGGACATGTCTCTCAGATAGCAGGATCAAAAGCAACTTTAGAAGAGCGTGTTGAGCATTTGTCTCAACACTATCCGCTGGGTGCCCCGGTTAGAGGTTCTTCCTGCTCAACCGGAGCAGGTAAGCTTCCAACGTCCCTCTTAGTCCAAAGTAAAGACATATTTTCCTGAGTGGCCCAGTCGAGGCTACTCTGGCTACTAAAGAGGTGGTTGCTAGCTAAATCACACAGGTATTATCTAGAGGTATAGTATTGGTTACAAAACCTACCAATGCTGGGCACCACTTGATAGAAACTTTGTTTTACTTAAGATCACGGTAGATGGATGGATCATGACTGACTGTATAGATCGTATATACTATACGCATCTGGTTGCCTTTGCCATCCCTGAAACCGTATTCAAAATTCTCCATGATCCATTGTGCATCTAAGGCCTAGGCTCTTATGCAGAACAATTATTGCTTTATTTTAGTTGAACCCTCGAGATAGATAAGTCCGTTCCGAGGCTATTCGCCCGTCAGCGATGTGTAATAAACCGATAGAGTAAGTACTTACGGGAGAAAACTGTCGAAGGCGAACACCAGCGGACTCTAGAATTGCAGCGCTCTGGGCTATGTTAGCCAAGATCAGCCAAGGATAAGAGTAGGGACAGACATCTTGATCCATATTATATCCCTGTGAGTATACGACTTCGGAAATGCCAACCTGGGCAATTTTGACTGTGCACGTCAAGCAAGGACACCTTTGCTCTTCTCTCAGTAGAGTTCAACCGGCTATATCAACTACATGAACCAAGGGTATCTCACGTGTCACAATAAAGTATTGTACCCTCCCGTATACGCTCCCTTCCAGCCTCTAATAGAGCGTTCTCTTCTGCATGAAGGCAAAGACACGTGGATAAACCGACGCCTCCGCCCTCACCTCGGTTGCATCTTGGACCTGTGGAAACGTAAGTTCATACACCGACACATTTAAGTATAGGCAGAAGGGAGAAGAAAAGAAGGGGGGGGAAGAAAGAAGAACTAAGAACAAAGGGTTAAAGAAATCGGGCGCAGGGGCTAAATCCATACAGCCAGCCTCGTTGCAGTTTCTTAGATGTCGTGGAGTTCCGTTGTATCCAGTACTGATGACACGGCGTTCCCGAACAAGCACACAGCCCACCCTTCTCTTCATACAATTACTCCGCTGTGCGGCAAGAGATGCCAACTGCATGAAGTACTGATCCCAGTTTGGTCGTAAGCGCTCCTCGTCAGCCAGGTTAAGCCCCATGAGAGCAGCATGCAATTCCTCCAATGAAGTGGATGAGTTGAACAATCGAACCTGTGCCCGGTCGGTCAAATAGACACGCCCGATATTCTTATCATACAGATGTCGATCATTCCAGAGTACAAACTTTTCGAGAGGCGGGGGCTCAAGCTGCCTCCTCCGACACCTGGAAGGAATTAGTCTTTCACTTTCGGAATCATATGTTTGCAACACAGGATGTAGTTCGTCTGACCTGTCTCCAAATCGCTGCCATCGGAGACTAACTGGTGCGTCAACGCTCACTAGGAGGAAAAACGGGCGTTGAAGAAAGCGATCTAATGTAGCACTCTCCCAAATATCTGTTGTTACCCAGAGGCCTTGCCAATTTTTCGTTGCAAAATCTAGAAGCGATTCTGCACTTTCAAATAATAGCTGCGATGGCTGACTTCTCCCTTTACCCGTAAACTCTGACTCGTGTAGCCATCGATCATCCTCGAGCTCATCAGCTATTCGAGGGAAACTTCTACTTTTAAGTTCGAGTAGCTGGAACCCTTGATGCTGGATGAGGTACTCTGCAATGGCATGTTTACCAGAGCATATACCTTTAAGTACGCCATTAGTCTATGGTAAGATCGCGGGGAACATTTGACATAAGTCAGTAAAATATCTGCTAACCTCCACACAAGCCAATCAACATTTTTCTTGACTTTCCTCCTTCCCTTCCCTTTTTTTTTTTTTTTTTTCCCAAGTTTATTTTCGACCGGGCCAAGGGTATGAACGGGGTAAAGGCAACATATGGTTAGCACATGAGGTGTAAATGTAATTAACGTACATGTCGGAAAATTTGAGATGGCGGTACTCCGTCGGGGCTAAGGTATATTGGACTACGTATGAGACGAGACTAAAAGCACCTACCTGTGGTTGAAGTGGAGCTGGCGTAGGAAGCAAGTAATTGGGAATTTTTGGTTCAGATACATCACTAGATCAACTACATAGCTTCTCTGGTTATCCCTAAATATTCAAGCAAGTTGAAGTGATGTGTATATTATCATTGTTTTGTGTCCAGAGTACATACGGGACATACGAGGTCATCTGATAGTTGTACCGAGCATATACTCACCGTAATGTGCTCTGTATACCTGTGCACGTGTCATTTATTAATCAGTCGTGATCTATATTTCGCCCCACCATGATAACTACGTCTTATCGATACCTACCTTGCTACCTCCCCATGCTACCTTGACATGTAGTCAAATGAACATTAGGTACTAGAGGAGTTCTATAAATTATTTCTTCGGTCTTCACGGGATCTTATTCGTCTGGTACTACATGGTTACCGTCTTTCGCCCATTCAGGGCTACTCCTTACTAGTACACAAGAGCAGGGCAAACGGCAAGGCCAACTTGCGCAACAGATACTAGTATGCAGTATACACCATTTGCCTCGGATATAGAGCTCCCATTTTACACCGCATTAGCTTCCTTGAAAATAAATCATGACAAGCTTGACGACTCCGCCCGCAAGATAATGGGCCTCTATGAGATTCGCTCAACAGACCCTCCTAGCAGCTCATGTCGGATGCAAATACACGGAAATGCTCTAACCAGTGACGAGTGAGTGGTTTATCATTATATAAGTGCTGCGCCTTCATCATTATTGAGGCGCACTGAATGGAACAGAACAAGCACCAAGTAACATGATCCAGGGTACCTGCGGGTTTTTACAGAGCCGAAGGATTGATTAGGAATGTCAATACTATCGAGGAATATCGAAATGCAGACAAAACGCTTTTACTCCACCTATCTGGTAAAATGGTCAGTTTAACCACGCATGGTGTTTCGCAGGGAAATATTGATAATGTCTACTAGATATGGGATGCGATAAAAGATGGCACCATATATTCGTGTCCATCATTGTTGTCATCTTTTGCCATTCTTTCTCATGCGGACCTGAAGAGGTACAAGTTTCATTATTGGTTCGCATTCCCTGCAATTCATTCGGATCCTCCTTGGGCACCACTAGGGGCAACTAATGATACCGCCCACTCCAAGTCCTCTGAAAGGGAATATGTACCTTTTGCATACTTATCAAGTGCTGAAAGTTCAACACTTGTAGAGGCAGTACACACCTGGAGCTACGGCACTGACGCACGCCAGCGAGGCTTTTTTTTAGCTCGAAGGATCTTAGCTACTAGTGGCAAAGCCTATAAGGGTCCTACTAAACATACAGATTCCAAGCCAGGAATGGAGGAAGCAGCAGAGGCGGAGGGTGGCTGTTGGAGGGTTGCCGCCCTTTCAGATTATGAAAATGGCTTTTTTGACGGAGCCAACTTTGAAGACTGTTATGTCTGCTTCGTTGATCCTTCTAATTACGAAAACGCGCCTGGCTGGATGCTGAGGAACCTGCTGGTGCTTGTAAAACATCGATGGGGATTGGGTAAAATCCAAGTTCTGAGATACCGCGATGTGCATTCAAAGCGTGACCAAGGTCGCAGCATCGTGGTAACATTAGCGGAGAAGAATCAACCAGCATTAGGGCTGAAGGCGCCAGACAATCTTATGCCCAAAGTAACCGGTTGGGAACGCAATCCAACAGGGAAATTGACAGGGAGATTGGTTGACCTAACGGAATATCTGGATCCCCGGAGGTATAGTTTCCTGAAATGAAACTAACTGAAACGAATTGTAGCTAATTTCGTACGACGGCTAGGTTGGCAGATCAGTCTGTAGACCTCAACCTCAAACTCATGAAATGGCGAATCAGTCCCAACCTAGACCTTGAAAAAATCAAGCACACAAAATGCCTCCTACTTGGTGCAGGCACTCTTGGAAGCTATGTTGCCCGGAATCTGATGGTATGTATGATCCTAGTAGTGATATACTATGCATGGAGAAGACTAATTGCATCTATCTAGGGTTGGGGCGTTACCAAGATAACATTTGTCGACAATGGGTCGGTATCGTTCTCGAATCCAGTGAGGCAGCCGCTGTTTAACTTTAAAGATTGTTTGGAAGGCGGAGCTAAAAAGGCGCACCGGGCATCTCAAGCTTTGTCGGAGATTTACCCAGGGGTCGAATCTACCGGATATGCTCTATCAGTGCCGATGGCTGGCCACCCCGTATTAGATGCTGAAAAAACCCGACAGGAGTTTGAACAACTTGAAAGGTTGATAGATGAGCATGATGTTATCTTTCTTCTGATGGATACACGAGAATCTCGCTGGTTACCAACTGTCATGGGAAAGGCAGCGGGAAAAATTGTGATGAATGCAGCGTTGGGGTTTGATTCCTTCGTTGTTATGCGTCATGGCGTGAAGGTTGCAGAAGACCCAGCAGCTGAGCTCGGTTGCTACTTTTGCAATGATATTGTTGCGCCAGTGAACGTGAGTGATAAACCGTGGATTTAGTCCTATAAACACCGCTAATCTTACTAGTCCATGAAAGACCAGACGCTGGACCAACAGTGCACTGTGACTAGGCCTGGCGTGGCCGCGATAGCTTCGGCCTTATTGGTTGAGCTACTAATTTCCGTCCTTCAACATCCTCTGGGTGCTGCAGCCCCGGCTCCGGCCTCAAGGAATGACGATCGAGGGAGTCACCCCCTAGGACTTGTGCCACATCAGATTAGAGGTTTCCTTTCAACATTTGAGAATCTATGCGTAGTGGGCAGGAGCTACAAATGCTGTAGCGCTTGCTCAGAAAATATTGTTGACGCGTACAAGGAGAAAGGCTGGGATTTTGTGCAAAAAGCTTTGAATGACACTGGATACGTGGAAGACCTAAGTGGTCTTAAGGAGGTCGGTACCCCTTTTCTCGTTTCTTTCTTTCCTCCCTTTGCCTTCTATCTTAAGACAAATGCTGAGGCTCTACAAGGTTCAAAGAATCGCTGAAGCCACAGCTGCCGACATTGAGTGGGATGAGATCTCTGGAACCGATGATGAGTTAGAGGCTATGTGAAATGACGGATGATGTTACGTACTCTTTCGAGGCTAGTCTTTCGAGCCGGTAGGCTTGCGCGGAAATTTTTGTTTTCAAGGAGACGTGAGCACTTCATGCCTCGTTGCGTGTTGTTTGCGTGCAAGGCCAATGAAGTAGGCTTCCTTAGATTCCTAGCAACCAGGTTAGTGAAGCTAGACTCGGTTTTTTATGATCACCCGCCAATGTGTCTGATACATTACGTGAAGACTCTGGTTTAAGTCTATGTACTTTCTGGAACAGCCGCTTGAGCTGCTTCTCTAAATCTTTGTCTTCGGCGCCCTGATAGAACTTGCAGACAAAGTGGCCCCCTGTCTTTAAGACTTCGAAACTGAACTGTAGCGCAGCTCGGCAAAGGTCCTTTCTTAGGTTAATTAATTACGTACCAGACACATCGGATGCAACTCAAATTAAGGAACTCACCATGCTTCCCGCATGATCTCTGAAACCCATGCCACTAGTATTCATCATCCTGTTATACAGATCACTTAGACTTCTCTTCCAGAATCCAGAGGTTTGATACCAGGGGTCAGACATATCGCTTAGAACCACGTCCACGGATTTTTTACCGGTCAGGAGGCAAGGCTCTTCCATCTCTTCGCAGTTGTTAATGGGGTTTTTCGTATCCACATCCAATCCAGACGTCTCATTGCTTAGGCCGACATGCGGGATTATGCCTGGACGGTGCTGTTGGCCGCTCGTTGGATCATGCAGGAAGTTTTGGACATAGGCCTGGATGCTAGGATCTAAAAAGTTTCCTTGAATCGTAGATACGCCCTTTGGAGGCTGAGCAGGGATGATATCAACGCCAAGGACGCGACCGTTTGGCCCAGTCCGACTGACTGCCACCTTTCAAGAAGTTAGATAGTTACAGAGTAAGACTTATGGCTAGCTGACGTACCTGGGACCACGAACCCGGTGCATATCCCTATTATTGGAGTATAAATAAAGCGAACAACTAACAGGGTTATGTCGATTTTCTCGAACCGTGGCTGCCATACCAAATCGACGACAGTCTGCCCATTGTGGAAAATGTGATATTTCGCATCTATCTATCCAGGTGGGGAGGGGTTAGGGTGAAAGTATACATATGCTAGAGATTTTGATGCTACACCTGAATAAGTTTAAATGCAGCTCGACTTTTCAGCCCTTGGACTGTTGCCTCTCTTGTAAAATGATCCTTGAGTTGACGTGCTTGCCATCTCTTCGAGGAGGATAGTCGCTTTAAAGTGAATGGAGAAAAAGCAAGAGCACGTTGCGACCGTGAAGGCACTTTTAGAAGTAACCACATACCCATTGCTACCGGAGGCGTGTATTGGTGAAGTTCAAGGTTGGTTGTAATATGAATTGGTTACTTGGTGTACAGAAATATAAGAGCTGACCCAAATATATGTGGTAAGGGGTAATCGGAAGGTAGGCGTGGCCGGCTTACAACTTCAAATTAGGGGTCTGATTGATAATACCAGGAGGGATCTTAACGAGCAACCAAACAAAAGAACTCTAGCAATACAGTGAATCTTTATGTCACGCAACCTGGTTCTTCTTCACTTTGCCTTGCCCTCTTCTCTCCAATATAGAAGCCTACTAGTTCCGAGGTGAAACAGTGAGATTAAATCAATTGGATTCACTCTGGCATGTGACAGTGAAGCTTCTCTAAAGTCGTTTCTTGTCTCGCTTCAAGGGAGAAAATTCACCCAGCCCAGCCAACCCGCGACCGCGTCCAAGGCGACCGCCACTTGGAGCAGATACTTGGGAAGCAAGATTCCGCCCTGTACCGCCTAAGACCAGCTTCCGACCTGGCCGTCTGATGTCATCAGTATCTCCATCGTCTTCTTCGTCGAACAAGCCCATGTCGCGTTGGGTCCCCAGCTTACGTTTCTTTGATTTGGGTTGCCCATGTTTAGAGGAATGGGTATATATACCGCTGACATTTTCCACTCGTCCCTCATGATCTGAATTGTCTACCAAGTTTCTCTGGAGTTGTCCCCCTTTTCTGCTGTTGGAGATACCATGACCTAGACGCAATGTGTCCACGGCGACAGGTATCTCATCAACCGACACCCTCTGACCCTGATACCTAGGATCAACACCTTTTTGGACATCATTTCCAGAGGCCTTCTCATTTGCTCTACCGGCCATATGAGTTGCGTGGAGCTCATCTGCATCATCCTCAGAGCTTGTAGCTGAATTTTGAAGCCCATTTGTTCGGTTTAGAAATGGAGTGATCGAAAATGATGACTTCTCGCCGGGCAATGTTGATGTTTTACTTCTTTTGTCTTGGGCACGAATAGCTCCAGGGGTTGCAATTGTCAGGCCAGAGTTGTGCTTTGTAGTGGACTGTGCACTGGAGGTTTTAGACTCATAATTATTAGTGGTGCCATACTGCCGTCTAAGTTCCGTAGCTGCGGCCTGGTATTGGTCCTTTGTTGAGCGTAGCTTCTTATTCAAGGTATCAAGCTTGGCATCGAGGGCCGCTCGTTGGGCAGCCCATTCGATACTCTGTTGTTGAAAGACACGCTCACGTCCATCCCGCGCCCGCGCCTCCGCCATGAGTTCACTGCGCGCTTCTTCAAGGCTTGAGCTAAGCGCTACTATTTGTTCTGCATTATGCGATTGCTTGGCTAGTGTTTGTTCGTGGGCACTTTTTTCGCTTTCGAGTTGTGCCTCAAGGATTGTCACCTGTTGTTCGAGATTTCGCTTCTCGGCAAGGAGCGTATGTTGAGAAGTCTTCTGAGACTTTAGCCTTTCAACCTCTGCCTCTGCACTCGAGAGTGCCCTTGAGAGATGGCATTTTTCTGCGAGGAACTTCTTTGTATCGACAGAATCATTGGTCAGGGAGCCAAGCTCAAGCTACGTTTGATATTCAGTATGAGCCGTTTCACATGACATATTCATGAGCAACATACACGAAGTGTCTCTATTTCATGGGACAACGCGCGGTGCGCATTTTGTAGCTGATCAAGCTCGCGGTAAGTTGCTTGGAGCTGAAGACGGACCTCAGATTCTGCCCTTGCAGTTTTAGTCAATTCCTGATTGACATGATTCAACTGCCACCGCAAATTCTCATTTTCAAATTGAAGGAGCAGTTGTTCCACGCGCAGTAGTCGGTTTTTCTCAGCATTAAAAAGCTGTGCCGTGTGCACCAGGGTGTTATCATATGCTTTTTCCAGGTGCTGTGTTTTAATTGCCATTCGACACTATAGACAGGGTAAGTCTGTAAACTGCAATGGGATCAAGATGACAAACACACATCTTCTACCATGCTCCCGGGATCTTTGCTACAAGATTCCATAACAATGAAATGTGACTATAATCGCGAATTATGATATACAAATGGATACTAAGATTGCTGGGTGAGGTTCCTGTTTATCCTAGATAAACGAATGAACAAACACTAGATGTCAGGAGGCCCGCACCTTTCCGTCCGCTGGCATGAATGACGGACAACCCAGGAAAAACTAGCGCCGGTCATTCCGCAGTACTGGACACCTAATACATCCTCCTACAAACGATGATCGCTCCAGACCACTAATGGAACCTGGCCACTGTCTTCCAGTACATGGATCGTTCCATTGTATGCCACCCATTGATTTGTTGGCAATTGACCTTTGAAAACACCACATTCCTGCTGTAGTGTTATATTCTTGACATGCCAACATGAAATTGTTTACTCTCATCATCGCACTCTTCTATATTGTATCTAGCGCTTGCGCGAGCCCGGAGCTCGGCAAGTTCGAAAGATATCAGTCGCTCTCTCGATCCATTCCCATTGATTTGGATGACTCGTCGTATGAAGACTTGACATCAAAGCCTCGCGACTACCACGTTGCGGTACTTTTGACGGCTGCTGAAGCTCGCTACGGGTGCATCTTATGTCGCGAGTTCCAGCCAGAATGGGAGCTCATCTCGCGAAGTTGGAACAAAGGTCCTAAACCTGATGGCCTAAAAATGCTTTTCACGACCCTTGACTTCAGTAATGGTAAAGCAACTTTCCAAAAGGTGGGCTCACATTGATCATTTACAGTACTGTTTGCTAATACCAGGGGGAAAAGCTAATGCTCCAAACTGCGCCGGTTCTTCTTGTGTTTCCTCCAACTGTTGGCCCCTTTGCTAAAGTTGATGATGCACCCATTAGATTTGACTTTAGTGGGTAAGTGTACACATAAAACTTTTTTGTTGAGGTACTGCTGTGCTAATGGGTTATACCCAGTCCAATCTCTGCTGACCAGCTTTACGTGTGGATCAATCGTCATCTTCCGGAGGGGCCGAAACCACCTCTTGTTCGTCCCATTAACTACATGCGACTCATTTCTGCAGTGACGATCTTAATGGGCGTGTTGACCTTGTTCACTGTTCTGTCACCGTATGTTTTACCGGTCATACAGAATCGTAACTTGTGGGCCGCATTCAGCTTAATCTCCATACTATTATTCACAAGCGGCCACATGTTCAATCATATCCGCAAAGTGCCCTATGTTGTTGGCGACGGCAAAGGTGGCATTAGTTATTTCGCCGGTGGATTCTCAAATCAGTTTGGAATGGAAACGCAGATCATTGCTGCCATATGTAAGTGCGACCGACTGACAGCCAACGAAATATTGAATGTCTATGTTCCTGCTGCTGATGCATTACCGTACAAGATGCCATCCTTTCCTTTGCGACAATAGCTCTCGCGGTGAAAGTACCCCGTATCGCGGATAGTAAAGCGCAGCAAGTGGCTGTGCTAATCTGGGGAACTGTATTATTTGGTATGTACAGCTTTCTTCTGAGTGTCTTCAGGGCAAAAAATGGCGGATATCCTTTCTTCCTGCCTCCATTTTAGTTCAAGTCGCAGTCGCAACGCCTATCGCCTCTTCCACCATCGTTTGCCCAATGATTGCAGTGAAAAGAAATGGAACAAGCTGAAGGCTTGGGCTCGGCGATTACGTGGGCCAGCAATGCCTGATTAGGGAATTTGGAGCTTGGAAATGAACTTTAAGAACAACTACATTCCGGCTTTCTCGATGGTAACGAAGTGTACTAGTGTTGCATCCTGGCTATGTACCCCTCAACGCGCATGTGCATAATTATAGCTAGCTACAATAAGGTTAGCTGATGCTGTCAAACATGTAGAACTCTTCCATATAGCGGCTGCTTTCATCGAATACATTGTTGTCGATGCCCTCTTATAAGATGAAAATATCTAAAGATTTTGATCTCATCCAAGCCACGTGGACCTGCAGGAAAAATTAGCTCCGGCTCCGAGTGTCTTGGCGCATTTATAGTAATAGTCTTTCACCATGTGGTAAACCTTGCTTCAATTCAGAAGACTTAGGATACGTTGAGCTACACGTCACTATGTCCCAGCCAGGAGAACATGTTGACAGGATTCTGGCTTCATCGGTATCTGGTATGACGTTCTTGATCATTGTTCAAATAGCCTCTAGACTGTTTACATTCATCGCGAATCAATTGATCCTACGGACTCTGTCCCCGGCAATACTTGGGATTGGTACTCAACTGGAGTTGTATTTCATCTCGATACTATACTTCTCCAGGGAAAGCATCAGAACAGCGATTCAGCGACAACCTTTCCATGGAGCATCTGCTACTGCTAACCACGATTGGAGCCATCATCAAATAAGTGGCAAACTAAGTCGAAAGAGTCAACCCCAAACAATATCTTCGCAATCAGTAGTAAACATGTCTTATCTGAGTATCAGCATGGGGGTTCCATCGACTTTTATATTCGCGACATTGTACACACAGTTTGCTTCCCAGGAAGTTTCTGAAACGCCTTTCTATCTATCCGCCGTTACGATCACCACAGTTGCATCCCTTATGGAGCTTTGCGTTGAACCTTTCTTTGCCGTGGTGCAGCAGTATACGTTGTACAAGAAGCGCGCAATAGTGGAGACAGCTGCAGCATTTATGAAGAGCTTAACCGTGTGTGGTTTATTTACATGGGCCTCTTGGAAAGACCGAGACTTGGGTGTCCTTCCTTTCGCTCTGGGTTACCTTTGTTACTCTTTGTCTCTTATTAGTGGGTATTATCTAACCATACCAAAGTTAACAAGTCAATGGCGGTTCTCGTTGCTCCCTACCAAGATTAGATCAAGGTACGTCAGCAGTTGAGTGGAAAGGGCAATGATTCGAACATAGTAACACTTTCTAGTGATAAATCAATTTACCTAGCCGATAGGTTCCCAAGGCACCTAGTCACACTTTCCACAAATGTCTTTTTCCAGTCCATCGTAAAACACCTCCTGACCCAGGGCGACGCAATGATTCTGGCAGCGATGACGAGCTTGAAAGACCAAGGTATATATTCTTTGGCCTCAAATTATGGCGGCCTGATAGCGCGCGTTCTGTTCCAGCCTATCGAAGAAAACAGCCGAGCTGTGTTCTCATCTCTGCTCAACTCTGGGGAACAACATGCAAGCAATGTCAGTGCAGCCAAGGCACATCTAATTGAGATTTTACAAGCATATGCAATGCTAGCTGTTTTCGCATTCCCTTTGGGACCGTATCTGGTTCCCCGAATACTACCTCTTCTGGGCGGACATAGGTGGGCTTCTCCAGATGTCGGTAGCTTACTTTCACTCTATTGCTATTATATACCATTCTTGGCATTCAACGGTATAACTGAGGCGTTCGTTTCATCTGCAGCTAGTGCTTCTGACCTTCGGAGACAGGCTTACTGGATGGGGTTTTTTTCAGCGAGCTTTGCTTTAGCAGCTTACCTATTTCTGAAAATTGGTGGCTTGGGTGCCCATGGACTAGTCTGGGCTAACATTATCAACATGGCAGTTCGTACGGCCTGGAGTTTCATATTCCTCCGGTCTTACTTTTATTTGCACGGCAGTAGCCTAGCTCTGGCTGAATTCTGTCTACGACCTCAAACATGGATTGCTGGGGCTCTATCATCGATAATCCTGGCCAGACAAGGACACGACGATACCGTCTATCGTAACTTTGTGAAGGCATTGATGTTTTGTACTGGTTACAGCCTCTTGATGTAAGTCGAAAAATACCACACACACCATGGCTAAGCTCTAACTAGTATAGTATTCTCCTCGAAAGAAAGTACCTTACAACACGATACACATATATTCGCCGGATAATCAAGTCTAGAAGTACGAGAGTAAAGACAGAATGATGTGAAGAACTAATCGTCGAACACAATTTTTGTGGCTGTCTTGTCAGTGTCGACATTCTTGAAGAATGCACCATATGCATCATGTTGCTTCTTCTTGACAGTTGTTCCAAACTTAAGGAGGTCTTCTGGTATATCCTGTTTTGCTGCTCTGAGGACGTTGATCAATCTGTGACTCATTAATGAAAGGTTCTCGCCCAAATAATTCTACTGGTGGAGGGAGAGTTAGGGATGAGGGCACACTTACGCGCCAGACTGAGCTTTATCTGTCTCGGTAAATAGGGTCACAGCATGTCCGTCAGCTCCAGCACGACCAGTCCTGGACGAAAGATGTCAGATACTTCCACAGATTCAAAGCGTGTTACTTACCGCCCAATTCGATGTACATAATCTTCAACCGTAAGCGGGAATGTGACATTAATGACCTGTTTGACCGAAGGTATGTCAAGTCCACGAGCTGCAACATCAGTAGCAACGAGAACAGTAGCAGCTCCTGTTTTGAAGGCATCTAGGCTTCGAAACCTCTCCTGCTGACTCAAGTCCCCATGTATTCCTGCTACTTTAAATCCCTTTGTACGAAGAAGTCTCTCAATCCGCACGGCTTCCTTCTTATACAAGCAAAAGGCTAGCACTTTTGCTGGCTCAGGAACCCCTCGCTGGGACCTATTCAATAATTGGATAAGTCGAGTCTCTTTTTCATGCGGCTTGACAACCTCCACATCTTGCTTGATCCTGGTGTTCGCCCGTGGGTCCGCAGATGGATCACCTCCGATGGTGACAGTCACAGGAGAGGTCATGAAAGTTGACGCGAGGTCCCTGACATTTGGAGGCCAGGTTGCAGTGAACATGACGGTCTGGCGCTTAGATACCGGCATTGGACGAATGATGTCCTTGATATCTTGTTCAAATCCCTTGTCCAGCATACGATCCGCCTCGTCTAGAACCAGGTACTTCACTTTTCCTAGGTCTACCGAACCATCATTTTGAAGATCCTTCAACCTTCCAGGGGTCGCAACAACAACCTCTGCAGTTTTAAGAGCCTCCCGTTGTTCCTCCTTTCTCACGCCGCCGAATACACAAGCCACTCTGACGCCCACGGACCCTGAGAACTTTAACAATTGGTCGTATATTTGCATCGCTAGTTCCCTCGTTGGAGATATTATTACTGCCAAAGGGCGATAAGGTTTCTGTTTGGTCGTCACTGAGTCCTGTATTTTCTTTAGACACGGCAACCCAAATGCAAGTGTCTTTCCACTTCCAGTTTCTGCGATGCCAATGACATCACGACCAGCGAATAACAACGGCCAGGTAGCAGACTGAATCGAAGTTGGTGATTTGAATGAGCTCAATGGCGCATATAGGTCATCTTTGCAAGGAGGAAGGTGAGAAAATGAAATGATTGGACGCATTACGTTCTCAGATGATGTATCTGTTATCTTAATAGAGTTTTCCGTAAGGAATTTCTCGATTTCGGACTGAGAGACATCATCCAATGCAGGAGACTGGACGTAAGAGGGCCTCTGTTCAGCATTTGATTTAGACTTCGCAGATTTTTCCTTCTTCTGCTTTTCACTCTTCGCCTTTTTCTTGGGTCTTTGCTCATCGCCTCCTTCATTGTGAAGATCACGTTTAGTCATTGTAATCCTCTTTTCACTTTGAATAGAGGCGAAAAGAGTGATCGAAGAGGAAGAAGAGGAAGAATAAGGCAATTGGTCTAAAAAAAAATTGAGTATGTGACCACTTTGTCTCTATATATCAATGGGATAGTTTTTCTCTGTCCATCTCTTTTTTTTTTATCTTCCATGATTTTGCCATGTGTCACCGCCAAAAAGTAAAACTTTGTTAGATTGCAACTGTACAGAAAAAGCTCTATTACGCAGACCCGTGCAATATCAGTTAGCGACTACCAAGTGTTCAGGTAGTCCAAGCATCCAAGCATTCAAGCATTTCAAGTAGACTCAATCAATCTAATTAATCCGAATAACCTATAACTATCTCCATAAAGTCTCTTCAATTACTAGGAAAGACTGTTAATACTCAACTCCGCAGTATATAACTAGAGACCAAGCGTTAGGCTGCACTATGCATGCGGAACAGCGGGTGATTTATCATCACGTGAGAGCCGGCTGTGGTACAATATCAACCGCAGCCCGTCACGATGTGAACCAATGATCAATTTATATGTACGGTAGTACTTAGAGACCGCAGCCGCCTAACCTAGTTCGCCTGTGTAAGCGTAGCATGTTATACCTACTATTTGCGATACTACGGTCCGTACGGAGTTTATAACACAAGAATACCCAGAAAAGTTAATCAATTCTAAAGTCTACTCCAGAGTAAGCTGAGCGAGAAAAGCAAGTGTTTACAGTCTGTTTTTATATAAATAAAATAAGACCTAATTCTTTGACTACCTCATGATGATAACGTTTTCTGGTGAATGAGGGGATAACATAGCAGAAAGTCGAGCATGACAAGGAAGATATTAGACATAAAGTGGGTTTTACGCCCATTTAGCCTTTCAAGTATCTGTCCATTACTACTGTACAGGGTACGCAATAAGTACTAAGCCATAGGGGAGATCTCACGTACTAACGTATATAAAGGTACATACGTGCCTGAGGTGCTAGGCAAGTATGGTTTACTTCCTATATAATGATAGTAGAACAAAGGTGATTTTGATTTATTACCATAAACCCACAAGCAAAGATGAACACAGGCCAGCCGTGGAAATTGAGGGTAGCATATCGATATTGTTAGAACATAATGTTGACTCAAGCCTTAGTCAATTGTACAGATCACTTTGCCCTTGGTACGGTTGCTCTCTAGCAATTTATGGGCATCTGCAATATCCTGAAAGGGTAAAACCTTCTCGATGAAGACTGTAAAAGTACCATCCCGGAACTTTGGCAGTGCATGCTCGACCAGTAAATCACGCAATTTCTTCTGGTATTCCTCATCCCGGCTTCGGAGAGTACTACCTTCCAACCTTACCCTCTTTCTCAGGAGGCTGCCGATATCAACACCTGCAGGGAGGATTGAACCACTCATTTGTCCCAACTGAACTATACGCGCATCGCGAGCGGCAACATTCAAGTTACCTTGAAAATGTGTTGCGCCCACGAAATCGATGATCACGTCAACACCCCGATCATCTGTTGCCTTTAATAGTTCAGATGCCCAATCCTGGGTTCTATAGTTGTATCCCGCAGTGACACCCAGCTTATCAAGACAAAAGTCGATCTTCTCCTGGGAACCTACAGTCACGAACACGGCAGATGCGCCGTCACTTTTAGCGAGCTGAATGCCAGCTATGGAGACAGATGAAGCGCCTGCATGCCAGAGAACCGAATCCCCTGGTTTATATCCACCTATCAAGTATAGGGCTTGAGTAGCTGTTATCCAAGTCTATGGCCAGCAAGCTCTCATCAGTGACCATTCATGGCTATCATATTTCGGACAACCTTACTTCAGGAATTCCAGCTGCCTCCTCCCACGATAACTCCATGGGCTTGTGTATTAACATATGCGTTGAAACAGCAATGTATTCCGCATAGGCACCTGCGACTCCTTAGCCAGTGATATACAGCAGTAAAAGGTCCTTACTTAACATATTGCAACGTACCACCGTAAGCTAGCCCAAACACTTCATCTCCAAGCTTGAAGCCAACCTCGGGGTTTCGGCCGAGCTTCTCAATCGTCCCGGAGAACTCAACACCCATGGTACTAGGCGCTTGGGGTGGCAAAGGGTATTTACCCTCACGCTGCAATATATCCATCCTGTTCAGCCCGAAAGCCTTGATTCTGACTAATGCTTGGGCCTCCCCAGGTTCAGGAACCGGTATGACATTGATAAATAAGGCATCGGCACTCCCTTTCCCGCCTTTCACATCTTGAAAAGTGTTAACATGGCAGATTCTAGTACAGAGATGAAACTACCAACCGATTGCTCTCATCATTTCGCCCGCCATGGTTTGCGCTAAATATTTTCGCGGCGTTTCGTCTGACCAGCTCGTGTCTTTTAAAGAGGACAGCTGGGTCTAGTACAAAGTAAAGTAGTCTTTCTATTAGTTAGCTATTGGTGCCCTTTAATTTGTCATCTGAACTTAATGATTAGTAAGTTTGTCCGGGTATGTTTACAGCATCCGAGTGTCCATCAAGAAGTTCAACGCCGAATTCTCTGCAATAACCTAATAGAATACAATACACAGTGGCAATTTTCTAGATATCTGTGGTATATTGATGACAGCTGCGAGGTCATTGTAACTGGATTTGATCACGCCAACCGACCATTTCGAAGTTGCAGAATTACAGGTCAAATCCATAGGGACTAACAGCGGAGATCATGTAGACATTCCACGGTAGTTGACTTTCGAATTCTAATGCACAAGCAGGCTACCCGACCTAGTTTACATACAATTGCATATATGAAGCGATCTTTCACTAAATCAAATGCTCTGCTCTTATAAATTGTCCAAGTCCTGCGTCATCTAGCCACGGTATTAAAGCTACGAGAATAATCCAAACTATTTCATCCGAAACATCTGGCCGCAAAGAAATTGCGGGCCCACAAAGTCATGTGGATAGAAGGGATGTAGTTGTCACATAGTCTGGTAAACCGCAGATGAATCAAAGTGACATACTAATGTTAACATTATGCAAAGTAAAAAACATGATGTGTTGCGTATTAAGCTCCGTCGTATGCACATGGGATTCTGATCACGCCTCCTGGAAGTCAGAGGTATTCTTTCCCAGGCACAGTCCAGTTGCGTGTGATCAACGATAAATATGCAAGGGCCACGACCACCAGCCAAAGTACCGAGTCAGTCATGTATCACGACGCAATACTATATGAATCGATCGTGTTTGCAAGGCGCAGTGCCTCTTCTGAATAATTAACCGGTTTCGCTGTTACTATCTGATAGCGAATGCTAAAAGTTTCAATGAATTAGTGTTCTGTGTCAAGCCTCTCTTCAGTAATCTATGGCCTTACCGTTGTTGATCGCCAAAATTGTCAAGCTTGGCCCGACATCTGAATTTCCAGGTTCGGCAATTCGCATCCTGGAAAATATCTCCAGCAGCTTTTTCATCGTTCTGGCGTATCTCCATGAGCTGGTCTGCGGAAAGGCCCATCATGCACCTGCCTACTTCATCGAAACAGCTGAGGTAAAGTTGACCAGTATGATCGCTAACACTGATGAGCATTATATAGCGATACTCTGGTCGTGGATGAGTTTTATCGCAACGTTCACACCGCCATTGGCCAGGATCAAGCTCTGTTACTTTTTTATTGCAACCCTCAGAAAGACAGGCAGGATAGCACATGGTATCTTGCTTTATGTAGATGACAGTCGCCTTCAGTGAGAAATAGGCCACCTCATCTGACATTCCTAATTGCTCGTCTTTGATTTGTGCGACAGTTTTGAACTGTTCGAGTTTTGCAGTAGATGCGGCTACACCAGGCATTGAAGCATGTGAGGCAAATACTCCATCCCGGCCTTGAGCGTCGTACCAACCCTTCAATTTATGGGCTTCCTCAATATCAGGATCAACCGTCATTGAACCTGAACTCAGCAAGCTTAAACTTCTACCTCCAAAGTCAGACACTTTCACACCCTTGAACGCTATCACAGACTCGGGAGTCACGTTGAAATTCAGCGCAGACGATCCCCAGACAGTCAGGCGAACAGAGAATCCCGTGCTGTCCACCAATGTAAGCTCACGTTTGTTATAAGGCTTGTTGGTGGTCTTGGACATAATTTGAGAAACCTCAGCAACCTCTTTCAGTACTCCAATTACATCGATGGTGGTATCCTTCTCGACAGACTGCAGGTCACCGATGGTTGTAAAGCTGAATCTAATTTGTGGAACGTCGGCTTGATCCTCTGCCTAAAGCGAAATAAGACCAGGGAATGTCGGGCGAAGAGGGCATTGTACTGACCTTTTCAACAACCGTGTCCCTGTCAAATGTGAGTTCATAGTCATTGTTCAGATTGGTAAATTGTTTCTTGGCAATCTTAACGCTGCATGGGCTAGAGATGTAATAAACGCTGCCCTCCTGGAAAACGTCGTAGAGCATATCACATTGATCATTGAACCCAGTCGCACGGATCTCGCCGCTGTCGTCCAGTAAATTGACGCTGAAGAGCTTACCATCTCCATTCCTGTTATGCCAGGTCCTAATATTTGACTTGCTCGTGCACCGTGCCTTGATAGTCCATTTGTGAGAATAAGGAGAGATAGCTTCGATGGGGTAAATGGTTGTATGTGCTGAAGCCGCTGCGGGCCGTGGCTGCGCTGATTTGCTGGGCGCTTGTGGTTGTCCACCTTGGATTTTGGAGCCATAGAATCCGTTGCTCGATATCGTAGTAGGCTGGGGCTTCTCATCCTCTTCCGTCTTACTCTCTAAAGGCTTGGGCTCACCAATTTTCTCAGCCTCGCCCATGTCCTGCAAAACCTCCAAATCCAAAATTATAAGAATCCTATCCATGTTAGTCAAAACATGTAGAAGGGGTTAACTTGTGGTCTCACTTTTTCCCTTTCACCGAATTCGCCTGGAAAGACTTGAGCCTAACGAAACACCCTTTCCGGAGTTGCCCACTTGTAACGAATCGATTGGCTTCTGCTGAACAATATCATCATTAGCAGCATATTCCAGATGTGACAGGGAATAACACTCAAGTTTCAGTAGAACTTACGGGTCGCTAGCATTGTCTGGACATAATTGGATATATCACTGAAAACGGCTCTGTAGCGCTCTTGATTGTTCTGCTGAGGTGGCAATGGTTTGATCTGGACACACTGAACAACGGGCTCGCGTATCTGGGGCTTTGTTTCATCGAAGATTGCACTTTGAGCGAGTTAATCGATAAGACAAAGTAAGAAGTCACATAATATGGATATACCTTAAAGCACCAACGGAAATCTGGGATGCTGCGTCGGAGGCCATGACAGTAGTTACGTCGTCACAAAATTAGGCCTTATAATTAGACTTTTTAACCTGGAAAAGGAAAAGAACAAGACCACGGATAAGCAAGAGAAAAGCTTCAAGACCCGTTTTAACCTGAAGTAACTCCTAGGTGTGCAAAATACAGTGATGTGAGGATATGAATGATCATGTAGATCAGACGCGTGGAAAATACGCGGGTAAGGACGCGTTGAGTGATTAATTTAATGCCCCACTTTCGTGTGTGCTTCTTCCCCTCTTCTGCCTGAGGCAACAGAAAATTTCCCAAAATGAACAATGTACTAGTCCGGATTAACATGACAACACCGACATTTCATATGTCCTAGTGGCAAACTACAACCTCTTTTTGTCTCTTTTCTTTTCTTGTTATTGTTACCGTTGCTATCTACTAGTACCAATAAATATTAAGGCAGAACGTGGCGTTAAAAAAGGTTAGTGTACTATACATCGATTGTTCTTTGAGCAAATAGCAATCATAATTTGCTAGGTTTAAAACAGTAAGTTAACATTCTTACAAAGTACCCCGCGGCATTGCACCCAAGTTTCCACTTTAACGGTAAGCTTGTGCCCCACTCATTCCACGACATAGTAACCTTTCTAATAAGCAAACCCTACCAGGTCATAACTGCAAGTCGCGAGGATAGTTCCAATAAAGTCTAGCTTTCAATCAGAGTCTTGTCGCTTGAATCTAGCCACTGCTTTTATATAGGGAAAACACTATCTTCTCTTTTGCTATCCCCACAACATGGCTTCTTGCGTGCATGTTATTTCCCACGGTTAGTTAGCTACCAACCAACAATCCTCATAGTGATAGCCTTCGTTAATATCTCTCATGTTGCAGATCTAAAGCCCCCATCTCCCTCACAGGCTGTATATCGAGAAGATTGCACACAGTGTTTCGACTCCATCGTACGTTACCTATCCTTTTGGCTCCGGAGTCCTGTGTCTAACCAATAGCTAGGATGATGGTGCCGGTTTGAATGTTTGCCTTACTTGCTTTAATGGCGGCTGCGCTGGGGACAGAGATCATGCGTCTCTTCATTTCAAGCGTCATGGCCACCCCTTGGCATTGAACATCAAACGAACTCGAAAGAAGGTCCAGGTCAGTTGAAACGTTCGTCTATCTCATTTATTCTACAAAGCTCTTAACTGCCCATTCTAGCGTGATGAGCCCCCACAGAAAATCTCAAAACTTGCAATAGCTGCCGAGACAGATGAAGACCGCTATGACACAACCACGCGCGTTATCTGTTATTCATGCGGTAAAGACGAAATTGATGAAACGAGTGGTGGACTAGCGATTGCCATTGATGGTGTCCTGAATGCGATGTCATTCTCAAAGCGAGAGGAGGTAAAGGCCTGGGAGCAGGAGTTCATTCCTTGTGAACACACCCTCTGCCTGAATCAGCATGATTCCAGACATATCGGGTCGAAAGGTATTTCCCAGAGACCCAGTTTATTCGATGCTATTCTTACCTGGGTGTCCAGACCTGAGCCAATGTTCCATGTGTGATATGAAGGAGAATCTTTGGCTTTGCTTGGAATGTGGCAATCTTGGCTGTGGGCGTAGCCAATTTGGTGGTATAGGTGGAAACTCCCACGCCCTTGCACACGCTGACCTAACATGCCATGCGATCGCCGTCAAACTCGGTTCGATAACAGCAGATGGCTCTGCTGACATCTATTGCTACAAGTGCAACGAGGAGAGGACTGACCCCGACCTAGCCGTTCACCTTGCTCATTGGGGAATTAACCTAGCGGGGCGTGAGAAAACAGAAAAAAGCCTGATGGAGATGCAGGTTGAACACAACCTAAAATGGGACTTTTCAATGACATCTGAAGACGGTCATGAACTTAGCCCAATATTCGGGCCAGGGTTTACTGGTTTAGCCAATCTAGGGAATAGCTGCTACCTATCAAGCGTCATTCAATGCCTATTCGACTTGCCAGAATTTCAACAAAGATACCGCCATGAGAACGAGGAGCCGCCGCTCACAGACTCCCCTGCGGAGGACCTTGAAACGCAACTGCGCAAACTCGCAGATGGTATCCTGTCGGGCCGTTACTCGCGAGCTGATATGGATGTCATTGTCGCGCCCGACTCTCCAGAAGTCCCTCGCCAGAAAGGCCTAGTGCCTGCGATGTTTAAGCATCTTGTCGGTCGTGGCCACGAGGAATTCTCGACAATGAAACAGCAGGATGCATTCGAATTCTTACTACACCTCTTCAAACTCATTAACTTGTCTAGGCATCCAGATGGCCTAAGCAGTCCAACTCACTCCTTCATGTTCTCTATGGAACAACGTCTTCAATGCGTGTGTTGCAAGAAGGTTCGCTATAAGGTAGATGAGCAGGACAACGTTTCCATCCCGGTCCCTGCTCGACGATTAGCTCTTCCAAACGACACAACTCCTACTGGTCAATTTGCACCGGTGACCCTCTTTGACTGCCTGGACGCCTCCACGTCTGAGGAGATGGTTGACCTTATCTGCCCTTCCTGTGGCAGCAAGGATGGATTTACCAAGCGCTCTTCGTTCAGGACACTACCGCAGCAACTTGTCATCAATGCTCGGCGGTTTGAATTGATCAACTGGGTACCTACCAAACTAGACATTCCGGTGGATGTGAGCGAGGAGCCTTTGGATTTAAGCCCATATCTTTCCTCTGGCCAAAAAGAGGGCGAAGAACTCCTACCAGATATCGATACTTCCAAAAGGGACTTTGTGCCTAACCAATATGCTTTGGACCAACTTCTCAGTATGGGGTTCCCGAGGGCTAGGAGTGAGAAGGCACTCTATACGACTGGTAACTCGGATTCCGAGGCTGCAATGAACTGGCTATTTGCTCATCTGGAAGATCCTGATATTGATGAACCCTTGACTAGCAGCGAGATCATGGGAGGAGGAACCAACGCATCACATGATCCAGCAAAAGTAGCACAATTGGTCGAAATGGGCATTGACGAGTCCCGTGCCAAACGAGCATTGGGTGCCACGGGTGAGGATGTCAATAGAGCTATCGATTGGGTGTTTAGCCACCCGGAAGAAGCAGGTGCTGAAGACAGTGGTCATGAACCAAACACCCGTTCCGATAGTTGCCCTAGAAACCTCGGTTCTGGCGATGTACCAGCTAGGTATGAGCTTCGCTCTATTGTCTGCCATAAGGGCTCTTCAGTCCACGCTGGGTACGTGCACCTATCTCAAGTGGGGGTTTTTGCGTTTACTAACCATTGATAGACATTATGTTGCCTTTGTCCGGAAGACTCTGCCGGGTCAGAGTGAACTCTCTTGGGTGATGTTCAATGATGAGAAGGTTGTGAAGGCTGCGGACATACAGGAGATGAAGAAATACGCATATTTGTACTTCTTTTCGCGGGTCTAGGTGTCATTTTCTGCCCGAGTCCGCGCGACTTGCACAGGGCAGCTCCTACTAGGGATTGGTAACTTGTTAAGTAACTCCTATTAGTATCTACTAATACAGGGACTCAGGGAGTTGTGTTTCTTACTATGGTATAGCCTATAGATTACTACTAGCAGCGATTGTTATGTATAATTTATCAAGAGACAGTTTTTTGGGAGGCTATACTAATAGTGTGATAACTATATACATTGGTATGGTTAATTGGTTATAACTACGGTTATTAGCTACATAAGTTATTATTTTGATTATAGGGTTGTGTTACGTGTAACTTGTTAAAACTAGTGTTGATCGGGTGCCCCGAAAAACCCGCCCTGAACCCGGACAACCCACCCGACCCACTAAATATCACGTGACCTTCAAATCTAGATTTTTCGGGATTTTTCCTAGATTTCTATATAGATCTAGATTCTATATATATAGGATGGGTAGAGATATAGAGCTTTAGAAGTTGGTTTAAAGTTCTAGTCTAAACCTACTTAGGTAAGGTGTCTGGTGACTAAGCTATACATCCCCTATCTAGGAATAGTGGCGGGTTTTCCGGGTCGGGGTTCACCTAAATCGGCGCAGGGTCAGGGCGGGGGCGGGTCTGCCTCCCAAAAACCCGACCCGATATAAAACTCTAGATTTAAATAAATTAATCCAATCTATATAAATTCTATGTCTCTAGATTAGATGAATACTCTAGAAACTATAATTTAAAGTAGATTCTGTCTTCTATCCCCGCTCCTGACCCGGAGCCGGGTTGGGACTAGACCTCGCCATGACCCACGGGTGACCCTTGCTACCCGACCCTCGACTCTTATTTTTAAGGATTAAGAATCCTGGTTTTCCATCTGTAGATTTGGTCTATTATATATTCTAACTTTTAGAGAATTATCTGTAGATTATCTATAGATTATTAAATCAAATAAATATAGAATACTTATAGTTTATTAGAGTGGCGAATGGCTAGGTTAGGTTAGGTTAATAGGGTCAGCTATATCTAACCGCTAGGTTATGGCTAGGTTGATTGAATTTTTATACCTAACCACAGTTAAGCTGAAAATTGGATAGTTAACCTAGGTTAACTGTTCTTAGTGCCAAACCCGCTGTACTTTACTAAATATAGTAGACAGTGACTATAATTAATTATAATTAATCTAGTCTTAACCTAACTATCTTTACTGACTGTGAGAATACTCTATTAAAATCTTTTAATATTTAGTATAGATAAAAAGAATATTTTCTTTTTATCTAATATTTTATTAGAACTATATATTTTTATTATTAAGATAATTTTTTTATTAATTTTATTTTTAATTATTAATATAGATAGAATATATTTCTAAAATATATATAAATATAATTAATATTCTTTAATATATTAATTATAGAATTATAAACTACTATAATCTCTTATAATTTTTTATAATCTCTGATATAGAAGTCTAATATTAATATATATATACTATATTAATTTTCAAAAGTATTAGATACTATATATTATTATAGTAATTTATTTATGTCAGCTGCCCTAATCCTAAAGCGGAATAGTCTTAGGGCTGGCTTTTAGAAGATATAAAAATAGAATAATAATATAGATTAAATAATTAGATAAGATAGAATAGACTTGAAGAGATCAAAAGAATAAATAGAAAATCTGACTATCTAATAATCAGATAGTTGGTTGATAATCTGCGTAAATTATAAGGATTATTTAGTAGATACTTTTAGGTCT